GGTAGCGGTTCTTGATGGTTATCGCGTTAAGAGCTCGGTAGTCCACGCAAAAACGAAGGCCCCCTCCTGGCTTCTTTGCAAATAACACCGGCGAGGCCGCCGGTGAGGTGCTAGCGCGTATAAAACCCTTGTCAAGGTTTTCCTGAAGGAATTTCCGGAGGACGAGAAGTTCGTCTTGGGACATCCCGTACAGAGGTCCATGTGGTGGAGTCGTTCCAGGTTGAAGTTCAATTTCGTGGTCGCAGTCTCGGTGTGGGGGGAGTTTATCCGCCTCTGATTGGTCGAATGCCTTCAAGAATTCATGGTAGTGTTGTGGTACTTTTGTTGCAGGATCGATCAAAGTCTTGGGTTCGAGGGCTTTGTGAATGTCTTCGAGTGATGCCCTGAAAGGTACATATCGGCTGCTATTTTCCGGGAAGCTCGGAGTTCCTGTGTTTGTTGGTCCTTGGGGTTAAGGGGTGATTCCGTCCTGTAGCTGGAGCTCTCGGTTCATCTTGTCCATGTCTGTGAGTGCAGAGTCGAATCGGACCCGTCGGCGTGTTTTAGGTTCTACGAAGGTGGAGGCTTCTGTGATGACCCCAAGTTCAGCCAGCCTTTTGTCGATCTCATACAGTGATAATGAGAATACGTCGACGTCGCGGTTTTTGGTCAGCATGTGGAATGCGGCTGCGCCGACTCTTCGGGGGATTGATGGGCGTGGCAGTATAGTCGTAGTTGCAGAACTTGACAAAGAGGGAGCTCCAGAAACAGGCAGTTGGTATTGTCCTTTCTCCATGCAGTATTTGCGGCAGTGATCAGAGTTGAAAGTGACCACATTCGTGCTCCAATTGACGATTGGGTTGTGATCTGTTAGCCAGGGTTTTCCAAGTATGACATTATACTTCCCAAGCTTCGTTACGTAAAAAAGCATCTTCTCCTTGTGTCCCTTGATGTCCATGTTGAGCTTCACCACATGAGTGATGTCGCCAGCCGAGGAGGGTCTTCCATCGACTACGTTCAGCCGGCGACGGTTTCGTAATTCATAAAGCGTGAGTTTGTTGGTGTGCGCGAAGGATTCGTCTATAAACCCCTTTCCGGTGGCACCTGAGTCAAGCATTGCTTCGGTTTTAATCGGTGGAATTGTCTTCGATTAGGTTACAAGGCAGTAGCAAATGAGCTTGGTTGGTGTCCAGAGAAGAGAGCAGTAGATCGCCCTTTTCTTGCGTCTCCTGCGGCGACTTCCGTCGGAGACTACACTTTTCCGTCCTCCATGGTGCGGTGTCGCAATTGAGGAACGATGTTTGCCCGAGCTGCACCAATGGCAGAGTCCATGCGTTGTGCAATAGGCTCTGCGTGCCGCTCTCTGCTTCCGTTTGGGGTCTACGACCAGAGGCGACATCTTTGGCCCCCAGGTGATGACGCTCAAATCCATTGAATCCCCGCCGTTAGAGGTCGTCGATTGTGGCGTGGTGGAGGTTGTAAGGTTGCTTTGTGACTTGCTGAGTTGTCGGTGTTTTTCTTGAAGTAATTGGCATTGACTTGACGGCATTCGTTATCGCAGATACGGACAAGGTCCATAAATTGACTAAGTTCGGTAGGTGTATCTTTGCCCTTAGTGAGAGAAAGTCTCCAGATAACGTTGTCGTGGAGGGCACGTCGGAGGTGAGCAATGAGCGCCCCACTATCCCACTCGGTGAGCTTGGCGACGGCATACCATTCGGGAAGGAATGTCGTAAGGGATCTATGGCCTTGTTTCATGTCAAAGATTTTGAGTTGGGCGGTAGCTTTAGCGTCAATATCCCCGAAGGCTGACTGAAGGGTGCTTTTATGGCATTGACATCGTCGAAGAGAACCACCCCATCTTTAATGTTGTAGCGGACTTGGTCATGTGCTTTGCCTTTAAGGCATGAGACGACATATCCCATACGTTGAGGTTCCGAGTTCCACCAATCTTTATTCATTTCGAGCTTCAACTCGAGGTGCTGGAGGAAATTCGGCAGAAGCGTGGGGTCCTCTCCGGTGAAGGCCTCAGGATCAGGGTGTTCTGGTGTGCGGTGTGAAGCCCTTTGACTGAATGATCTTTAGGTATGCTTCATTTTCTGCCATAAGACGGGCGATCGTTGCGTCTCCATCACTTTTAGAAATGAGCGTGTTTTCTAGGCGGGTTTGGAGGTCCTCCATGTCCCTTATTGTCGTCGTGGTCGAGGCACGTAGTGAATCGATTACCGCTTGCATACTGTATGCGGCATTGCATACGAGGAAGACTTCTTTCATGAGACCGGCTGGGTTAGCAACAAAGGCATTTCGGAACGTTTCATTGGTATTGCTGGCGTTGAGGGGGCAGGGGGCACTCGATCGACGGGTGTGGGGCAGCGGTAGCCATTGGGTTGTTGACGGTGTGGTGGTTTAGGTGAGAATTTGGTTGCAGGGTGTTTTGGTGAGGTTTGAAAGCGACAAGTGCGGTTTAGAACTATCGAAATCAATAGTCACGTCGCGGACGGTGATCTATTGAGGAGGGTAGTTGGTAGACAATATGTGACGGTACAAGTGCACGAACAAGGTCGGGTGCGACTTGGGTAAAGTGATTGTCTACGAAGAGAGAAGGAGGTTCCTAAGGAAGACTCTGACTTTCGCTATTTACATGAATCAAAGTGAGACATTTCATAAAGTATGAAAGTCACATGATCGTTCCCTCACAGAAGCGTTTCCACATACGGATACAGTATGGAAAGGTCCATACCAACCCAACAAGGCGGTCAGGTTCGGTCTCTGACCCAGTGATCGGAATGGTCTGGTATGAATTGGTATTGGTATGGTATACCATGCCCCACCCCCCTTTCGGTAACACCCACCTTTCGGTAGCGCAATTGAAAAATTCTCCACCAAAAGTCTACCATTTGAACTACATGAAATATGATCAGAACTTAACATTATAAACACAAAAATTATATCATTCCGTAGAGAAATGGACGCTCTTATATGTACCGGCGCTTTTTACCATTCGCCCGGATCTGGTGGTGACTGGAAGGGCTTCGGTGCCACCTTGACTTCGATCACTGAAGCTGTCTCCACCTCTGAGACCGCCTCCTCCTCTGTGTCAGAATTCAGCACAACGGCTATCTCTTGGCTTTTAATTTGGGGAATGGCTTCCTCAGCCACCAAAGCTTCACTGAGAGTCATGAACCGTCTGTTCGGGTTCGGAATTGCTCTCCTCTTCTTGCCTCTCTGCAGCCGGGCCACTTCTTCCTCTAGCTTCGCGATTCTGTTGCTGTGCTCGGCAAGCGTCTGTTCTTGGCTTCAAAGCCTCTAGCTATCACGGCGTATCGTCTCCGGGTGCCAGGAGTCTTGTTCTTTCCGAAATCGCGAATCTGGCGGCTGTTTCTTGGCGTATCATCAGAACCCAAAAATGGCGCGGACTTTGGAGACGTCTCTACAATGTCCGCGTGAATTTCTGGATGCCGCAATGCCTTGGATCGTGAGATCGGCCAATTCCCAGTGACCCTCCAGCCGGACAATATATTCTTTGCCGTCATTCCAACCTCGCGCGCTTTAGCATATGCCCGTATAAAATTGACCTTATGAACAGGCGCAGAATCGGTCAAACAGGTCAATTTCTGAAGTTCTTTCCGGTAAGCTGCCTTGGAGGCATTGAATACACCGTTATCTAACGGCTGGAGGCCATGAGAGCAGTGGGCAGGAAGGTAACAGCAATAAACGTTGTTCAAAAGCATGTGGCCATCCATGCATCCTGGTCCCGGTTAACGGTAATTCCTACAGAGGTGGATAAAGAAACGCACCGTTGCATGACTTCCATGTCCATCTAATATGATCAGTCTAGCATCTGAGGCATCGGCTGGTCGCGTCTGGGGCAAATAGACCCTCTCAAGCCACTCAATAGCGATATGGTTGTCCGTCCATCCGTTGGGCGACGTTATGTAATGCCAGTCGGCTATTTTGCCGAATTCCGTCAAGAACCACTGTTTCTGAAGCTCTTTGCCCTTAAAGATAATGCCAGGGTAAGGACACGGCCGTCCGCGGTGATAGCTTCAATAAATGAGGTCCAGTTGCGGGACTGTGGCCCTTTCAGAAGGGCCTTCCGTTTTGGGTCTGCACTCCCAACCACAAGACTATCCAAACCTGGCAAAAAGAGTCTGGTTAGTAAAAGTAATGAAAGACAAGCCAAATACTCACCAAAGCCAGACATAATACCGCCTTCGTCAACATTCACGGTATTTTCTGGTTTAATCCATCCATACTCCTTTTCCCTGATATCGAAGAACCAGTGAACCGCCCGAGGCGTAAAAGCATTAAATCGGTTAGCTTCCTGACGTCTCCCACGCTTGTTCTTGATGTCCGGATGGCGATTGATGAATTTAGAGACCCAGTTGCGCCCCACTGTCCGCTCGTTGTTCAGTTGCTTCATAAGAGCCTCCACACATGCGCGGATCTGACTGTGGGATGGAGCATAGCCGAGAGACTCTTGGCGGAGGATCCAAGAAACCAAGCGAGCTTCCTGAGACTTACTCAAGAGTTGACGAGGCTGGATCTGATCAGCCAGGGCTACCTGGCCTTTGAGTCTGTCGGAAATAGACTGCTGAGGTATGTCATACTTTTGGGCGGCGCGGTACTGCGACAAGCCGTTTTTTGTGACATCAATTATCGCATTAGGCATAATATCCTCCGTATAAATACTCCGAGGCCGCTTTAAGGAAATTTTGGTCATGTGGTGGAGGAATAACGAGAAGAATCATCGTCAGGAGGCGGAAGGAGATTAGGGGGTTGGATGCAGGCTTTCTAACCATACGCCATACGTCATATGGACCTGTATGGTTTATGGTGTATGATTTATTTTCATATGGTGAACTAAACCATATATTGCCCATACAAGAAATGACGTCATTGGGTCATACTTCCCGTGCCCAAGGGGGTGTTATTACTGCACTCTTCGGCCGACTCGGACCCGTATTGCTCAACCTCCTCTATTCGTAACCCTGCCGTGATGCCGCTGCGGATCCAGCTTTTCAGGCACTCTCTCTCTCGACTGTCGATGCTCCGAGAAGCATTCGATCCCAAGAGATAGTGCGCCTTGCGCCTGAGAATGTGCGCTCTGGGTCCGCAGACATGGCGGGTATTGAGAGTATGTCTATCGCCATCTTGGACAACCGAGGGAAACGTTCACGGTGTTCATCACGATGCCACCAGGAAAGTGGTGAACCGTCAATCTGAATAGGCGACTGCGATGTGAAGGCTTCGTACTCGTCTGCGTCTGGTCCCTTGCCTATGACATCGAGTTCCTGTGCGAGTAAGTCGTACTCGTCCTGTTGCAGTACTGAAACCTTGGAAGGCGTGACAGAAATTGTCGGCAGATCCATGTACTCTTCTTCCCAGAGCTTTCTCACTGCGTCGAAGGTTCTTTTATGCCATGACTTGGGCCAGTTTTTCTCAATATGAGCCTTTCCTCGAGACGGATGAAGAATCAGGGCTGCACCGTATGCCGGGGTCTCGTCAGAAAGCCGATAATATTTGTCGAAAACGTGCCAGCTGGTCAGCACCGGGCCGAGAAGTTGTTGATTGAGCTTGTATTTCTCGAAAGCTTGCTGGTAGTGTTTATGAAGGACATCCATCGTGAAGAGCGTGCGGTCTAGTGTTGAGCGATAGCCCTCAGTAAGGAGTGTTATTCTCCAGAATGGCTGCAAGAAGTTTCTTATATCTCGAAGGGCTTGCCAGTCTCGAGGTGCCAGATAGTCATTGACAAGTGTCTCGTAGTATTTGTCTTGATACCACTTGACGTGTTCCTCCTTTTCAAGAGCAGTATCCAGTAGGAGGAACCAAGAGTTCCAGCGTGTGTCGTTGTCGAGCCCGAGAACCTTCCCTGCGCGCTGACGGAAAGTGTTGTACCTGTAATCGTTGGCTCTGATATGAACCGCAATATTATGCACCTTGCCGAGCGGACCAAGTTGGCTCCAGCCACGTTCCTTCCGCTTCTTCCACCCTTGCATCATGTCCAAGTCGCACGGCGCTTCATCCATCTCCTCAATCTGTCTACATGCCTCGAGTACGGCCTCTTTGTTGTCCATGAAAAGAAAAGCCTGGACGCAAAGATTGACCACATGGCCATGGCAGCGGATCCGTCGATGCTTTGCATTCCATGCGATGCCTTGACTCTCTAGAAAGCTGCTCATCAGGCGGCAAAGCACATCATTGGAACCGTGGTTGTCTCCTGTGAAGTACCCTAGCAGACTTGATATGCCGTAGTCCTCAATGACTGGTTGAAGCAGCTTCCATTGTTCACCTCCACCGTGACTACCGGGACCATCGATGCCAGGAAGCTCAGGTAAAGCCAGCAATGCTTGAGAAGGGTTTCTTTGGTCGTCCTGCATGAACTGGACACATATTCCGAGGAAACCTTTGTGATTCGGCGCGCTCCATACGTCGGCAGAGGTGAAGCTTGGAGGCGAAGATTGAAGCCGTTTTCGTAAGATATCTTTATGGATTGCATAGGAGTTCATGCAAAGCTTTTGAATGTGGCCATGTGAGGTGCTGATCAGCCCTTCCGCAGTGGAATTCGCTGCCATGAGCAAAGCATGCAACTCAGGCCAGGTATTGCAGTTATATGGGAGGTTTCGCACGGTGACAAGCTGAACCAAAGCTTCCATTGCGGCCTTCGGATTGATTGCCTTTCGCAAAACCTGCTCTTCTCTTTCCTGAAACTTGACAAGATCAACCTCTCCGGCTTTGTTGAAAGCGTCTTTCAGAAGGTTATGACATGTTTTCTTGGCCAGGGTTGACTCAAGACCAGCGACGTCTATCGTGTGTATCTTCAGCAGATGGTTGCGAAATGTGGTAGAGACGTAAGTCGAATAGGACGGGTTATTGCAATACTTGCAGTAGAACACCAAATCCCGTTTTGGCCCACAACGCTCAGGCTCGGATCCCTGAGGTTTCCGTGTGTGTTGCCAAGTGGCATCCGCTGTGGTCATTCTTTTGCGCTTGGAAGTTGTCGCGGTACTAGGTTCGAACGATGCTAAGCCTTGTGCGTCTTGGATCCCAGAGGCCTCTATGGCTGTGGCGGATACGAAACTGTCATCGTCAGCTGGCCCGCGGAAGATGGGTGGACTCGTCATCAGAGTCGCAAACGGCACAAAGCCGGATGAATAATGGCATGAAACCCTGAGTGACGAAGAATGTTAGGTGCTAACTGGATATCTCAAGGTCTTTAGTAGCTCCAATTTATTCCGATCTGCCTATACGGGATTCTGGGAGGTGACGTCCAATGTGACGTCGGTTACCCTAGAACCGCTTGAGCGATACTGATCTGAGATTTTTGTTCTTCTTCGGCGAGATTAGAGGCATGATCTGTAATGTCGCGCGATCTTTACTCATTTCTACCGTAACGATGAATACACACAGAGCAGTTAGTCATTTCGGTCTTTTTCATTGTGGAATCTTCCCCGAACGTCAATAGAACAACAGAGTATGTTGCTGTAGTTCCGATATATTTCTCGGGAGATGTTGGCATGCAACCATCAATCGCCGAATGATCTTTTCTTCGCCGAAATTGTAACCTCGGAGGAACTTTCCCCCGCGTATGGCCATATATGGTCATACGACTGATCTCGTATGGTATAGGTTTACTGGCAATATATGGGCAATATATGGTTTATATAAACCATACGCGTATGATTAGAAAGCCTGGTTGGATGGTAATTTCGCGTGCAAGGTACGCACAGGCCACAGACCCTTGTACAAACATTCAACCATCGAAAAGTAGAATTCAATCAATCCTCTATCTACTCCAAGTGACGGCTTGTGAATATCTTCAAAGCTGGCTGGAATCGGTGTAAGTGAAATTGATGGTTTTTGGTGGGGATATTTTCTAATGCGCTACCGAAAGGTGGGTGTTACCGAAAGGGGGGTGGGGCATGGTACTGGTGACCGAACTCTGCTCCACAATGGTTACTGGCACCTCTCATGGGTGTTACTAGCAGCGTATGGCTAAGCGCCCGGAGGTTACCGGTCCCTTTGAGGTACCGACAACCGACGCCCATAGGTTACTGGCAGCCCCTGGTTGACAGGAACTCGCAGCCGAGCGATTACTGGCAACGGCGTGGTCGTTACCGGCGCCTTGCGAGCCGGCACTTAGCGGTTAGTGGCAACTGCCAGGTGGATAACCTTGCGCGTGAATGCGAAGCCGAAGCCAACGTGCGGAGACTCTGCTCGGCTAGGTGCTCTTGCTGCCTGTCTTACAAGGTACTAGCATCGACGCTTATTTTAGACATGCGGGGTGTCAGACATTTTGGCTCCACATGGGTCAGAGATGGCATCAGGCAATTGAATGAGAATTATCTGAAGAACAAGAAGTGAACGAACGAACGCACGGGGTTGTGCAGCTCTTTATACACAAATGAAAGGTCCGTCGCGTGATTACGCAGTATCGGTTGCCTAGCAGGCAACAGCGGCGTTGCGAGTAACATCGCCACTTGTCACGGGCTGTGCCCGGCTTGGTGGACCCGGTTGTACCGGGTCCGGTGGATCATGCTCGGATGGAAACACCGGCCCCGGAGTTGCGAGAACATTCTATAAGAGGCGATATAAGCTCGGACTCGAGGCTTCGCCTCGAGTTCAGCTTCCTTTCCTCTTTAGCTCTAGATAGACAACACATAGGCACCTGCTTGTTGAGTAAACTCCGGGCCAGCCTCTTACATATCTAGAGCTCACTACCGATGGACTCAACCCTTGCAGACGGGAGCTCCCCGGAGCGAACCTCCCAGCTCGTCATGCAGATGATGAGCCAGATGGCTGAACAGATGCAAGGTTTGCGTGCCGACCGCGATGCCGATCGCGACGCCACGCGCGAGCAGATTCAACTGCTGCAAGACAGTCTGACGACCTCGAGACCAACGCTCTTGGGGACCGAGTCGGAGAGCAGAGCGGAACCTCTGCATGAACTGAATCGTTTGGTCGACACACCATTGCGGAAGACTAGGCCGACTCTCCCAGACCCACCGCGATTCGAGGGCGTTCGATCCAAGTTTCGCGCTTGGCTGAGCGAGATGAAGAACAAGCTTCGTGTAGACGGAAGGGTAATTGGGAATAAGGCGGACCAGTTCGCCTACATTTACGCGCGACTAGGGGGTGCCCCTCAGCAAATGACGATCGCGTATGTAGAAGCCGGAGGAAGGGGTGGAGACTCAGATCCGGACCAGTACCTCCAATATTTGGAAGAGTGCTACGGGGACCCGAACGCCAGGACTCGCGCGCTGGACAAATTGCGATCCTTGAGGCAAAGAGACAAGGAAAGCTTTGCGACACTGCTCCTCGCTTCGAGAAAGAACTCGCTGATTCCGGCGGCGCCACCTGGCCGGAAGAAGTCAAAATCAGCTACCTGGAGGGCGCCCTGAGTCCGGAGTTGCGACTGGCAACTGTCTACGCGGCGCCCACTCGCTCCACGTACTCGGAATGGGTCCAATCTCTTCAAAGGCTGTCCTCAGGTCTAGAATGTAGAGAAAAGGAACGCCCTTCGAAGCGGTGGTGCAACCCATGATAGTCGAGGCCGCGACGCAGACGGAGATACCAAGATGGCAGATGTCAGCCGTACAAGTCACGAGCCGAAGAAACGTCGCAACGCAGATGCGGCGCCCAAGAACGAGCGCCGCTGTTACCGATGCGGCCGGAAGGGTCATCTCGTCGCGGAATGCCCAGCTCATTTGGTCTTTCCTGGCGAAGCGAAGAAAAAACGGTCAGGAGCCGCCCGGGTGAAGCAGCCGGATGCTAGCGATGATTCGGAGTCGGCCGCAACATCCAATGGGGATGACGAGCCGATGGGAAAAGACTAGCCCCGGTGCGAAAGCGGGCGCCGGGGCCTTCGAAGGCAGATGTCCAAGACTGGGAGGCGTTCAAGCCGCGTATGAATAGTCGACCCGTGCTCGTTAACGCACGGCTCAACAGAGGCAATCCGATACGCGTCCTAGTCGATAGTGGATGTGACTGCTATGCCGTGATTGACGAAGCGGTCGTCCGGAAGTTTCGGATCCCTCTCGTTGATTCGAAGCCTCGAGAGATCGGGGATTTCGGAGTCCTCAGAAAGTGTCACGTCGCCGGGAGTTGTGGCTGTCGTTGTGGAGACCGCCGGTTTTGACGAACGCACCTTTGCGTACGTCGTCCCAAGCCTCGGCCAGGATATGTTCCTTGGCCGGCCTTGGATGGAGAGGAACCAGGTCGTGTACGACGCTGCTAAGCGGCAAGTGTACCACGGAAGAGCAGGCGTGACGATACGCCTCGTGGGGCAGGAAGAGCCCGCCAAAGTACGCGCAATTCGAAGCGCAAGACTTGTGTCGGCAGCCGTGTTCACGGCAGAGTGCCGGCGTGCAAAGAGACGCCAGACGTGCGACGCGTTCTCGATACAAGCGATCAGCTTGGCAGACATAGAAAAGGCGCTTCAACCGAAGCCGCCAGTTGATCCGAGCAAGATGGTTCCAGCGGAAGTGTTGAAAGAGTTCCGCAACCTGTTTTCACCAGAGGAGGCCATGAAGCTGCCGCCACACCGGCCAGGTGTGGACCACGAGGTAAACTTGCAGCCTGACAAGAATGGCAACGAGCCGCCCCTGCCATGGGGACCGCTCTACAACATGTCACGCGAAGAGTTGTTGGTCTTGCGAAAGACCCTAAAAGACCTTTTGGATAGAGGGTTCATCCGAGCGAGTAGCTCGGCGGCCGCAGCGCCGGTGCTGTTCGTGAGGAAGCCAAGTGGAGGGCTGCGATTCTGCTGTGACTATCGGGCGCTGAACGCAATCACCAAGCGCGACCGATACCCGCTGCCACTCATCGCCGAGACGTTGCAGAACTTGGCCAAGGCCAAGTGGTTTACCAAGTTGGACGTCGTAGCCGCCTTCCACAAAATCCGCATGGCCCCCGGGCACGAATGGAAGACGGCATTCCGCACGAGGTTCGGGCTCTACGAGTGGCTCGTGTGCCCCTTCGGCCTAAGCGGCGCCCCGGCATCGTTCCAACGATACATGAACAGCGTGTTGCGCGAGTGGCTGGATGATTTCGTCACGGCGAACCTAGACGATGTATTGATCTACTCGAGTGGTTCAAAGGCCGATCACGAGGCCAAGGTGCGAAAGGTTCTCCAAGCACTCGCTGACGCCGGCCTACATCTAGACCCAGCGAAGTGCGAGTTCTCAGTACAAGAGGTCAAGTACCTTGGATTCATTGTCAATGCAGGGAAGGGAATCGCGTGCGACCCCGAGAAGCAGCACGCCATCCGCGAATGGGAAGCCCCTACCACGGTGAAGGGTGTCAGAAGCTTTCTGGGCTTCGCCAACTACTACAGGATCTTCATCCCCGACTACGCTAGGATCACTCAGCCGTTAGACGCCCTGCTGAAGAAAGGAACTGCCTTATGTTGGGGGCGGGCGGAGAACGAGGCGTTTCATGAACTGAAGCGACGATTTTGTGAGTCGCCCGTGCTCAAGCAGTGGGACCCGAGTCTGCAGACATTCTTGGAGACGGACTGCTCAGGCTATGCATTGGGAGGCGTCCTGGCGCAAGAGGACCAAGATGGACGTCGACACGCGTGCGCCTTCTTCTCGAAACGACTTTCACCAGCAGAGTACAACTATCCAATCCACGACAAGGAGATGCTCGCCATCATGAGATGCCTCGATAATTGGAGTGCCGAGCTCAGAAGCTGCGGCTCATTCACAATCCTCACCGATCACCGCAACCTGGAGTATTTCATGACACGCCAGAAGCTCACGGAACGGCAGAGCCGTTGGGCAGCCGAATTGTCCCAGTTCGACTTCAAGCTCGAGTATCGACCGGGAAGCGAGGCCGCCGTGCCCGATGCGTTGTCCCGCCGTGAACAAGACAAGCCACAGGGCATCGACGACGAGCGGGAACAAGGAAGAATGATACAGTTGATACCGGACAGTGCGATTTCGTCATCGACAAGAGCACGTATCAACGCGATGAGTTCTGACTGTTCAGAAACTTCTACCCTGCCGGAGATGAAGGTCTTCGAGGAAGCGGACCTGCAGCAACTCTGGGACGGAACGGTGGAGAAGGATTCGATATTCCGAGCAGCCTATAAAGCAGTCCGCGATCGCGAGCGTGTCTTCCCACCCTCGCTGGGCCTGAAGATACAGATTTCAGAATGTGCGATCGATGCCGGTAAGAGGCTGACATTTAGGGACCGCATCTGGGTGCCAGGAGGATCTGGGGAGAGGGGCAATCGGGAAGAGGTCGAGAAGGACCAGTTGAGAACCCGCATCGTGCAACAGTCGCATGACTCCGTTGCGACGGGTCACCCCGGCAGAGAAGGAACGCTGGCAATCGTGGCTCGGCGATTCTACTGGCCTGGGCAGTCCCAGCTGGTTCGCCGGTTTGTGGCCAATTGCGACACCTGCGGCCGAGCACACGTCTGGCGACAGTCAAAAAGGGGATTTCTCAAGCCCCTGCCAATTCCAGATCGACCTCGAAGCCATCTGTCCATGGACTTCATCACGGATCTCCCGCCGACTGGACTGAGCAAGGCAAGGCACCTATGGGTAATTGTGGACAGACTGACGAAGGCGGTGACCCTGGAGGTGATGGACACCATGGAGGCCGAGGCGTGCGCGAAGCGTTTCCTCCTATGCCATTATCGATTCCACGGAATGCCACGATCCATCGTCAGCGACCGTGGGAGCAACTGGCTGAGCAGATTTTGGAAGAGGTTCTGCCACCTTGCTGGCGTTACGCAGAAATTGAGCACCGCTTATCACCCCCAGACGGACGGAGGGCCGGAGAGAATGAACCAGGAGATTGAGGCCTACCTGAGAGCCTACGTCTCGTACGCCCAGGACGACTGGGGAGAGCTGCTTCCCGCCGCGCAGCTGGGGCTCAACAATCGGGAACCCGCGACGACCAAAATCAGCCCCTTTTCGTGGAGCATGGATTTCACGTCGACCCAATAAGCGTCGAAGACTCGGACGAGCCACCCCGTGACAAAGAAGAGAGCAAAGCAGACGCCCTGCTCGCTCGCCTGCAAGAGGTCAACGAGTACATGCAAGCAGTGATGGCCGCCGCCCAGCAACAACAAGAAGAGGCTGCGAATGCGAAAAGACAGGCTGCGGAGCGATTCGAAGTCGGCGACAAGGTGTGGCTTTCCATGGCAAACTACAAATCGCTGCGACCGTGTAAGAAGCTCGACTGGCTGCACCACAAGTATACAGTCACTAAGATCATCAATTCGCACGTCGTCGAACTCGACGTTCGTGGTTCAATCTACCGGCGTTTTCATGTCGATCTTTTGCGACGGGCTCACCAAGACCCGGCGCCTGGCCAGAAGGTGGATGACGCGCAGCCTCCACCAATACAAGACGAGGCTGGGGAGGACCTCTGGGATGTTGACGAGATACTCTGCGCGAGATGGAAGAAGCGTGGGCGAGGACAATTTAGGCAAGCACTAGTGCGATGGACCGGTTACGCAAATCCGACCTGGGAACCAGTTGAGTGGTTACAAGGGACAATTGCTATGAAGATATTTGAGGACAAGTACGGCCCGATCCAGACTAATGATGGCCCCAGGGAGAGCTACGAAAAGTCGACAAGAGCACAAGAAACCCGCCGACCCCGGCCTAGTCGGAGGGGAGAAGGGGGGTAATGTCACGGGCTGTGCCCGGCTTGGTGGACCCGGTTGTACCGGGTCCGGTGGATCATGCTCGGATGGAAACACCGGCCCCGCTTCGCGGGCCCCGGAGTTGCGAGAACATTCTATAAGAGGCGATATAAGCTCGGACTCGAGGCTTCGCCTCGAGTTCAGCTTCCTTTCCTCTTTAGCTCTAGATAGACAACACATAGGCACCTGCTTGTTGAGTAAACTCCGGGCCAGCCTCTTACACCACTTCATGAATAATCATCCTAGGCAGGCTTGATATGCGACACACCCCCCAGCGTTGAGTGATCAAGTCAACGCTGCTAGAAGCTATCACAACCAGCCTGACCTAGAAGGTCATCGACATCCCACTTCCAAATTTGCTTCCGTCTTGATATCTGTCAGATTCAGCATCGATCGGAAGTGCTCGAATTTCGCTCTCGATAGCGCTTTGGTCAATCCGTCTGCTGGCATCTGATCAGTCTTCAAGTATTCCACTAGGAACCTACCCTTCTTGAATTCCTGTTTTAGCCACATGTTCTGTATGTCAACGTGCCGCAACTTGGTCGTGATTCTCTGGTTCTCCTCAACCACTAGTCGGATCGACTGAAGGTTGTCGCAGTAAATCTTCAGAGGCCCGAGATCAAGAGAGATATCCCTTAATAGTCGGTCCAGGGCGTAACTCTCCTTGGTTGTTCTCTCTAGGCTGAGAATTTCTGCTTCGGTGGTTGAAGTCGTGACTGTGTCTTGGAGTCCAGCTTTCCATATGACCGGTCCGTTGAACAACATCATCACATATCCCTGCGATGAACGACGGGTCTCGATATCATCTCCAAATGACGCGTCGCTTGCGATCACAAGTACCTCTCCCTGATGCATTGTCACGCGCTTGGAAAAGGAATACCTCCGAGATGTCTCGGAGTACGCCGTCAGGAAACGGAGGATGCTATAATATAAGAAGGGTGCCTATTCTCGGGATTTTATGGGATCTTCAGAGTCTCACGAAGAGAGCATGCAAGTGGGCATTGATTGTTTTAATAATAGGTGTGTTTTTGTTGTATTCCGTCGTGTCTGTCCCTCTTGCAATGCCCTCTTCTAGGCTCCCTATTTATATCCCTTGGTTCCCTATTGATATCCCCTTTTCAGTTGTATAGGTACAATATCTAGGAGGCTGGGCTCCTTTCCCAGCCCCTTTGCATACTGACTTCCCTAGTCGCCGAGGGCTCTTTCAGCTTCCCCGTATATGCAGTCTCTCTACAGCCTATGTGGCTGCCTAATGGTCTCCTAATAGCCTTCTGCAGCCTCAGAACTCTTTACAGGCTGCTTTTCGATCTAGCCTGTCGGGGCCCTTAGCTGTATACCCCTTATGGTCACCTCGAGCTCAAGATCTCAGACGTGCTTCGCGACAATACTACCATAACCTCTTTCTTTCCTTCACTCTCATTCGTTATTGCCGCCTTTGCTATCTACTTCATGCAACGATGACACCGAAGGGTACTACTGGACTTTCTTTCTCCGCAGACTTACCCACACAAACCTTACCGTTCGCCGACCTCCAACTTCTCGCAGCGTAGCCGTCACCCCTACTCAACTTCCAACCCCCGGCTCCCTACTTCACTCACGACCACAGAACCAGATGGTCGAGACTGTTCGAGAACCTCGCCAGCTCATTCCCGCATACCCCCGCTTCTAATCCATCACCTAGGTAGCATTCACTGACTCTTAAGTCTCCCCGACCCTAGCCGCGAGCCGTCTTTCGAGCAGCAAGAAAATCTGCTCTGTAGGATGCCTACCTCTACTCTGCGTAACCCCTCCTTTACACTTCCACCGTGACTACATCTGCCATGTTCTCACGATGTCGGCCTCCCAGCTCAACGTCGATACCTCGTCCTCCCCGCGGCAACCTCTTGACAGCTAGAAAAATGCTGGCGCTGATATGTCTATGATGGCCTTTGTCCAGCCCGGCTGCCCGGCTAGGTTCGCCTACCAGAATGAGCATCGTGTCAAAGGGCTCAACGCAGAAACCCTGGCGAGGGTCTTCCTTCCAATTATTATTATTATTATTGTATTTTCCGTCCAGCGACCTTTAGGTCGCTCAGGTCCCCGAGACGGGGCACAGGACGTGCTGAGCTGCTGGAAGTCTACTATCGCGGAGTAGGCCCACAATACGCGAAACGAAACGAGTACCAATCCGCGTCTTCTGCCCCTTCCACAGAACGTAAACAATCCACCATTCAGCATTTCATCGGCTCAAAGGCGCTTCTTTGCTCAGCCTGCTGCCCGTCAGCGGGACGTTCAGGCGCGACAGCCATGTCTTTCGTTTTGGCCTCACAGGGCCGGTTCCGAGAGCACCCTCCGCCCGGCCGAGTCGGGTAAGAGAAAATGGGTGTGTGTGCAAACAAAGGGGAAGGGAAGGAGGGAAAGCGGTTGCTGCCGCCTAGTGGCGAGGGCAGATCGTTCCAAAGAACGAGCTTGCCTTCGCCACCTTGACGAACTGGTCGAAGTCTCTGCCTATTGCTCGGTTGACCGCCGCGCTCGGTGAGGGTGCCAACCTCATCCGATGTCGCGGCGCGATCTTCCGGCAATAGAAGAGATGCTTTGGTTCTTTTCGTCGACCACATGAGCACGTCAGTCGCGCATCGTCGTGGTTCAACCTTTCGTGGTAATCAGCGAAGTCCCCGTGGTGGGTTCTTGCTGCGAGCAGATGGTGGAGCAGAGGTCGTGGAATGGTAAGTTCTGGCGGGCAGCCAGTCGTGGCATCGAGGTCGAGGACCCTGTACTGTTGGGGTGCAGAAACTTCCCACCAGGCTTTGAATGCGTCTTTTGGTCGCTGCCTAGCGACCTTGCGCAGATATGCCAGCGTCGGGAGAGCGTCTGCAGGCTCGGGTTGAGAGGTTCCTGCCTTTGCTAAGGCGTCTGCCTGCTCGTTACCTGGGATGTTGGTGTGGCCGGGGATCCAGCGGATCTCAGTGGCACCATGTTCTGCGGCCAAGGCCTGGAATTCCAGGAACTCCTTCTGGGAGGAATCTGACGGCATGCCTTGAAGACACGTCGCGACCGCGAGGTTATCGAGGCATACGACAATCTGGTCTGCAGCCGGGAGGCTCAACGCAGCACGCAGACCCTCTAGGGAGCCTCTCGCCTCGGCATCAAAGACCTCAGCAAGCCCAAGACGGCCGTTACCGCTGAGGACGGTGAGTCCATCCTGATGTACCGCATAGCCGTACCCCGCGGCTCCCTCCGGGGAGAGGGATCCGTCCGAGTAGACGATTGCTGTCCGTGGAGCAACTGATTGGAGCCACTCGCCGAAGTTTGCCGCCGATTCTTCTTTCGGCGCAGTTTGCAAGGGTCCACGCTGGTCGCTGGCGAACCTACGTGCGAGAAGGTCTGGCCTGGCGCACCTTGGGAGCAGCTCGTCAGTGCGACGCAGTCTGGTCCGGAAAGGTTGTCGTGGACGCTGGTATTTTAACTTAATGGCCCTGTTGATGACAGGGGCCCGGATCGGCTTCGTTCGCACCGCAAGCGGGTGCGCTTCGTCGAGGACTTGAGACGGGCTGCGAAGCGCGTTCGACACGCCTGGAGCAGGTGCGAAACTGGCGGTATGCCCGCCTCCCGGTGCCTGGCGCTGAGCGGCGTCGTCTTCCAGACCGGGAGGATGGCTCGCATGGCCGTGTTGAGCGACTTGTCCATCCGCCGGATGAGGTGCCGTATTCTTGATGGCCCTTCCTTTGCCGGCTTATTCCATCGCGGGCAGGTCATGCCCGGGTACCACGCCTCTGCCCCAAAGAACAATTGCGGCTCGATGCAGGCGCGGACGGCTCTCCGGACCGCACCTGGTAGGGGCCGCGGTTGGTATTTGTCAAACCCTTGAGATGGTAGGCCACTGCTTGCGCTTTGGCAGTCCACTTCTCGACGTGCGTCTTGAACGTCAGGGTGCTGTCAAGCCAGATGCCGAGCCACCGCATGGCTGAGCCTGGCCGCTTTTCTACCTCGCCATGGAAGACTGGAGGTGCATTCCTCGGTGTAGTTCGGGAGAAGTGCATGACTTCAGTCTTCTTGGGGTCGAAGGTTATCGCGTTCGCGGTGCCCCATGTCATGAGTTCGTGAACATGTTTCGACGCTCTGTGGGCAGTCTCCTCCAGGGAGTCTCCGACGCAAAGGACGGCAGTGTCGTCTGCATAGCCGAAGCGCCCCTTGGGGTTGCTCAGGCGGTAGATTGGCTCTGTGTATAGTAGGAAAAGTATGGGAGAAGCTGGCGATCCTTGCGGCAGTCCGCACTGCAAGGGTGACGAGGGTGTCATGACATCCTGGTAGCGGACACGTGCTGCTCGGTCATGCATAAAGGAGCCAGCCCAACGAGCGACATTCCGAGGCCATCCTTGCTGCCGAAGGCGAAGAATGAGCCTGCTACGAAGGACAGTGTCGAAGGCGCCTTCGACGTCCATTGTCACGAGTGTGGCGACCTGCTTGCGCGAGAAAGCCTCCTCGATGTCGTGTACCAATGCGGCGACAAGGTCAACAGCGGACCTTTTCGGCAATGCGCCAGCTTGTTGTGGGTGCAAGACACCATAGTGGACGGATGCCCACGCCAAACGGCGCGCAATAAGCCGTTCGAGGCCTTTGCCCAGACAGGAGAGGAGAGAGATTGGACGCCAGGCGCGGGCCTCTGACAGGTTCCGACGCCCCGGCTTCGTGATCATAACCACTTCCGCTTCCCTGAAAGGCTTAGGATGGTGACCGATGTCGAGACAGCCCTGATACAGCTTGTGGACGAGGCTTCCAATGGTATGCCAGACGGCACGGAGCATCTTGACCGTAATGTTATCGGAGCCGGGAGAGGTGTTACCCGTGCGAAGGGTCGCGTCCCGGACCTCCTCCAGGGAAACGTTCTGAGCGAAAGGAATCGTCCTCGCTGTGTCCACTGGGACCCACGGATCCGTGATGTCATCCTGCGAAGTGCGACGTTCGAGCGTTGCTCGTCGCAGGGCGTTGGCTTTGTCTAGTTGGGTCTCATAGACGGTATCATCCACTTGCAGAGGCGGTGGTTGGAAAGCACCGGGCGATCTCAGCCAACGGACCGCCTTGAAGACGGACGCACTGTCCGTGAAGCTGTCAATCAGATCGCGCCAGTAACGGCGCTTGACTCGCCGCACGACTCTCTGGAACTTCCTTTTCGCGAGCTGAACCTCTCGGCCGAAACCGAGAGCGTAGACTCTCCTCACTGCGCGATACTCCACCGCGGCCAAGGAGCATTCCTCCGTCCACCAGGGCGCGCTGCGTGCGCCCTTGCGGACCGGCCGGCCTGCAGCTTTGGCGGCAAACTGAAGTAGGTTAGTCACTGCTAAGGCAAGTGAATCCAAGTCTTGAGGGGAAGCGGTTGACGGCTCGATAGCCGCCACGCCGTTTTCAACCATCTCTACGAAGCGTCTTATTTCCTCGTCAGAGGTAAGGCGAACCTTCCCAGTGGGTGGGGGCGCTACAGCGAGCTCAGGCAGGGTAGTGCTGAGCGTGAAGTGGTCGGAGCTGGTGGCAAGATGGTCTTCCACCACGGCATTGGCCAAGGCGATATTAGAGAAGGCAAGGTCGATCGTATTGCCATGAGGATTTGTCGGGACGTCAGCCGGGTTGAGCAGGTTCAGACCGTTGGCTGTCGCCCATGCAGCTACAGCCTCGCCGCGGCCCTCGATGCGGCCGGCTTGCCAGCTGTGGTGTTTGGCGTTGAAATCGCCTGCTACCAGACATCTGTTTGGCGCGGGCCATTGGAGTAGTATGTCGAGGGCCTCGTCGTATGACGGTTGGCGGTAAACGTTGACCAAAGTGATGTCGTTGACCGTGAGCCAAAGAATGTCACGAGTTGCCGCGGGCCTCCTCTGATCTACCATCAGCCCAGGCCTGCGGCGGACATAGGTCATGACTCTGGGTCGGGTGCTATTGTCTTCCCAGCTGTCAACCGGGGAGAAGGTGTCGTAGGCGGGATGTGTTTTGGTAAGGCATCGGCCGCCCTTTGTTTCTGTCCATGGCTCCTGGAGGAGCACCACATCGTAATGTTCGGAATCGGCGAGGGCAAGGGCGCAGTCGTGCGCCGGCGAGATCTTGCCCACGTTCGCTTGGAAGACTCGCAGAGTCTTATTGCCACATTGATTTGTGCGTGGGTATCTCGTCATGGAGAGACAGAGTCCTCAATGATGCGTCGCTTCTTCGTAGGAGAAGCAGATCTGTGTCGTTGGCCTCCACCCGGAGGTTTGGGTGCCGAGGCCATCATGACGGAAGGCGGGGTTACGGTCCTGGTCGAGCTTAGGGTCGATTCGCTACCGCGCCGTGGGGCTTCGTCATGAGGTTGGGCTTGCTGTCCGTCGTCCCGGGCAGCACTTGAGGTCGGGGGGTGAGGTGCGTCGATTCCGAGGCGGTCTTCCCTGTCAGGCCCAGGCGTTACTGTCTTTTCGGTGACACCACCCGGCGAGCAGGTGGCATCCCGTTCGGGCTGCTCGGATCGTTCTACTCTTTCGTATTGTTCCTTTCGCCGGGCGGACAGTTGAGCGCCCAGCTCTCGGACGCGAGATTTCTCTTCTCTCGTCAGACGGCGAATGACGCCGTGTGATCGCTTCGGGCGCGCAGGGCACTTCGCAAAGTCTGCGGCGTGGGGCCCAAGGCAGTTCGCGCACCGCTCGAGGGCCACGCAAGCTTCCGCGTCGTGGCCGCGCCGTCCGCACCGCTTGCAGGATGCTTGTCGGTCGCAGGTGTGTCGGGCGTGAAAGTCCCAGCACTTGTCGCACTGGCTGGGCAGGCTAGATCTCTCAATGTATTGGGCGAGCCGACTGGATCCAAACAGCCTCCAGGGCTTATCAGTCGGTTCGAGGAATGAGACAATCAAGGTACAGGTCAGGGGGTCGTTCGGCTTGCGCCTGGCGGGGCGCACCCTGATGGGTTTGAGGCCGGTCTGGCAGGCGATTTCATCTTTGGCGGCTGGCTCGTAGTCCAATTCTTTCCCTGTAGGTCGGTAAGAATATAGGGCAGTTTGCCACGGCGTAGGTGTACCATCTCTGGCTGATTTCTACATCTGTCGCGCCCATGTCTTGGGACCACTCTGACTGTCGTTGGACGATAAGATCCCGAATGGTCGCATCTGTTGTTCTGATGGCCCATCCGGAGTTCACCTTGAAAGCGGCTGGGACTTGGTGAAGGTCGATGCCGACTTTGGCGGCAATGTGGGTCCGGATTGCGTAGCTATTGTGGTCCCTCGCCGGTGCTTCGGCCGGGAGTCGCACAAAACCCGGAGGTCTTCTTTCGGCGGGCGGGGATTGGTCGTCCCTGGAGACGGGAAATTGGCTGTTGTGGCTCTTGTTGCGGGGCTGCAGCGGCCGTGGGAGAGTGGCCACATGGCCGCTGGCTTGCGGTGCGACCGGCGGCCACGCTGCTGTACGTCGGCGCAGATGCGAGTCGGAGATCGGAGGGCGTCTGCCTCCAGAGGTCGAGAAAACGGTTGGAGAAGTGCTCTGCGAAGCTGTGTTCGAGACCAGATGTGAATTGCTTCGCAGTCTGCTCGAATGATTCGCAGAAGGCCCGAAAAACCGTCATTTTGGCGTTGTGGGCATCGGTTTCGTCGCCGGCGAGTTTGTTAGCTGCATCAATGATAGACACCGGTTGGAGCACGTCGGTCTCGGTGGTGCCGGGCAGGCTCGGGACGGTTCACGCCGCGCTCCTTCCGTAGCGGCGGCATTGGACAGGCGGATGAGGGGCGACGACGGCGTTGCTGCCGGCCGCCGGAATGCTGAAGAGAGACCAATGGGACGGGTCACAATGGGAGAACTATTTCGCAGCTGAGATGCACGGGCTAAGCGAGCAAGGTTAGGCGGGGTATGAGCACCCAGATCAAAGGGATCCGAGCTGGCATGCGAGCTCGTGGCAGATGCCATGGCCGCAGCCGAAGCCAGCGCAGAGCGCGGCTACAGAGGTTGTCGTGCACGTGTTAAGCAAATTGGTAGAAATTGTGCCACTTTCTTAACAATTGCATGCCAAGAAAGTGTGATGACAAAGGAAGGTGGTCTTCCTTCCAACGCCCTCATGGCTGTCGACTCCAGGGTATGCAGCAATCCGGTCAGATACTGACAATTCATCGACCTGCATCTTCTTCAGCATTAATCTTTCCATATACAACCAACAGATAATCCCCTCCGAATGGACCGAGCAATGATTCTTTATGGTCGGCCGTGTTCATCCCTTTGCCCTGACGTGGGAAATCGAGCGACGTGATGGCTTGGAGTCGGTCGATGATAACATCACAGAATACACCGTCCCCGCGCTTATAGTCCGCGATCACAGCTACCAACCGTAAGTCTATTCTCCAAACCTCTCTGTCGCCACTACCCTCCCTGACGATATCCGCAGAGTCGTCACTCGCACCCTCAACTCGGTGGATGCTTTCCCAACGATACAACCGATTGTCTCCTTCACGGGACCTGTCATCGGCTCCGGCCGCGACCTCCTGCATGGAAACTCGGCTGCGGCCCTTGACGACAGCCAGCTGAGGTGCTGCGGCTTTGTCCAACTCTCCACCTATATTTGTCCTGGGATTCCCGGCAAAAACACCCTTCAAGGGCTTTCACCCCTTCCAAGTTTTCGTCATCTTCCCCATTCACGCCAATCCTTGGACCTCTCTATGCAAGAAGATGACCGAGAGGCACGACAGCCAGTTCCAGCCGAACGCTCTCTTCACTTGTACGGGCAAAATCACCGGCTTACTGGATCACCAGATCATGAAACATGTCCCGGCTTTCGACCAAGACTATATCTTCATCGTCGTCCCCGATACGTGGACTTTCCTCGACAGGGCCATGTCCAACCAGGTTTCTGCGACACAACTACTGCCGACGACACCCAAGGGCACGGTCGGCAATCCCTCGGACTATAGCGATGAGTTGGCCAGGTTTACATCTACCAAAAAGCGCAAGGCCGCCCAAAGCCCCGCCTTCCCCACGTCGCCTGCATCCAGCCCAGTCGATCCCCTTATACTGACATCAAGTCGGTCATTGCCCGATCTCTACCAAACCCATACCAAGAGACCGCGACTTTCTCCCGAAACTTCCACCATAATCACCGCCTGTGACGATCAAGACTCCGCCCAGTCCGGCACTTCCTCCTTTCTGTCCCCGGAAGACCCCGCAGAGTCAGAGACGGACACCGAACCATTCAATCACCCAGGCACATCCGCCTCTGGCTCTATCAGACCTCCCGCGTCCATCTCTTCCCGACCGCTCCGCGCCCGACGTCCGCCCAAGAATTTTCTATAAAGCAACAAACGAAACAATACAACATGACAACATGTTTCATTATCCTCAAACTCAAGTGCCAAAGGCTCGAATAACACAGTCTCTTCTCTTGTTCTCCTTTTCACAAAGACAATCGAGTCAAAACTTCCCCAATATACTCCTTATTTTGATTATATCTACGACTTATAGCACCTGTAAATCCTCTGAGCCTTCCACTCGCCCAGACATGCATTACCCACCCACATATCTCTTCAACCCTGCCGTCTCTCTACGCCCTTTGCGCCTTTGCAAAGAAAGATCTCCCTCCAGCGGCCTAGCGGCTAGCCCTAGCCTGCCTCCCCTCCGCTCTGTCTCGGTTTCACTCACGATAATGCTCTACGTCTCTCACCCTATCTCGTTTCTCGACCTCACTCTTCTTCCTGTCTTCCTTTCACTTCTCCTGTCTCCTATCTCCTATCGCCAACTCTCTCCTGTCGCCAACTTTCTCCTGTCGCCAATGCCTTGAGGAACGAATGCCTTGAGGAACGAAAGGCTCTTCTGGACGGGAAAAAAACCCAAAACTACTTGTCAGACATTTGGCTCCACACGGGTCAGAGATGGCATCAGGCAATTGATGAGAATTATCTAAAGAACAAGAAGTGAATGAACGAACGCACGGAGTTGTGCAGCTCTTTATACACAAATGAAAGGTCCGTCGCGTGATTACGCAGTAGCGGTTGCCTACGGTAGCAGGCAACAGCGGCGTTGCGAGTAACATCGCCACTTCATGAATAATCATCCTAGGCAGGCTTGATATGCGACACCCTTTTTCGTCATGACTTCTATATGGCCTCGACCCTTAAGGCTACTTAGAGGTCTGATTCGCGTCAGCTGGAAGCGGCTAGGCGCATGCAAGAGGAATATTAATTGCCAGATTTAGGAGGGTCAGCCACACGGCGTCCGTAAGACGGCGTCCGTAGCAAAGTGGTTCGGCGCGCATATCAATTGCCCATGCCTCAGGCACCGGACCAGGCTATACCTAATCGGTACGGTCCTCGACCAAATGGCCTGAGGATTCTGTCCAACACCTCACACTGACTACTCGACAATTTTCGCGACTCTGGAGTATCACTTTTTTCCATATCCATCAATGATCACATCAAAGTGTCTTATATATGTCCTTAATTTCACTGGGCTGTTTATTAAGGCACTCCCTATCCGAATTTTTTTTTTTTTACATCCGTATGCCTGTATCTTGTGGAAAACTCTGGTACGTGGAGAGCTAAGACTTTGGCACAATCATCATCCCAGCCACTCTTCCGCCATATAGCCTACGAACCGTAGAGAAGTACCGTTCAAAATGGGCATGATTCTATTGAGCGTTGCGTAATGCTTGCCTCAGCCAAGATATATGTGTCTATCGTTTTGCAGGAAACGCGTTGTGTTCATCTTGACTCACGCCCAAAACCATTGACACGGACCTCAGGCCATTTGGTCGAGGACCGTACCGATTAGGTATAGCCTGGTCCGGTGCCTGAGGCACGACCCTAATGGCCTGAGCTTGCTGAGGTAATTGCCGTCTCAACTGCCTGTAAGTTAGCCTTTTTGTAGTATTCGTTCCCATGAAGGTGTCGTCACCATTCAAAACACCCGTTTAACAAGTTCCAGCCAACATCACTACCACATGCAGGAAACAAACAAGATCGAGGAGCTAGAGAGGCGACTTCGTGAGGCAGAAGAACGCATTGCAAGCGAAAAGCAACGCGCCGAGAAGGAGCAACAACGCGCCGAAGAAGCAGAACGAGAGCGTCAACAAGAGCGAGATCGTGCCGAGAAGGAGCAGCAACGCGCCGAGAAGGAGCAACAACGCGCCGAAAAAGCAGAACGAGAGCGTCAACAAGAGCGAGATCGTGCCGAGAAGGAGCAGCAACGCGCCGAGAAGGAGCAGCAACGCGCCGAGAAGGAGCAGCAACGCGCTGAGAAGGAGCAGCAACGCGCCGAGAAGGAGCAGCAACGCGCCGAAGAAGCAGAGGAACAGACGCGACCGACCACATTCGACGAGTACATCGCTGCTTGTCATCACCATGTCTTTTCCCAGTTCACGGTGGAAAGAGACCGCAGGCTTACGTCAAGGGGTTCCATCACCAACCCCCGAAACAAGCTGTGCCCTACTAGTCTTGAGCCTTGGCCACGCTTCCTGGAACTGCAGGGGAGCGTTTTCAATACTCTCTACGAATGTCTGCCCGTCGACATTCGTGTCTTCGAGAGCCAAAACTTCCTAGCCGGTCTAGGACGGAGAGTGGCGCAGCGACCGATAGCAGATGAGAAGACGCTGGAATACTTCATGCATAATAGTGTCGAAGATCCTGTCAGAGTCATTATGGAGCAACTCAGGCAGATTGACGAGGTGTGCGACGCATTCGACATGGGAAACGGGATCGTCTTCGAGAACCACCCTCACGCCATCAGCGACGTCGCCGAGGAAGTAGTCGCCCGGGGGAACCCGTCAACACCGCCGCAAACACCGGACCACCGACGAGATCTTCATCGGCTGCGGCCCGACCAAATCTGCATTTATCGGTCAGGTGATGACCCATCCCCGGAGAAGCGGACGATGATCTACGTGTCCGAGTATAAGGCACCCCATAAGCTCACAGCTCCACACCTCCGCGCCGGACTACGGCCGATGAATATCTACAAGGAAGTCGTCAATCGGAAGACGATCCCGCCATCTATGGACCCGGACGGCCGTTTTCAATATCACGCCGAGAGACTGACGGCGTCTGCCCTCACACAAACGTATCACTACATGATCGAGGGCGGTCTCGAGTACGGGTTGCTGACAACTGGCGAAGCGACCGTCTTTCTCAAGGTGGATTGGGCAGAGCCTGAGACATTGTATTATCACCTGGCAGAGCCCGGGCCGGAGGTGTTGGCTCATCCAGAGCATATGCAGTCTAGCTCCGCGGTGGGACAGTATCTCGCGTTCAGCCTGATGGCGCTAGGTAGGCCGGGCAGACGGGTGGAACACGGGCAGGATGAGCGTGATCGGGCGACGGCGAATCTCATCAGGTGGGCGGAGGATTTCGAAACGACATTGCGATCGATTCCCGAGAGCGAACGAATGGCGTCGGACAGCGCGTCCAGCTGGGCACCTACGACATACGAGGACTTTGACCGGTCGCCGATTACGCGGCAGGGGAGGAGACGCCGTCGAGGTAGAAGAGGCGACGAGCGCGACACAATTGCGACTAGACGAGATCAGTCGGAATCATCGGACGACGAGTCGGGATATCGGCCTCCGGATACGCCGAGCCCCTCTGAGCGGCAAGGAGGACATGGACAACGCGGACAACGTGGACGAGGCGATGCAAATGTACCTCGACGAAGTCAACGAATCCTGGCACGCCGACCACGCCAAGGGACTGGTGAGGAAGTGGAACGGCGGTACTGCACCCAAGCATGCCTCCTTGGACTGGTTCGGGGAGGCACCCTCGATCCTCGTTGTCCCAACGAGGGGTGTCATGGCGGACCTCGAGGATGCACTCGCGCGCCACATCCGATCAGTCATTCTACATGGCTGCAACTTCTGAGTAAGCAGCTGCGACAGACGCTGGATGCCGGGATCACGAAGCTAGGAAAGCACGGTGCTCGAGGAGTGCTTTTCAAGGTGACCCTTCTGTCGTACGGCTACACGTTTGTGTGCAAGGGCACAGTGCAGGCCTTCATCCGAGACCTTGAGCATGAAGCAGCCGTCTACAAGCGCCTAGAGCAGGTTCAGGGCGTTAACGTACCCGTCTTTCTCGGTGCCGTAGACCTTCGGCCGCTGAAGAGGACCTACTACTACGACCATCGGGTTTACGTCGTGCACATGACGTTTCTTTCATGGGGAGGAGACATGATTGACGAGGCCAAGGTCGCAGGCAGCACGAGAAGAATCCTCGAGGCCAAGGCGCTTGCATCCCTGCGGGCGATACATCAGGAAGGTGTAGTGCACAAAGACGTGCGAAGCGCCAACATGCTAATCAACAAAGAGACGGACGGTGTGATGATGATCGACTTTGAGCGTGCTATATTGCTTGAACCAGTGCGATGGCCACTTGCGCAGCTGGTGCCCAACAAGAGAAGATTGGACTCGGGCAACACGACAGGTTCAGGGAAGGGCAGAGCATGCAAGCGGCGAGGCGCGGGTAGTTGTGGATTCGCGGAGGATACTCTGATGGTGAGGACAGCATTCCTGGGGATGGAGGACGGCCAGGAATGAGAAAGGGACGTTTATGATCGAACGTGATGACGATGGGTGACGAATGTGTCTAATACTACTACTTTCTTTGTCTATCGCCAACCATGGAGCATCCTTTTATGCTACCGGTAGTAAATGTAGGTCTTTTGAACACACTGCCCGTACGTGTAATAGATAGTCCTAAATCGAGTTACTTGTCTCTTGGAGTAAATATGTCGTGGTTATTGTGCTCGGTTTGTCTTGCCATAAGTGTGGGTCGCGGCGGTGGGGAATTTTTCTGACCGAGTAGGGGGTCTGACCGGGAAGGGGTTGGATTACGTTACACTCCACTACACATCTGAGAATATGGAATGGATGTGGATGATGACTAAGATCACGGACGTGGTATGGATCCATATGTGAGTCAATATGTGGATTTTGTGTAGTAGGTTTGAACCCTGGTAAGAGCCTGACCCTGGACATATCCCCATTATTGCCTCGATGAATCCACGATTTCCACGATTTCCACATGTGGCAGTGCCTCCATGGAGTGGAGTGTACTTGACATGGATCCATATGTGAGTCCACATGTGGATTTTCGTGTAGTGGCTTTGAACCCTGTCTACTACCGGTATCCATGTCAGACATTTGGCTCTACACGGGTCAGAGATGGCATCAGGCAATTGATGAGAATTATCTAAAGAACAAGAAGGGAATGTACGAACGCACGGAGTTGTGCAGCTCTTTATACACAAATGAAAAGGTCCGTCGCGTGATTACGCAGTAGCGGTTGCCTAGCAGGCAACAGCGTAACATCGCCACTTCATGAATAATCATCCTAGGCAGGCTTGATATGCGACAATCCACCAAAAAAGCGGGAACGGTTTGAACTACCACCTCACCCTCGTCTCGTCTGCATATTTCGCCTCCTCCACGACGATGCCAGGCCAGCCAGCATCCTCTCCGGCCCTGTTCTCTAGTGTGTCGTGAACAGCGGGCGCATCGAGGTGCAAAGACTGCGGGAACAGGCCCTGGCTAAAGAGGATAAAGGACGGGACACAGCTCTTGCAAGGCGCTCTCCCCGCCCGCCGCCCGTCACCCAGCACCGGCCCATCTCGCCATTCACTTCGTGCGAGCCCGTGCTCTTGCTCACAGGCAGCAAACGGCCTGCCCTGCGCCTGCGCTTGCCTCGCACACATTCCTCTTCACGGCCTCTGCCGCCACGCGCAAACGGAGACTGCGCTGCTTGCTTGCTCACCGCCTCGGCGTGCACGTATATATAAATAACATGTAAGCCCCCCGCTGCCGTGCTCCGAGCAAGACCCTGGCCTGTCGCGACATCCCTTGCTCGGTCCGCGTTAATTTTTTTTGACACGTCCCTGGAGATAGACTTGGCTGTTGCGATGTCAGACCGCGGCGCGAGAGGCGGACGCGGCCGCGGCGGAGACCGGGGCGGCCGCGGCGGCTTCTCGGACCGGAGCGGACGCGGTGGCTATCGCGGCGGCCGCGGCGACGGCGGTGACCGGGGCGGTCGCGGAGGCGGCTTCCGCGGTGGTCGTGGGGGCCGGCCGCGCGACACGACGATCGAGCTGGCGTATAGGTGTGTATATTGCCCCCGTCTGCCGTGCTCGACACCCGGCCCGCTGACAAGGCCCGCAGAGTCAATGGATCTTTCCCGCAGCCCGACGCTGCCGTGACGGCCCTCGAGGACCGCCTCATCAAGACGCAGACATCCTCGGCCGCCGGCCTCGCGGCGCAGATGGCCAAGACCAACATCCAGGCGCCGCCCCTCCAGGCCCGGTCCACTGACGTGTTTCCCCTGAGGCCGGCCTTTGGCACAAGCGGCCAGCCCGTCACGCTGTGGTCCAACTACTTCAACGTCACCTTCAAACCCATGGTGCTGTACAAGTACACCTTTGAGTTTGTCCAGGTCGGCTCCGAGACGTCGTCGGGCGAGCCGTCCAAGTCGTCCAAGGCCGCCAGCCGCGAGGTCAAGGGCCGCAAGCTCTACTTTGCCGTCCGTGAGCTGCTCGCCACCCTCAAGGCCGCCGACAAGACGCTCGTGCTCGCCACCGAGTACAAGAGCCAGCTCGTCTCGCTCCAGAAGCTTAAGCTGGCCGAGAACCCGGTGCGGTTCCGGCTGGCCGTCGAGACCAGCGGCGACAAGTGGGACGTCATCGAGGCCACCATCCACGGCCCGACAGAGGCGCCCCTCGACGCCCTGCTCAAGTACGTCGGCACCATGAGCGAGGGCCCCGTCGACGGCCTCTTCCCAAGTACCCGGACGTCGTCGACGCCTCAACGTCATTCTCGGCCACGGCCCGCGCTCCAAGCTGCACGACATCTCGGCCGTCGGCAGCGCCCGCTTCTTCCCCTTTGGCAAAGACGAGGCCGCCACCAACCTGTTCCAGGACTTTCACCAGCTCATCGCCGCCCGGGGCTTCTTCCAGTCGGCCCGCCTAGGCACCGGCCGGCTTCTGCTCAACGCAAACGTCAGCCACGGCGTCTTCCGCGCCGCCGGCAGGCTCGCCGACCTCTTTGACCGCTTCCAGATCCGGCCGACGCAGGCCTTTGACAACCAGGCCATGAGGAAGATCAAGGCCTTTGCCAAGTTCATGCCCAAGACGCGCGTCTGGGCCGAAATCACGCTGTCGACGGGCGAGGCGGTGCGCCGGACAAAGTCCATCCACGCCATCGTGAGCCAGTCGGAGCTGTCCCGCCAGAAGCCCTCCGACGGCAAGCCACTCAAGTTTGCGCCCAACTACGAGTACCCGGGGCCCAAGCAGGTGCAGTTCTTCCTCAACGACGGCAAAGGCGGCGGCCAGTACATTTCCGTCTTTGACTACTTCAAGATGAGTGAGTTTGGCTGCCATTTCTTGGGATACATGGGCGACTGACCCTTGGCTGCAGAGTACAAGAAAACCCTCAAGGACTACCCGCTGGTCAACCTGGGCCGCGCCGACAAGCCGACGCTCTTCCCTGCCGAGGTCATCGAGATCCAGCCGGGCCAGTCGGTCAAGGCGCGGCTCACCATGAACGAGACAACAGCCATGCTGGACGTGGCATGCCGCTCGCCCTTCTCCAACGCCACGTCCATCAGCGCCGACGGCCGCAAGACGCTCGGGCTCGACGACAACGGACTCAAGCCCTTTGGCATCTCGGTCGACAAGGGCCTCCTCACGGTCCGAGGCCGGGTGCTCAACGTGCCCATGATCAGCTACCTCAACAACCAGCAGAAGCGGTCCGACGTGTCGCCCTTCAACGGCAGCTGGAACATGCGCAACGTGCGCGTGGTCAAGCCCGGGGCCATGATTGAGCGCTGGACCTTTCTCAACATCATGAAGCGGAGCGACAGCCCCATCATCGAGGTGCCGGCCATGAAGGACTTTGCTAAGTTCCTGGGCAGCAACATGGGCATCCGCATCAAGGACTCGCCCCTAGTGCCGGGCGACGGCAAGATGTTTACGAGCTGGGACCGGGCCATGAGCGACGGGCTCGAAAACTTCTTCACGTGGGCCAAGAACAACCGGATCCAGTACGTCTTCTTCGTCCTGACAGAAAAGGACAGCCAGGGCCTGTACTCGAGGATCAAGAGCCTCGGCGACTGCACTTTTGGCATCCACACCAGCGTCGTCACGTCCAAGCACCTGCTAAAGCCCAACAACTTCATGTACTACGCCAACGTCGGCCTCAAGGTCAACCTCAAGGCCGGCGGCGTCAACCACCGGCTCCGCGAGGACGTGGGCCTGCTCAAGGAGGGCAGGACCATGGTGGCCGGCTACGATGTGACGCACCCGACCAACATGACGACGGCCCGCGACGCGCGCGAGGCGCCCAGCCTGGTCGGGCTCGTGGCCAGCATCGACAAGGATCTGGCGCAATGGCCGGCCGTGTCGTGGGAGCAGCCGTCCAAGCAAGAGATGCTGAGCGGGCAGCTCGTCGACGCCTTCAAGACGCGCCTCGAGCTGTGGCAGAAGCACAACCAGGGCGCCCTTCCCGACAACATCGTCATCTTCCGCGACGGCGTGTCCGAGGGCCAGTTCTCGCAGGTGCTCGAGCTGGAGCTGCCGTCGATCCGCCAGGCCTGCCGCGCCAAGTATCCGGCCAATGCGTCGCCGCCGCGCCTGACCATTGTCGTCTCGGTCAAGCGCCACCAGACGCGCTTCTTCCCGACCAGCAGCGACGCCATGTCCGACTCGGGCAACATCCGCAACGGCACCGTCGTCGACCGCGGCGTCACCCAGGCCCGCTACTGGGACTTCTTCCTGACGGCCCACCACGCCCTCAAGGGCACCGCGCGCCCGGCCCACTACACCGTCATCCTCGACGAGATCTTCCGCCAAAAGTATAAGGCCACAGCCGCCAACGAGCTCGAGCGCCTCACCCACGAGCTCTGCTACCTGTACGGCCGAGCCACAAAGGCCGTCAGCATTTGCCCGCCCGCCTACTACGCCGACATTGTGTGCGAGCGCGCCCGCGCCCACCGGCCCGAGATCTTCGATGCGAGCGACGCTGACAGCGTCTCCACCGCCGGCAAGGCGTCGCCCGCCGCGAGCCGCCAGGTCCATGAGACGCTGCAGGACTCCATGTACTACATCTAGCCCGGGGGCGGTTTGGATTCCGAGTGTCTGGTGCTGCTGGATATGTAGGGGGCACGCAGACGTGGTCGATTTGGATGCCGGAGTGGCTCGGTTATCGGGTGGCCTGCTCGGCGGAACACGAGAAATTGTCAGTCTGTCCGTGGGCGGCCACAGTCATGTATAGACACGATGATGGCGCAATTGCACGTGAAGGACTTCTATATCTTGGGCCTCGCCTCGCCCGTGCTTCCACCCGCCATGCCCAGGCGCCTCTTGTACTCGTCGCTCACCGTGACCTTGTCAGCCAGGGGCTTCTCGGCCCACTCGGCTGCGGTTGGAGGAGCGAAGGAGGGTGTTGAATACTAAGAAACAAAAGACAGGATGGGTGGCAAATCGGCCTCCATGCCGTTGCAATACGTATCTGGCCCAGTAATTCAGAGAGTGATTCGGATAACGGTCGGCAGCATCGCGTGACTCGAGCTGCACTTCGATTTCGGGCCGCCCTTTCTTTCCCCACAGAAAAAGCTTCGGAAATGTTCGAGGGAAGAAATCTTCGTGTAGGTTGTCTGCAAAATCCGCACCACGCTCTACTCGGACAAACGGCTGGTCTCGCGTAGCTTGGACCTGCATAACGCACGGCACAGAGTTTCCATGTCGATACGGATTGGCGTTCACGATGTCGGCCAGAAACGACAGTTTATCGAACTCCGCGAAGGCAGCCGGTCCATTGAGAGGAAACATGCCGGACGTAGACATCTCACAGACAGTGTCAACTTTCTGGCCGATGGCAGCCGAGCCGGGGACAAGAGTCGCGGCTCACCAGGAGAGGGTTTAGTCTGCTCAGTCGACAGAGTACAGCCGAAATCGCAAGATTCAGCGACGAAAGTAGGATCGATCGAGTTCACGAGTTCATCGATGCTTCTAGGGCTGTTTTCCTCCAAGCCTCGATCAGTGTCCGGGACTATGTGGTCCGTTTGTGTCTTCTCAACGGTCGACGGTTCCTTTCTTTGCATGCGGTCCATGATGACGGTCGGAACACTGGAGCCGTTGGCATACTGCCAGCCATCTATCTCTGCTTGGTTGATTGCGACATCCTCGTAAAGCGGGTTGTTCCTTTGCAGCCATGCCAGGGCAGCTGCCACTCGAGATTTGCGCACCTGAAGCAGGTGTCTGACGTCTGCGGAGCCAGGCTTACCCGAACCGCTCCAGGAGACGTGGATATTCTCAATGGCATGCAGTAGGGGATGAGGAAGAACCGTGGCCACAAGACCGTCCACCTTGTTCGGAAAGACGACGATATGTCCTTTCACGTGCTTGCGGTAGCTTATTCCCGAACGGGTCTTGTTGTCGACTGTGAACTTGGTGATATAGCCAAAAGACGCATGCAGGGCAATCTTCGACGGGAGAGAGGTCATCAAGCTCTTCGGGGCACCGATGCTCACAACCGATGGCCATGTTGTTAACCGAGCAGGCTTTGGGCAGCCGTCCACTGTCAAAGCTGACGCGGAACTCGCGGCATACGTCAACTGCGGCGCCCTCGTGCGACGGAAGGAAACTGGTGCATTCGCGCTAATTTTACCAGCCATTTACGCAACCCTTCATTCCTTCCCCCCTGACTTTTGACCACCATCCTTCACTGAGCACCAGAAGCCATCCACTCGGTTGATGCTACGGCCCGCCATTCATTTTTATCTCCGTCCTTCAATCTGAGCGTAACCTAGGCTCAGTTTTCGAAGCGGATTCCTTCATCGAAGTATCTGTCTCTCCGGAGCGAGGTTCCTCGATTGCAGACGACCCATAAGCATCCACTGCAGCAAGGTCCTCCACGGGGGCTCGATCCGATGTAACGAGAATGACGGCCTGCTCAGCGGCGAGGAGGCAAGGGAAAACGGCCCACGCTGCTGATTGTTGAAAGATGTTAATCTGATAAGAATGATTTTCAGTACTACGTTAAAATCAAGGTGCGAGCCACGAATTTGTCATGAGGCTTTACGAGCTCGTTGAAAAGTTTCCACGCCAGGACTTGAACGCTGTCAGAAATGAACAGGAAGATGCCATGCATGTAAGAGTTAACTAGCCTTAACCACTGCCCAAGTCAAGGGGACGAAGGTCCCAGTTATATACACAAGAACGGTGCCCATGTGGGTCGGGACACCTCCTCGACTGGGGCGGAATATAGTTTGACATTCCCACTCGTCCCAGCCCGAGGGGCATTACTTCTGACCTCTTGGTTACACTCTGACGGTGGCTGGCTAGGACGCCTCCCCTGTGGACGCCAAGTGGTGAGGCCAGTTAGATATCGTACTTTTCCGTAAGCCGACAAAGGACGTCATTGTCGTCGTACGTTCCCATTCTAAGCGTGTTGTCAAAGCCACGGTGCCACAAGCCCTTCTTCTCAAGCTTCTTTGCGCTGACGATGTTCGTGTGGAATCGTGGAACGAAGGCCACATCGAGCAAGACAAGTGCCCGTGTGTTCTTCCCATCCTCGCCATCAAGTATGTCTTCCATCCTTCGAGTTCCTCTCGCCTGGACCTTGAGGCTGCTGTCGCCAATCAGGATGTAGTCAGACTCTGATGCTTCCCTGATGTCGGCCAGCAGATCCTTGTTGTTGACGACGTGCGTGGTTGCACCCCCGTCGTAGATTGTGGAGTCGTAAAGAGGATGCTGCTGCTGCAATGCTGCAAAAACCGATTCTGTTGTTCCATCAGAGAGGCATTCAGCGCTGATGGCCACGCCGACAAAGTCCCCTCGCTTCCGCGGCTCCCCTGTGCTGCTGGTCTGCTGCTGACTGCCTCCAGATTCCTTGACTGCATCGAGAAGGCTCTTCCACCTGGCCTGCTTCAAGGCTTCCTTGCAGGTCTTCAAGCGGTCCGGTCGGACTTGTCTTCCATAATTGGAGGCGCCATTGACCGCAATCTGTACAGCTGCGCATGCCTTGGCCTTCCAGGGGTTTTTGGATGATGGCAGTGATCGGAATGGTCCGGTATGGTATGGTATGACCTCTATACCATACCATACCACCTGCTGATATCCTTACCGGTATGGCTTACCGGTAATACCAGTAATACCGCCAAGACCGCTCAGAATGAGGCGGGTTGCAAAAATAGGGAAATGTATTGGCTACTAGCTGTCAGCTTGATCGCTTTCATTCTCGCTATCCCCGCTATCTTCGCTATCCTCAGCCCGAGGCTTCCCATACCAGGCACGTAGACACTCGCAAGCCTCTATGATATCTGCCTTAAGCCTACCTCGACGATCAACTATACCAAGCTTTGCGCTACTAAAAAGCCGTTCGCACTCATCTGACATTGGGGAAACTGCAAATAGATCCAGAGCGAAGCGGGCGAGGTCTCTTTGCGAGTCATAACGGGATAGCCAATAGGCGATGGCCTCATCGCAACCTGCCTCCTCGTCATGCAGCCGGTCGGTCGAAATATACTGCTCATACAGATCGGTGGCAGCAGCCGGGCCGTCTATGCGAATGCGTTTATGTTCCCTCTGCCGATCGAATGCCGGGTCTGGATCCTTGTCCTTCCTGACTGGAGGTGGTAGCGCCTCAACAGGGTACTTTCCCTTATACTCTGTCTCCCAGAGCTGCTTCACCGCCAGCTGTGCGCTTTCATACCACTTCTGTCTTCCTTCGTCGCCCTGAAGAACCCATTCTTGCCTGAACCATGCCCACTTTCGATACGGATTGAGTACTTGAGCTGCGTAATACGCTGGCGGAAGATCAGTATCTTCAGGAAATCGAAGTTGCCAACTCCGTTGTCGGTTGCTGTAATACTCCTCGCACTTTGACCACGCAGCATCTGCACAACCTTGGAGATACTTCCACGTGAAGTTGTCGTTGTCGTCTTCCTCGTGAACGTCATGGTAGTGATCCTTCGTCTCGTTGATCTCGCGAAGAAGACAGTCCAAAGTCGAAAACCAGTCAGCGAGGGATGTCTTGTTTCCTTCAGCAAGCATAGTTGCCGCGAAGAAGTCTTTTAGTGCGAGCTCGATCTTTTCGAGCTCGAACCAGTGCTGTCCATCTAGTTTGAAGTTCGAAATCCCTTGAGACCCTTTCCCTGGTACATGACGAGCTGAGAAGATTTCCAAACGTTCTCGAACATTTAACGCTCGTGTGATCGAATGAAACCACGAATTCCAGCGTGTGGAGTTGTTCTGGATAAGCTCGAGCCCATCGAATTCGGAGAGATGGCCGCCGATAATAATTGCTGCAAACTCCTCCCGCCTTTGAGGAGTAAGCCGGATGTACCGCACAAGGTTATGGAGCCGGCCTAACATCCAAACTTCTTCCACAGCTCCTCTACCTTCACGTAATCTCCGCGCTGGTGGTGCTTTTCAAGCTTTGCCAAATGCTTCTCACAATTTCGACGGATGAGAAACGCCTGGCAGCAGAGGTTGACAATGTGACCCAAGCAGCGCAGTCGGCGATGGCGACGCTGTTGCGGCTTCATCCATGGGCAGAGCTCCTTGAGTATAAACTCAACAGCGGTATCATTGGATGAAGCATTGTCCAGCATGAAGTATCCAATCTGATCTCCGCCAATGTCATATTCCTTCAGTAATTCGAGAACGGTCGACCCAAGATTCTCGCCACTGTGCTCGCCATGAACGCGTCGCATGCCCAGGACGGTACTTCGTCGCTTGCCGGTGGCGTCAATCCACATGGCGACGACACCCAGGATTGCGTACGGGTTTGGCGAGGTCCAGAGGTCGAAGGAGATGGAGATTCTACTCCGCGACCGCTGGAGGTCCTCTTTCAGCTGTTGCTTCTTCGACAGGAAGGCATCCATAACTTGCGCCCCACTGTCCGCTCGTTGTTCAGTTGCTTCATAAGAGCCTCCACACATGCGCGGATCTGACTGTGGGAGGGAGCATAGCCGAGAGACTCTTGGCGGAGGATCCAAGAAACCAAGCGAGCTTCCTGAGACTTACTCAAGAGTTGACGAGGCTGGATCTGATCAGCCAGGGCTACCTGGCCTTTGAGTCTGTCGGAAATAGACTGCTGAGGTATGTCATACTTTGGGCGGCGCGGTACTGCGACAAGCCGTTTTTGTGACATCAATTATCGCATTAGGCATAATATCCTCCGTATAAATACCCGAGGCCGCTTTAAGGTCATTTTGGTCATGTGGTGGAGGAATAACGAGAAGAATCATCGTCAGGAGGCGGAAGGAGATTAGGGGGTTGGATGGTAATTTCGCGTGCAAGGTACGCACAGGCCACAGACCCTTGTACAAACATTCAACCATCGAAAAGTAGAATTCAATCAATCCTCTATCTACTCCAAGTGACGGCTTGTGAATATCTTCAAAGCTGGCTGGAATCGGTGTAAGTGAAATTGATGGTTTTTGGTGGGGATATTTTCTAATGCGCTACCGAAAGGTGGGTGTTACCGAAAGGGGGGTGGGGCATGGTAGCACATCGAGAGGTGCCTATAGTCTTCCCGGGAGCCCTGATTCGAGAAGATTTGCTGCGCGTCCGCTTTGGCTCTCCCGTCATTTTGTTGTCGCCGTCTTTGTCGTGCCATGTTGTCATATTTTGCTCAAAAATAGAGCATACAGTAGAGTGAAATTTGGAAATAACGGGGGCGGGAAATGAAGCCTGTGATCAATGGCGAGTAGATGAGAACAGAGCTGGCGAGGCAATACTTCCTCCCTGACTTTGAGAGAACCACGGTTGTGTTGCCGTGCGCACGTCACGGTCGTCAGGCTGGCTGGATGATCGGAGGTAACAAACTCCAACCGTTATGCCCAGTTCTTGCCCCAACTGTAACGCATGTCTCACCGAGGTGCTACTTCTTACTCCCGGAGTTATTGTGCCGATATGGGCAACCCGGTTCCCGTCGCAGCCATCCTTCCCTGTCAATTTCGCCTTCTCTGGCCTCTTTACCGGTATCTTCTCGTTCAGCCGCGCAGGATAAAATTTCGCTGATGCTACAGGCTAGAGCAACAAAGCAGTATGAGGTGTATCAAGTGGCCAGAATCCGGCCTCATCGTCTAGCACGGTGTAGCACCTCCCCCACGCCCCCTCCATTGTAAACTTTCTCCTTACACCCCCTTCTTCCCGGTGTTAAATATCCCAGCCATCGACACCACGGAGCAGGTAGTTACGCCGGCTCTGGCCTGAGTCGAGACCACCCCTTAGGCTGCCCTCTAGCCGTCCCGGCTTCCCCGGGCACGACCTTGGGGCCGACTTTCCCTTCCCTCGAATCGTCCGCTCGACCATGCCTTGCAGATTGGAGACGCAATGTGGCCACCACGTTGTGCAACCACCTGCAATCTGTTCACCGACTTGACACGCTTCTTGAAGCTGTTAATCTCGACTTCAGCATCCCGCCCCATGGCTCGGTGGCAGTATCTCCGCAAGCTACGTCACTTCCCGTTACTTCCAATATATATGCATATATATTGCCTTGCTTCAAGCTAAGCTGATGGTGTAGAGATCAATGCGTGATCCTGCCTCATGCCCACCCCCTGGCCCTCAGTACAGGGGATCCTACAAGATAGTCTGACTTAAGACTCCCTAATCACTTTGGAAGTCTGTCCCTGCTCATACTTGGTAGTTGGCTGCTAATGACGTTAGTGAGGGGGTGACCGGCGCATTAATGCAGAAGCTGACGGTGTTCCGGCCAAGGATGCAAGCATCATCTGATGGAAGGGTGGCCAAAGAGGAAGGCCAACCGCTATGGATTCCCTCCCAGGGGCGGCTCGCAGGCATCAGCCAAGGACTAGTATATCACAGTTCCGAAAGAGGAAGATGGCGTAAGAGTCAATTGGACAGATAGATGCCGCTAGACGGTTAGAGCCGCACTGCTGTGGCTCACGGGATGATTGCTGAAGTTCACATCAGGGGCTACACAGAAGCCCGACAGGAAAGTCTGTTCTACTCGTATGTAAAGGATATCAGAAGGCTTTAATAAATCGGTTAGGGCCATGGCCAACAGTGCCAATCTTCAATATGTGTTTAATACAACCGATGGAATTGGCGATAAGCCCCTGCGGGCCCTCATCAACGCGTGTCAGCAGGTGCTCCCTGGGGATCATAATGTGGTATCACTGCGTTTGGATAAGTCGGCACAGGGTAATGCAAGTGCATTGCCGTACGGCTGCTGGTATACATAGGCTGTGTTGTTACCATGGCTTGGCCGGGATTGTCAAGCATCGACGAGGACGGTTGTTCGCCATAGACGCGGCCTTGTCGTGTGGTGCTCGCGCGACTCAATAGGGTTGTCGGTGGATGCGTAGAATGAACAGCCGATTCCATGACTGTGGTAGCCACGCCCATGTGATGTTGATAGCCGTACGAGGACGTCACGAGCTGCGACGGCTCCCAGACGGACGAACTCGTCGTCGACCCGCCAGTGGTAGAGGGGTCCCGAATCAACTGTCTCGGCAAAGATGGAGAGAAGTCTTGATCTAGACTGGCCAGTTGTCGCGGCATCAGGAGCTGTTGCAGCGACTGTACAGCGGCCCTAGGGTCGCCGGCGTGAAAGAGTTGGCCTTGGTTGGAATCAAGTGGCAAGGTGCCCGACTGCAAGAAATGGGCGATGTGGTCATCGCTAATGCCATGCCTGTTGAGGAGCTCCTGGAGCTGCTTGTTCTCCTCGGCCACTCTCCTCGCGGCCATCTGGACCTCGGTAGAGGCCTCGATGCCCTGAGTCTCGTATACTCTGAGTCGCCGTTTGAGGTCCTCGACATACTCTCTCCGTCGGGCGCGCGATCTCCTCTGGTTGTCTCGAATTCGGGCTAATTTGTTCTCACGCTAGAGCAGAGAAAGAGAGAGGGACTCTGCTGTTAGTTAAGGCCTTTCCCGTCTACAATATTACCCGGGCTAATGTCACTTACTGCGAGGATCGACATTTGGCTTGACATTCCTTTGTTTGGGAATGCTCTCTTTGACCAATGAAGGGGGAAAGGATTGCAAAAAAGGGGGGGGGGCAAATCGTCCCTAAGCATAATATTTGTGAGCGTGTAAGAGAACGAGAAATGGGAAAATTAACAAATTTTAGTAGACTGGCAAGGAGAGTTCTGGAGGGGAGAGCCAGAAGAATTGCTCCAGCAGCTCCAATCCTTTATAATCTAGACGGATGAAAAACATGGCGCAGCCCTTGCAGCCTTCTCGGGGATTCGGACAGGGGACGGTTGGATATGCACTTTGGCGTCTCAAATAGTCATTTTGCGCCGTAACGACGATATGGGACGCGCGACCCTACGTGAAAGTTTTTGGACGTACTTAATTAAGTCACCCTCATTACGGCTCGGCATATCTTTGAGCTACGGAAGGTTAAGTTTATGGGATACTTCCTCCAGTCAAATTAGCGTCGCCCTTCTGGGAGGGGGAAGTCTCTGCTGAGCCGGTACTGTAGCTAGTTTTAGAAGGCGAGTTTATATCAGTACATGCTCGTTCTTGCCGTGGCATCTTCATCCATATCTCTCAAGCTTTCACTCGCATATCTCTTCAGTTTTTCAAGGTCTATTCCCTTCGCTGTCTTCTCAACAGCTTGAAAAAGCCGTCGCTGCTCGGGTTAGTTCCCAATCAGGGTTGCTTCTGAGAGAACTTACAAATGCGTTCTCCGTCCCCTCGCGATCAAAACAGCCGTCTTCGTAAAGGACATACCGACGAGAAATCTCCATGTTCTCGGCCACAGGGTATGGAGGGTCTCCTCCGAATGTGTCTGGGGATCCAAGTTGTCCCTGGAATTGTGCAATCGCCTGGAGATCCTGAGGTGATAAAACTGATGAGCACTCTTGCGCAAATACGCGTGCTCTCTCCGAATTCTCTTCAATCTCTTTGAAGAGTTGCCGCATGATACCAAAGATAATTGTTTGGAAGGCGACGGTAGGGACCTCCGCATGTGTGCCGGGTAAACGACTGGATGTCTGACGGAGGCCCTCGAATTGAGATTTCATGGCCTCTTCGATTCGCGCCGTCTTGGGCCCGCGCTCACCCGCATTGTTCGACTCGCCCGCGGCGCTACCTGAGTCCCCTATATTATTCACGTCAGTCAAAGGTTCGCTACCGCCATGATATATTACGAAGCCGTTCTTACTATTGTCCTGGCCCTCGGACTTTGGAGCAGCTGTCGTGGCTTCGGCGTGTAGGTTGGGTTGTTGCTGAAGGGCCGAAGAGCCTTTCGCACATGCGTAGGAGTCGAAAGCAGGACGCTGAGCTTGTGACATTGTCTCGATTAGATTCGCTACCACAAGCTCTCGCATGTGCCCGCAGGTAGCGTGTAAGACGTAAGTGCCGCAAGATACCCACGACCTAGAAGTGGAGTGTTGAGTCAAAGTATGAATGGAAGACGGAGTTGATAGCAGAGCTGGGAAACACGACGTGGAATCCGGATAGGTATCATACAAACCAGCAGTCTATGGTGGCGTCTAACAAGCGGAGCGTGTGAATATCACGATGTCGCGTTTTCCCACCCTACGGGGTGTCCCCGAGGGCTCTCTAGAGCCGCTCCTTTGGAGCCCCAGCTAATTTTCATACATTGCAGAGTATTGCTATATCATTAGCCGCAAATGCAGGTCTCGCAGAAGTCGCCGTCTTCTTCCCGAAGTTGATGCCGACGTGGGCAGCCCTCCCCTTGTCACGAGGCTCCATCCGTTGCAAGCTTCGCCACCCTTAATACTTCCCAGGCATGTGCATGTACATTGCCATACTTTGGGCCAAAACGAGGGAAGAGAAATTAACGGACAATATCCTGCCTCACGTCCCCTTCCTGAACCCCGGCGCAAGGGAGGCTGCGGACTAGTCTGCACGATTCGGTTCCCCCTGCGCCTACAGGGAAGTTGGCTACTCGTAACTTTGCAGCATTAACGAATGTGATCGGCGCATCGATGCAGAAGCTGAAGATTTCCTGGCCAAAGATGCATAAACCACCTCAGGGGTGGCCGGCAGGCATCAGCGAAGCAACAGCGGACTACATCCGGGAAGAGTGTCACGACCCTGCGCGCCAGCGTAGAGACACCAGCGCAGAACCTCACCAGTGTCACGTGCCAAAGCAGCATCACGTGCCCACGTGCGACCTCGTGCTTACCTGAGCGCTGCTGAGGTAACCTCGTGCATATGCACATAAGGGCCAGCTCGGTCGTGTAGTCTAGTCTTTCTTTCTTGCTCCTTAGCTTTGAGTCTTCGTTCATAGTGCCAATACATCTTTATAGCCGTCAAGGCTCGTATGTGCCTGGCCGTAACACACCCATCCACTCGCCAAGCATTTCAGCCTCGGGGGAACTTTACACCGCGTATGGCCATATATGGTCATACGGCTGATTCAGTATGGTATAGGTTTATTGACAATATATGGGCAATATATGGTTTAATTAAACCATACGCGTATGATTAGAAAGCCTGGCACGCACCATCGGAAGCTAACCTACGATGTCGACACTCGCTGGAATTCGACCTACGACATGATTGACCAATTCCTGGAGCTTGAGGCAGAATATACCGAGTTCGTTGATACTCACCAGCAAGTCAAGTGCCTCCTGCCCTTATCGGAAGAGATTGTCGCGCTCTATCAACTACGGAAGGTTCTTGTGACGGTTCAAGAGCACGAACAAGGTCGAGTGCGACTTGGGTAAAGTGATTGTCTACAAAGAGGGAAAGAGATTCCTAAGGAAGACTCTGACTTACGCTACTTTACAGGAGTAAAAGTGGAGATAAAGGTCACATGATCGTTCCCTCACATATGGGCCTCCTTTACTCCATCGCTTCTGATTCTTCCACGTCTTGCTGAGCCTGGAGGCGAGCATTTTGCACTTCTTGTTTCGTAGGTCTGGGTTTGTTATTGTTGTGCTTCTCGAAGTCTTTGACGGCTATGTGAGCGTTGACGACGTTGTGTAGTGGTTCCCATGTTGCTTGCTCAGGATCGAAGCCTCTCCATAGTATGTGGTACTGGAAACCCTTCTGTTTTGTGCGTTTAGAGTCCATTATTGCTTCAATCGCCCAGAGTTTCTCTCCCTTTCCATCTAGCGTTATTGGCGGGGGCGGTGGGCTGTGTTGGCCGGGGAGCGGGTCGTTTGGTGATGGTCGCAGGAGGTTGGTGTGGAATGAATTGTGAATTGACTCTAATTCGTGTGGCAATTTTAGCTGGTAGGAGTGAGGGTTGAGCACGCGCTTTGTCAAGGGAATGGCTAAAAGCCCATGGGAGTTATGGCGTGGAGAGAAGCCAAGATCAGGGCACTTGAGAGTGTTCGGATGTCCTGCCTGGGTATTTATTCCCAAAGAAAAGAGAACAAAGCTTCTGAAAAGAGCATGGCAAGGAGTTTTTGTTGGATACAAAGAGGAGACAGATAAAATCTATCTAGTCTGGAACCCAGCTGATAAGAAGGTCCACGAGGTTCGATTCGTGGAATTCGATGAGAGCAAGTATATGGACAATGAAATCAGCCAAGAATCACAATCGCAGTATGACGATGAGAAGGAAGAGAAAAAGGAGCAAGGGGAGCTCACTGATGATGACTCTGATGCCGAAGATTCGGTCAGGGATAGGACTACGGACCAGGAAGCTACAGAAGCTGGGGGGGATGCCGGAGAAGCAGCGGATGGGACCCCGACCGACCAAGACACTGCAGATTCGGAGGAAGAGCTCCAAGGAGACACAATCATTGTCAATACAGGGGAGGCGGATATAACCTCTCCTGAAAGGAGTCTGCCGAAAACAAGATCCCAGATTCGACGAGAGGCCGTGGCACTCAAAAGAGCAGAGAAGCAGCGAGCAGAGCTGGAATGGCGGCAAAGAGAAGAACAGCGCATGGCAGAACGTCTGAAGAAGCGAGGAGAGTGGCAGGAAGGAAAGAGCCATGGTAGCAAGGACGCTTCTCCAGCCTAATACAGACCTGTACGACTTCGACCCGAAAAGCTTACCTTCCGACAGGCGATGAAAGGCAGTGAGAAGGATCAATGGGTAGGAGCTATAGATGAGGAAGTTCAGAATCTCATTCGACGACAGACATTCTCGGAGGAAATCAACGAAGTTGACGTGCACGGAGAAGAAGTAGTTGATGCCAAGCTTGTGTTTGATCACAAGAAAGACAAAGAAGGGAAGATACTACGGTATAAAGCACGTCTAGTCGCGAGAGGGTTCACACAGAAACACGGGATCAATTACGAGGAAACCTTCGCACCCACGATCCGGCTCGATGCGATGAGGATCATTCTAGCTTTAGCGGCGAAGAAAGGCTGGAAGGTATACCAGATGGATGCTGTGGCTGCGTTCCTTGCAGCAGACCTAAAGGAAAGGATCTTCATGAAAGTGCCAACTGAGCTCCAGCAATATTTCGGGAAATACGTTCAGATCCTGAAGAGTTTGTACGGATTGAAGCAAGCTGCAAGGATGTGGTATTTGCTAATATCAGAATATCTCAAGGAGATTGGTTTCTCACCGATGACAGTGGACCCGACAATATTCAGACATACAGAGTCGGGGTAATCATCGGCGTGCACGTGGATGACTTTATGATTACAGGGGGGGACGAGGATGCCATTGAACTGGTCAAGGAAAAGCTGAAGGGAAGATTTGAGATGAAAGACCTCGGAGAAGCAGAGAACATTCTCGGAATTCGGATTCAAAGGCACAAAGGAAAGCTGATGATTGGTCAATCACAATTTGCGAAGGAAATCGTGGCAGAATTTCTCTACGACGACTCAATGAAGCACGCAACCCCCATGGAACCTGGAGCTATACGGAAGCTCGTTGAGGAACCGGGACGGCCTCTGAACCATGACGAATGGTTGAAATACGTGGAATTGCTCGGAAAGCTGATTTGGCTATGCAATACGAGGTTCGACATTATATTCGCAGTTAACAGAATGGCATCTTTCACGGTAGAGGCATGCTGGAACCACTGGAAGGCTTTGCTACGAATATTGGGTTATGTCGGCAGGACTATTCACCACGGTATCACATATGGCGGAAATAATGAGCACGCACAAGGAGTCGAAGGCAGCGATATCGACTATTATTCCATTGACCACAACATCGAAGGGCACGTCGGCTCCGCAGGCCTACAAGATGGGGAAGCATTCTCTGACACCGACTACGCTACTGATCCAAGGGACCGGAAGAGTATCCTGGGGTTCGTCTTTATGGTCTACGGAGGCGCCGTCATGACGTATAGCAAGAAGATGAAATCAGTGGCAAGATCTACGACAGAAGCAGAGTATGTTGGGATGGGGAGGCCACAAAGCTGCTCTCTGGGGACGTCGACTACTTGCAGAACTGGAAGGAAAGGGGGAGCAAACAGTGCCACTACTGCTTGGAGATAATAAGGGAGCTGTACAGCTGACCCGAGGAGTATCGAACACGTCGAAAATCAAGCATGTTGATATAGCATTTCATCACGTCGTTGATGAGGTCAAGGAAGGGAGAATTCAAGTCTACTGGGTTCCAGGGGAGAATATGCTAGCAGATGGGATGACCAAGCCTCTGCCTAGGGATGCTTTCGAGAGGAACAGGAGGAGGATTGGAATTGGACCCATACGCTATGAATAGCGTTGCAGTTGAAGTCTGACAGCTCTAGGGGAGTGTTGACTTGATATGAGACATGGACCAAGACATGTTTAGGCAGCAGTTACAAGTGGTGAGTCACTGGATAGTGGCACGGACGTGCCACTATGTATATATGTATGTTGAGAGCTGTCAGACAGAATTGAATAGAAGTAAGTTCAATCGCAACACACCTCCAACACGGCGGAGCCATCCACGCCGTCAGCCCCTATTCCGACGCTCCCTGCTCCTCCCGCTACGACAGTTGCGGAACCGCCCACAACGACTGCTACGCTTCCCCAACGAACAATACATCCTACAAGCTATCAGTTCCAGCAACAGAGCATCGTTCTAGCAGAACCCTCTTCTCCCACATCCCTCGAAGCGTACACAACGCTTCCCCCGGCTGACATCCCGAACGGCATCATCGATGCCGACACACAACAGAAATTCACCAAGATCTGGGACAAAGAGAAGAACTATACGGGGGAACCCTAAAATACTTCGAACACCCGTTAAGTTGCCAAGGCAAGGGGCTTAACGGCAGAATATCCAGCCCGAAGGGTGAATATCATATACCTGCAATTCGCTTTCCTAGGGGGAACCCCTAGAACCCCCATTCGCCTGCCGCGGGCAACCAGCAGTTTGAACCGCTCCAAATCTGCACTAAGGGATTTGACTGATAGTCAAGAGTCTGCCGCTTTCTTACAGGCTCAACCTAACTATATACTATATATCAACCCCCCCCCCCCTCCATGCAGCATAGAGGAAGACAACGTTTAGTCAAGGTAGGGTGGTGGATACGGTGAATCGGTCAGCTGTTGACCCTGACGGCGATATTGGTCAGCGAGGCGCATCTTCATCCCTGTCTCATGGTTAGCCATGAATGCAGTACGTAGGAAACGTAGGCGTATAACCTTCCGTCGGCGTGTGGTTATAGAGGCTCTGACGATCGAAAGGCGCCTCAAGGAGTAGGCCTTGCAGCGATGTAACCCTTGAGACGGCAACATAGCTAATCCCGGCCTGGAAGTCGCGTGTAGCGAGATCAGTAACTATTTGATCCTTTGTTAGGCTCTGGCATTTGTGAACAGTGATGGCAAACGCCACAATCAGGGGAAACTGCGTGCGAGAGCAGGTCTCGTTGCCCACCAGGAAATCACGCCTGACTGGGAGGATGGGTGAGATTTTCCTGCCCTCGTTAGTTATTAGATATGGCGGTCCATCGTAGCTATCGAAATCCACCATAATAACGGCTGGGGGATCTTCCGATGGGTCGGCGCCTGCGTTCCAGGCGATATCGTATACAGTACCCTGAGCACCGTTAACCAAGCCAGCTGGCTGCCATAGGTTAGTAGTGAGCATTACCCTGGTGCCCTTAGCAATGGGGAACTTGTTAGATAGATTGCCAGCATTGTCGCTTGGTGCCTGCCCCGCGCCCTTGCCCTGATTCTTTGCCTCCACCTGTATAGCCGGAGCGTTGAGGTGCACCATATGCTCGTGGTTATATTCGTTGACCCGGGCCTTTGTAGAGTACACTCGCAAAGCGGTCCTGAAGCTATGGACCTCGCTCTGCGTTAGCCTAGCCTGTACCCGATTGCTAAGAAGGTTCCAGGACGGTATAGATAGCTTGACTTCGCGCAGTTCCTGCAACGCCTGACGGAACTGGGCCTGATCATCACCAGCCTGGCGCTGTACTGTGGTCAGGAAGACGGTACGGTCAAATAACCGGTAGGCCACCTGCCCTCTCCTTTCCAACGAAGACAGGCCGGTGCTCGTCGAATACAGGGGCTTTTGCCGGACTGGTGGTAACTGGAAGAAATCGCCCACAAGCAAGACGCTCACACCACCAAAGAACTCGAGGTTACGCTGTGGAAAGGCCTGCCGCAGACGGGAGTCGATCCGCGCGAGCTGCTCAAGCCCTAGCATGCTCTTTTCATCGATAACGAGGTATTTGACGTGCCGTAGGCGGGACTGAAGGGCGGCTGCGTCGGCCGGGGGAAGGTCGGTAAAGGTACCACCTATTGGGAGGCGTAGCAACGAATGAATGGTGCTGCCTTGTATCTGGTTGCTCGCAACGCCTGTTGGCGCCACGCGGTAAATAGGGCTAGGATTCGGGAGGGCGGCTGCTTGAAGATGGGAAGAAAGCACCTTGATAAGGAAGGACTTGCCTGTGCCACCACCACCATCAACGTGGAGAAGGACCTGAGTAGGATTTTGCGCCTGGAAGTGACCCATGAATGTGTCGTACACGAGCCGTTGTTGTGGATTCAGCGTATTACGCCAGTGAGGGCCAAGGACCTCCACATCGTTGGCCATGGGGTGGCTAGCGATAAGGTCTTTCCAGTAGCCATCTCGAAGTTCCGGATATGTACCCACATGCCGTGTCCAGTCGTAATTGACGTCGATATCGCGGCGACCAAGAAGGTCAAGATCTTCCTGAGTAAGGGGGTTGTCAGGTAAAAGGGCGGCGAGGCGAATCCAGTCTTCGTCGTCAAACTCTTCCTCCACAGGCAGAGCCTCGTATTGATCATCTTGAGGCTGTAGTCGGGCCTCTTTTGGCCGGCCGTAATGGTCATCACTATGACTGTGGTGTTGCCAACAATGGGAGAAGGCCTGGACATGAGAACTGAAAACCTGGCCATCAAATGTGAGGAGCTCATCAAACCGCCGATGGGGGTGGTTCAATGTCAGTTTTGCACGGCAGTAATCTGGCCACTGTTGACCTTCTGGATCAGCCAGATAGCGAGGGAAGTAAACCAATACACGGGGCCTGCCGTTGACGTTGCCTGGCTGCCATTGCTTCCACTTGGAAGGGTCCCTAGGACGGAAATTCCAGCACTTGAGGAAGGAGACATAGCTTAGGTCCGCTAGGGCTTCCGGGCGTTGAGTGTACTTTTCGTAAACGTTGGGGGCCTCGTCAACCTCATCGCCGTCAATACGGAGGGAGCGGGAATGCCTGTCAGGATTACGGCAGTCAACGTACAGGCAGGTTCGTGAGCCTTCCTGTAACGGCAGGCCGAGGAGCAAGTGGCTGACCTCCTGCTTCGAGTAATCCCGCTCAGCAACCAGCTGATTAAGGAGCTTTGACGTGAAAGAAATAAGGGGTTGTGGTCCTTGACCCGGGGCATCAGGGCCTTCCGATCTGGGCAAAAGACTCGCTCTTCTTTTCCGACTTGGAGCAGTATTTGGCCGCGTAATCGATTACCTGCTGGAGGCTCGTGCAGGGCGAAACATCTGTATTGGCTAGCCACGCAACGGTAAGCAAGCGGTTGTAGTGGTTAATATGGCCATCGTTCCTCTCGCCCCTGAAGTTCCAGTGTTTAGAATGAGGAACCTTGTCAAGGGAGGCTAGCAGGCGCTGTCCGTGAGGAAATCCAAAGCGGCACTCCACCTGCTTGGTATGCTTATTGAGCTGCATACAGTAGTTGTTGCAGCGGTGGCGTTGCACGCGGTTGACCACCATTGATAGGAACTGAACCGTAAGGGGCTGCTCCAATAGATTGCCGATCAGGGGATTCCCTTCTCCAGGCGCCTGTATTCGCTGAGGCTCTGGGTTGACAGCAGATACATGATATCCCCAGATGCGGGCGAATTGCTCCCGGGACTGATCGTTGTCAGGATCTAAGTCTGGGTGGCCGCTTAGCCAATATAGGCCGTGGTGGTGACTGGAACCCCTGCCCTGCCACTCGTAGCGGCCCCAAGAGTCCGTTAGGTTGAACTTCTGCTTCAGGACAATGGTCCTAAATAGCGTATAACGTTTATGGAAGTGGTAAGCAGCGATGTGGGCGTTGTCCCGCAGCAGTTGCCGGGATAGAGCCATCCGCGCCACCTCAGGAGCTGTTTGCCACTCGTCAAATCGAGGCATATGACGGTATAGGGATTCCCAGTGGTAATCGGCTGCACTTGCAGTAGCGAAAAGGCCAGGCTTGCCTAGATTATAGGCATATGCTTCCAATTCCTTCCTTTGCTTATACCAATACGGCCGGGTGCCCCTGATTACCGCGGCTTGGCGCGTGATTGACTGGATCAGCGCCTGAGCCTCCGGCTCGTCAGGCTCAGCCATCGCTTCCTCTAGGTCGGCGCGGGTAAGGGGTTGACGGCGGCTGTCGCGTTGCTTGACGAAGTAGTCACTTCGCTTTCGGACCTGCGCACGTAACATCGTATTGAGGGCGACGAAAGGCCACGTCTTATGGCGGGCAAAACGTCCGTCATGCCATCTCATCGCATGGCCAAGGTAGTCCTGATACGTGATGCTCCGTAAGCGAAGCTCCACGAAGTCGGCCTTGCCGTCAGGGTAGAGGGTAGGGAACGCGAGCGTTAACAGCGGCTGGGAACGGTTGAATTCGTCGATAGGGGTCCTGCGAATGGAAGGCAGTGGCATCTGGTGGTGAGTCTGCGCGCTACGCGGCATATACTCCAGATCAGTCATGCGCCCAGGGTTAGGGGTCCCATCAAGAAATCGGGACTGCAGAGCGTTCAATTCGGTATCAGTGACCTGCAAATTCGGGATCGCTGATGCATCGGCATCGCTAGGGTCCTCTTCCACAACCTCCTCAACGGGACCTTGGGGGACCTCGCCGTCAGCTATGTCAGCCACTTGGCTGGCAATGGAAGCAACTATGCTGCCATCAAGAGGAAGACGTTGCAGGCGATTCTGGCTCACAACAATATCGCGATAGCCCGGGTGGTGACGGTGTAGGTAATGCAGCCAGGCCGACAGGCACGAGCGACGTACCCGGAAATCGCGAGCAAACTGTTGCCGAAAGCGAGGGTCGCCCTCCACATTAGGAGGCCGCAGGAGGACGATATCTAGCTCTTCAGGTAGGACTGGGAGCTCTTCAAAGAGCCTGCCAACATTGCGAAGGAAGTGGACAACGTGACCGCGATATTTGTATTGAGCGCCACGCACCTGCAAGACTTTCACATGTACGTGAACCCTAGCGATGAGCATCTCCTCGACCATCGTTAGATCAGGTAGATTGGCGGGGACTTCCCCAAAATCAAGGTTATTCGCAGCGCTAAAGAAGTAGGGCTCGTCGAGGGCTTTCTTCCTGTCTCGGCCAATGCAGCGACTGCAGATTTTCGAGCTATTTCGCTTCATATCGAACCAACGCTCCTGGCAGCGAATGCAACTATGCACCTTGTCGTCATTCAGGGCAGTATAGAACTCCTGCACAAGAGCCCGATCCTCCTCACTAAGGGCAGGCAAGTTAAGGTCCCCTGTAAAGGGCGGATCAACCATCTGATCGAACTGTCGCTCTTGAGGCTGTGGCCGTGGCCGGGGGTTAATGTTGACTTGACGTGTATAACGGCCGCGGCAATGACTCTGTGGCAGTAATGAAGGAGTGGCAGGAAGCCATTCTTGTGATATAGACGTGCTTAGCACAAAAGGGGTGGCAGAAAGAGTGACTTCAGGAATCGGCGTGCCTAGAACCACCGTTGGCAGGCCAGGAGTAGGAGGGATAGGGGAAGATCCCTCTACAGCGCTTGGGGTAGAAGGCCCCTGCGGAGCTCTGAGCATTCCCGTCGGTGCAGGCACCAGGCCACGGAATAAATCAGCCATGGAAGGAGGCTGTAAGGCGTTCGCAGACGCAGGCGTTGGTGCAGTCCGCCTTGGAGGCGTCAGGTTAGCTAGTGAATCGGTCCTCTTCGAGGCTCTGCGTGGCAATGGCTTCGAGGCGATCTTCTGCATTGCGGCGACGACGGCTCGGTATTCGGTTATCCGCTCCCTTCGGCGTGCCCTACAGTTAGCGCACTCTGTTGTGAACTTTGTAGGGTCCTTGACGCTTCGAAACTCGACTTCGGGCAGGTCTTGCTTGCAGGTACGGCAGTTGCGGACCGCCTGGGGTGTATCGTTCTCCATCTGACAGTATATATCCACTTCGTATCGACCTAAGTTGCTATATATTACTCGGGCAGGGAGGCTTTGCGAGGGTTTGGCGGTGCTAGCAGAGCTGGCTGACAGCCGAGAGGTCCAAGACCATGATAGATCTCAATAGGGAGGCTGTCTTTGCGGTCGTTAGATCAGGTCTAAACAATGTAGGAGGAGACTGTACAGCTTGCCTGGAGGTAAGGTAACCGGGGAATATTGAGAGGTAGGTCGGCCGCGGAGGTGATGTGTGAAACCTAGATACCGTTAGCAAACCAATGCGTTTGATAGATTCGACGGAAAAGAGAAAGAAGTGAAAGCTCTTGGCGAGCCCTTGGAGAGCTCCTTGGTTACCTAGTCAACGCTCAGGGGTTTATGGTGGGCCTTCATTTGGTGGCGTTATCAGCCGACCAATTCGTTCGCGAGTTGAGCACAGGGGAGGCTAATTGGCCAATCAGAAGAGGTTTTATGCTCGATTCTTTCTGACTGAGTAGAACGCCCTTCGGGCTGAATGACGAGGGGAAGGCTCGCCAGCCGCGGCTCGCGCAAAGAGGCCTTTCGGAACGAAAGTTGGCGATGGCGACAGGAGAAAGTCGGGGAGAGGAGAGAGTTGGCGACAGGAGATAGGAGACAGGGGAAGTGAGAGGAAGACAGGAAGAAGAGTGAGATAAGAGATATGAGATGGAGATCCGGCGAGAGACGTAGAGCATTATCGTGAGTGAAATCGAGACAGAGCGTCAGAGAGGCAGCCTAGGCCGCTGCAAGGAGATTTTGCTTTGCAAAGGCGCAAAGGGCGTGGAGAGGCGGCAGGGGTGAAGAGAGTTGTGGGTGGGTAATGCATGTGTGGGCGAGTGGAAGGCTCTGAGGATTTACAGGTGCTATAAGTGGTGGATATAAACAGAATAAGGAGTATATTGGAGAAGTTTTGACTGGATTGTCTTTGTGAAAAGGAGAGCAAGAGGAGAAGGAAATATCCCATTAGGGCCTTTCGCACTTGAGTTTGAGGATGATGAAACATGTTCCTTGTCATGTTGTGTTGTTTCGTTCGTTGCTTTACAGAATATTCTTGGGCGGATGTCGGGCGCGGTGGGGTCGGGAAGAGATTGACGCCGGAGGTCTGATAGGGCCAGAGGCGGATGTGGCTGGGTGATTGACTGGCTCGGTGTCCGTCTCTGAGTCTCCGGGTCTTCGTGGGACAGAAGGGAGGAAGTGTCGGATTTGGCGGGGCCTCGACTATCACAGGCGGCGACTATGGTGGAAATTTCTGGAGAAAGTCGCGGTCTCTTGGTTGGGGTTTGGTCGGGATCGGGCAATGACCGCTTTGATGTCATCATAAGAGATCGACTGACCTAGATGCAGGCGGCGTGGGAGGCGCCGCTTGGGGCGGCATTGCGTTTTTGGTAGAGGTAAACCTGGCCAACGCATCGCTATAGTCCGAGGGTTGCCGACTGAGCCCTTGGGTGTCGTCGGCAGTAGCTGTGTCGCAGAAGCCTGGTTGGACATGGCCCTGTCAAGGAAAGTCCATGTATCGGGGACGACGATGAAGATATAGTCTTGCTCGAAGGCCGGGGCATGTGTCATGATCTGGTGATCGAGTAAGCCGGCGATTTTGCCCGTGCAGGTGAGGAGAGCGTTCGGCTGGAACTGGCTATCGCGCCTCTCGGTCATCTTCTTGCATAGGAGGTCCAAGCATTGGCGTGAATGGGGAAGATGACGAAAAGTTGAAAGGGATGAAAGCCCTTGAAGGGTGTTTGCCCGGAATCCCAGGACAGATAAAGGTCGAGAGCTGGACAAAGCCGCAACAGCTCAGCTGGGTGTCGTCAAGGGCCGCAGCCGAGTTTCCATGCAGAAGGTCGCGGCCGGAACCGATGACAGGTCCCGTGAAGGAGACAATGGGTTGTATCGCTGGGAAGGCATCCGCCGAGCCGAGGGTGCGAGGATGACTCTGTGGCCATCGTCAGAGATGGTAGTGGTGACGGAGGTCTGGAGCATACACCTACGGCTGGTAGCTGTGGTCGCGGACGATGAGAGCCGGGATGGTGTATTCTGTAATGTTGTCATCCTCCGACTCGAAGCTATCACGTCGCTCGATTTCCCACGTCAGGGCAAAGGGATGAACACGGCCGACCATAAAGAACCACTGCTCGGTCCATTCCGAGGGGATTATCTGTTGGTTGTATATGGAAATATTAAAGCTCAAGAAGATGCAGGTCGATGGATTGTCAGGATCTGACCGGATTGCTGCATACTCTGGAGTCGACAGCCATGAGGGCGTTGGAAGGAAGACCCTCGCTAGGGTTTCTGCGTTGAGCCCTTTGACACGATGCTCATTCTGGTAGGCGAACCTAGACGGGCAGCCGGGCTGGACAAAGGCCATCATGGACATGTCGGCGCCAGCATTTTCTGGCTGTCAAGAGGTTGCCGCGGGGAGGACGAGGTATCGACGTTGAGCTGGGAGGCCGACATCGTGAGAACATGGCAGATGTGGTCACCGTGGAAGTGTAAAGGAGGGTTAGGCAGAGTAGAGGTAGGCATCCTATAAAGCAGGTTTTCTTGCTGCTCGAAAGAGGGCTCGTGGCTCGGGTCGGGGAGACTTGAGAGTCAGTGAATGCTACCTAGGTGATAGATCAGAAGCGGGGGTATGCGGGAATGAGCTGGCGAGGTTCTCGAGCAGTCTCGACCATCTGGTTCTGTGGTCGTGAGTGAAGTAGGGAGCCGGGGGTTGGAAGTTGAGTAGGGGTGATGGCTATGTTGCGAGAAGTTGGAGGTCGGCGAACGGTAAGGTTAGTGTGGGTAAGACTGCGGAGAAAGAAAGTCCAGTAGTCCCCTTCGGTGTCATCGTTGCATGGAGTAGATAGCAAAGGGGGCAATAACGAATGAGAGTGAAGGAAAGAAAGAGGTTATGGTAGTATTGCAGGACTCCCTTTTTGACGGTCGTCGGTAGTTGGATGGGCATTGCGTGCGGCTGAGCGAGGCGGGTGCCGACCGTGTCGAGTCTACTATTGGGACACGGTGAAGTCGGATATATGGGTCGACCTGAGGAGGAGGATGCGAGTTGGTCACGAGAACTTTCCAAGAGGGTTTGCAAGTCGAGACTCCGGTGGCTAGCGACTACAAGAGGACAGGCAGGGGGGTCCTGGCTATCGCTTTAGCATTAAGGCCGTTGATGCGACATTGGTGCTGGCGAGGGAGCAAATCTAGAAGGGTAGTCCGGCTGCATGAGGGACGTCATGGACATGTTATCGCCGGCAGCCTTGTGGCTGTTGCTCGACGAGGCGGATTGGCGGGTATTGATGGTGAACTGATGCGCAAGGTTGGTAGGATGGTGTTGGAAGGGCTGAAGAGTATGGTTTGAAGTGTGCGGCAGGCGGTTGTCGCGGCCATCTCCATGTGCCGGAGGTCGGCAGTGGCCAGGATTCGCTGGAGTGCGCAAAGAGAGCACGGCGATGGAAGGGTCGCTTTTGGCAAAGCTGGGGTAGCAGGTCGCACGTGGAGACCAGGCGAGGCCGGGACGGTGGACGCACATAGATAGGCATGGTAACGGGGGAATATAGAGGGGTAGTATTGCATCGCCTCGGTACCATAGGGAAGCATTTTATAGGGAAGCTATAAGGGAAGAAACGCCACGGCCATGAGGGAAGTGATGGTTAGGGAGCTTCCCATTCGGGAGAAGTAGCGTCGTCAACAAGCGAGACTGTCCAAGTGGAGGTGCTCCGGAGCCAAAGCTTTATAGCCTGTTGCCAATTTACGGCAGTCGACGTCGAGGAGGCAGCAGCATGGCGGACAGTCCTGCAGTGAAGTTAAGCGAGGCGGTTGCTCACCCTGAAGCCTGTTCGTTGTCAGTCGGGGATGGAGAAGAGGGTGAGAACGTGAGCGGGTCGGGTTCGGGGCTCGGAGATGGTGCGACAGGAGCCGGTGTAGATGTGGTGGCAGCTTCTGAGAGGGCCGCAGAGCACGGGGAGAGCCTGGGACGGTTACGAAGATACGAATCACGGGCGAATGCGGCATCAACGTTCCGGCCGATTCAGCCTAGGAAACCTGTGGTTGAAGACACCGCATGGAGACAGCACGCAGAAGCAATTGCGAGGTCGTTGCCGAGAAGACCGCCGCGAGGCGGTTTGCGGTCAAACAGAGCACGGAAGTTCCATAATATGGTTAGCAGCGGAAGTTCCGCGCAACATCAGTCACCGGGTCAGCTTCCGAGGCCCTGTTGCCTAGGGAACGTGGAGATATGGGGTAGCGGACTCTGATCGTCCGCTCCCTCATCGGCACTTTCTGCCTCAGGAGGGAGATCCTGAAGATGAGGAGCAACGTGTTACGGCGGCGGCGGGCGATGTCCGAGTGTTCATTCGAAGGAGGTACCGAAGCTTCGATCCATCCAGCCTAGGGAACCGGTATTCGACAACTTAAGAGAAAACGGGCAATTAGCAGCAGCGATTGCGTCTGGTTTGCCCAAGCGCCGTCGGGGACGGAGTTGGCGGGTAAAGGAGTACCAGGCCGCAGGGGTGTCTCCAACGCAGCAGGTACGGCGCAGCATCCGGGGCCGTCTCCTGTGGGGTGGGCGACGCCGCGGCAGAGCCAGCGGACGCTTCGCTGAGCGGGCGGAGGCTGCAGCAAAGGGAGGTGGGCGGCTCATCGCGGGTGGCGGCTGGGAGCCCGTGCAGTTTGATCGGCAGCAAGAACGAGGAGAGTGCTGGAAAGGGCAAGGACTGAGGTCAAGGTTCGGCGTGGAAAACGTTCGCCAGCACGGCCCGGTGCCTGTCCAGTGCAAAGGGCCGGATGGCGTGTCAGGGATGCGCACGTAGTCGGGCAGTCGTCGCCAAAGCTGCCGCATCCGACGGCTTGCGAAGAAGCGAATCAGCCACGGAGAGAAGAAATCATGGATCGGAGGCGGCCCCGGAGGCGGCCCCGGAGGCGGGAGAAAGAAAACGTCTTCCTGGTCCGGACGAGCGCCCGAGAAAACAGATTCGGAGTGGAATCGGAAGGCAGAGGAGTCGGGAGCTGCGGGCCGAAGACCTGGCGAGTGTGCTGCGTTTTTTGGAGGAAGACTTCGCCATGAAGGAGAGGCTGTCTAACGATCAGACGTGGTGTACGCCAATACCGCACGACAGGAAGGTGTCGACGGTGCGGGATTTTTATCAGGCGTTCCACGATGCGAGCACGTTGCCGATACGGACCTGCATGATGTGCTACCGCAAGCGTACGAGAAAAGAGCTGAGGAGATCAGATGGGATCAATGGCTGTCAAGCTGCGTGCCAGAGGGCGGCCGCTCACCATTTTCATGCCGGAGCTGCTTTCCGAAGGCGAGCCCGTGTCGGTGTGTGTGGAGTGTGCCCGATGCCTGGCGCGCGGGAGTCTGTCGCCGGCGGTCCATCTTCACACTCGCCTTGGCTGTGAGCACATGTTCCCTGACGAGCTCAAGGGACTCACGCTGGTCGAAGAGAAGCTCGTCTCGCTCAACTCCTGCTATGGGTTTGTCACGAGATATAGCATTCCGGGCGGGCAGAGGCAGGCCGTGAGGTATCCGAGGCACGTCAAGGGCCACATCACAGTGTTTCCCAACAACGTGCAGGAGCTGGCGACCAGGTGCTCCCGCACCCCTTTGCAAGCACTGGACGAGATCCACGTTTCGTGGCAGGGCGTGGAGAAGCCGGCACCGAGCGACCTGTCGAGTCTCTTGTCGGTGAGGCGGCGGGTCGTCGAGAGGGCTCTTGTTTGGCTGAAGAGGAGCAACCCCACTACGCCGAGATCGAGATCGACGTGGCGGAGATGGAGAGTTGGGAGACCCGATAGACGGGGTGCCGGCCTGGTGTATGATCGCATGGAGCGGAACGAGCCGTCCGCATGGGAGAAAACGCGGACGGCGCACGTTGTGCCGCCCACGGAGCGCGCCATGGACGACGAGGGGTCGGTGGAGATCGAGGAACTCTTCGCTCTGCTCAACCAAAGGCAGGAAACGGGAGGCGAGGCTGAAGGGCACGGGCCCAACGAAGAAGGCGCGGGTCGTGATGGAGTTGGTGCTAGCCCCGATCAGAACGTTCGACCAATCAACGAGGTGACGTCTTCCGGCATGTTCGGGCTGGACGGACCGCCAGACGTGGCGGATGTCGAGAAGCTGCGGTTTGCCTGTGACGCTGTTGGCGCAGGTGCCGACGGCCGCGCGGCCGAGAACGTGGGTCGGATCCTCGGTGGGGGGGGCTCGAGGGCGTGGCGACGATGGCAGTGAGCCATACATTCGAGTCTCGCGGGGGGATGAGTTTGCCGACTCCTTTGAGACGTCCTTCTTCGCCAGAACGTTCCCGACCCTGTTCCCATTTGGCGTTGGGGACCAAGGCTGGCCGAAGAGGCCATAGCCGAGGCGGGAAGGCCCTTACCAACTTGCGAGGCACCGGTAGAGCTGTTGAGGCAGGGGCGGCTGCGGAGACATCGTATCCTCCCGAAGCTTGAACCTCCGGATTTGGGCCGACATCGTGCTCCGGCGCCATGGTGGCCGGTTTGCGTTGCACCACATATTTGCATTTCTCGTCTTCAACATGGGGGTGCGGTCGAGGAACCGCCGCGTCAGCATGCTGAGTGTGGCGAGGAAGGACTTCGGCAAGGTCGAGCGCGTTGCCCGCTCGATGACCGCGCAAAGGTTAGCGGCGGCGAGGGTCGAGTTGGAGAGCTCGGGCAAGACGACCGATGAGGGCGTGAAGGAGCTTCTCAGAGCCTCTCGCTGTACGGCCACCGGCAACCCATGTCGAGAGGTTCGGCTCAATATGCGGCGGAAAATCCAGTCGCTCATCGTTGGCTACGGCGTTCCGGCCATCTGGTTCACCATCAACCCAAACGACATTACGAACCCGGTGAAGCTGCGACTGGCGGCATATCGGACACGCGATCCCGGCGCGGCCGAGGAGTTCCTAGAAGGCCTTGGGAGTGCGTACAAGCAGACAAGGCTGGCCATGTCCGATCCGATGAGCGCCGCCGTATTCTTCCACCGGGAGATGAAGCTGTTCTTCGATCATTACGTGAAGGTCGGAGAAGAGTCGGTATTCGGGCGCATCGGCAAGTACTATGGCGCTGTGGAGACCAACGAACGAGGGCGCTTCATGTTCACGGCTTGCTCTGGTTGCACGGAAACGCGCATCTCAGCTCGATGCTTGCCGACATCCACGGGGAGGATCAGGCGGCGTATCGCGAGCGAATCATACGATACGTCGATAGTGTCTTCTCCGAGGTAAGAATAGCTAAGACGTGTCACTGAGAACCTGAATTGCTCGTCCGATGGACAAACGGGGCCAGGCTGACGTGCAAGATAGGATCTGGATCAGGAAGGGTTCTGCGCCGTGCAAGCGGAGCGATCTGTGACGTCCGATATTTTCTCCTGCTGGACAACACCGAGCAGTTTTCGGCCGCATTTGACGAGGAGGCCAACTTCTGTGCCGGCGCTACACAGGTTCACACGCATAGCCCGACCTGTGTCAAGTATTCCTTGGGCAAAGGAGCGCGGAAGGGAATCCATGCCGGTTTAAGTCTCCATGGAGGCTGGTCGACAAGACCGCCATCACGGCAGACGGGGTGTTGCAGATCCGGAGGACTCACAGCATGGTCAATCGATGGAACAAGGCTATCGCTGTTGGGCTCCGGCACAACCACGACATTTCCTTCATTGCGACGCAGCGCAAGACCATGGCCCTTATGTATTATGTCACGAACTACGCGACGAAGGTGGAGGACCCGGTGTGGAAGCGTGTGGCGGCCGCGGCCGATCTCCTGGCCGCCTCAACGGGTGACGGCACGGCCAACGGAGGACAGGACGACGGTGGAGGTGCTGTTGGCGATGACGCCGCCAAGGGAACAGGACGCGACAGTTCTTGATGAGGGTGGCGAATCGTGTGTTCACGGAGCGTCCGCTATCTCAGGTCGAGGTCGTCGCTCATCTTCTTGGATATCCGGCCGAGTTCACCAACAGCAGCGCCTGGGCGTACCTGAACACATCTCTGCTGTACTGGGAAGTCTTTCGACGGTGGCCGTATCTCCGACGAGCAAGTGGCGCGGCGGCCATAGATGATACTCTGGATGAGTCGGTCGTTGTCGAAGAAGCAGGCCTGAGGATCTCCCACGTTGAGGCGTACCAGCACCGGGAGAGCTCCTGCGAGGGCTATGCTTATACGACTACATATCGCTCGTTAGACTAAAACGCACCAGTAAGGATGAGAGCTGTGCGGCCTGGGGAGGTGCCCTTCGAGGATGGATGGGCGCCAGGAGACGCTGGGTCCAGGTGCTCAGGCGGCCGGGCAAGCATGCTACCGTCTGCCTCGATGGCTACCTGAGCAAGGACTTCGGCCACAACGACGACGAGGAGTCGTGCCACCGGAGGTGTGTATAGCAACCGCCCTGCCGGCAGGCATCATCAGAGTGGCTCCCCCTCCCCTTAAAGGGCAGCCGTGCAGCATCTTGCGCTATTTGTGCCGTGGGAGTCCTTTCTGTGCGAAGAAACAGGTGAGATCAATAGCATCTGGGAGCGGGCGCGAGAGGCGCTGGCCCCGAGAATATCATGTCTCGTCGACAACGTGCAGCTGCTTCGACGATCAGCCGAAGACGCAAAGCGCGACGCCAAGCAATGGGCGGCCTCATCCGGCGATGGCGATTCCACGGTCGCCCACGTCGAGGAGGGCGAGACAGGCGAGGCGGGCGCAGAATTTGCAGCGACGTATCGGTCCAACAACATCGGAGACGCAACGCGCCTGATCGACGTCGTCCGAGGCGCAGTGGGCACGAATCAGGTGACGGCCAAGTCGCCGGAGCTCATGGCAATGATGCGGCAGCTCTGTCGATTCCAGCAATCGGCGCTCTGCTCAACGGCCGAGCTCGAGGCCATCGCGATTCCCGAACAAGGGTTGAGGTGCATAAGCATGCCAGGGCGGGTATTTTCCGGGGCCGCACTACCGCCGCAGGATCAGGTCAAGGCTATCAAGTCGCAGCAGATAAGTGCGTCGAGGGAAAGGGAGAGAATGATCCAAGGCGTACAAACCACAGTCGCAGTCCGGGAAAGCGATCGCCGAGCTGCGTTGCGGAGGGTGATGACCGGCTTCGGGAGGACGACGTCGAAATGACGACAGCCGACTCCGACGAGACGGCTAGCGACGCAGAAGCGGGAATGCGCGTCCAGCTTGGCCCATCGACCTCCTTCTTCGCGGCGGGCAAGGAGTTGTCAACACGGCTAACGCTGAACAAGAGGCAGTCGATCGCTGTCCTAATAATATGCCGCCAGCTCGATTTGATGCGACAAACGAATAGGGCGATGCCGGCCAGCTCTGCCAGTTCGTCGGCGGCGAGGGGGGCACCGGCAAGTCGCGGATCATTGGGGCACTCGTCGAGCTGTTCAGTGGGAAGAGCCTTTCGAATCGTCTGCTGATCACGGCGACGTCAGGGACTGCCGCGGCGCAGATCAACGGCATCACGATCCACTCCGCCTGCGGGTTCACTAAAGACCAAGGGCGGGCGGCGCGAACACAGCCAAGGACCTTGACGGGGTGCGGCTGACAAAACGGGCGGAGCGGTTCATCCACGGCCAGTCTCGGATGGACTGGCAGGAGAAGGACGTGCTTGTCATCGACGAGGTGAGCATGCTCGGAGCGCGGACGCTGCACGCCATAAACGAGCGACTCTGTCGGCTTCGCGGATCGCAGAAAGATTTCGGGGATCCCCATCGTCCTCTTCTGCGGAGACTTTCAGCAGTTCCGGCCGGTCCAAGAGAGGTCGATCGTCCTGCCGAGCGCGGCCATCTCGTGGGACGTAGACAACTCGTTCAAGGCCGAGCAGCGGCACCAGCACGACAAAGCGCACGCGCTGTGGAAGAGATTCACGACGGTCGTCATGTTGAACGAGCAAATGCGCGCCGCCGGTGATCCGGAATTGCAGGGGCTGCTGAAGCGGATCCGGCAGGGTGTGCAGGACCGCACGGATCTGGACCTCCTCAACTCAAGGTGCTACCGCGAGGGCAGGCGGATCCCTTGGGAGACTGGCATCACCGTGGTGACGCCGCTGAACAGGAATCGGTGGAACCTAAACATGGAGGCAAGCTTGGCGTTCCGGGTCCAGCAGCGGTCGACGATGCGCATCTTCATCTCCGAGCACAAGTGGAAGGAGGGCCTGCCGACCGAGGAAGAAGCGATCATGGTACTCAATCAAGGCGACGATAGCGCGATCCCCGTGCCGGCCGTCTTCATGTTCGTGGCCGGGATGCCGGTCGTCGTGAACCACAACACCCATCAGGGGCTGAAGCTGGTGAACGGCGCCGGCTACTCGGCGGTGGAGGTCATTGTCGACAAGGCGTCCCCAGGGCATCGAATCTCGTCCGACATGACGATCCACTTCGGCCGCCGGCGGGGATATTACTGGAATCGGCGACGACAAAGGACCTCCACTTCGTCGGGATGCCGCCGGGCACGATCTTGTTAACGCCGATGAGCGTCAGGATACACTGCCAACGAAAGCGGCCGTGGCAGCAGAACGACGTCAGCCGGAAGGGATTGCCGTGCGCAGCAGCCTTCGCCTGCACGGACTACAAGGTGCAGGGCAGAACGCCAGAGCGCGTGGCCCTGGAGCTGCGGGGACACGGACGACGAAAGTCGATGGAAGGGCCGTGCCCTCGCAATGCGACCCGTACAGCTTATATGTGCAGCTATCGCGCTGTCGAACGCTAGACGGCATCACGCTCGTGTCCAAGGTGCGGAGAGAGACTTGGTGGGCAACCGAGTCCCCGAAGAGATGACCGCCGCGCAGGCCAGGCTGGAGGTGCTAAGCGAGAGGACTGTCGAGGAAGCTTTGCGTCGGTCGGATGGCGACGCTGAAGAGTCAAGGAGAGTTGTCAGGGTGAGGTGACGAGGGGAGAAGACGGAGGAGCGCCGGCGGGCAAGAAGACAAGGGCACTGGGCAGCAGCGATCAACGAGGGCGACTTTTAGACTTGAAGGAAGAACCCGCTAGAAAGGCATGAACGAAAAGGGCAAAGACAAAAGACGCAAGTTTTAGACACAATAAGAAAACCGGCGGACGAAAGGAAAAAGGTTGGCATTGGCATTGGCATTGGCAAGGGGGTAAACAGGAGTATAAACGGGGGGGAAACAGGGCAAGGCATGAGAGGGGCAAGAGAAGGCGGCAGCGACCAATGATGAGGGAGGGACGGAAGGGTCGGCGACCAATCACACGGGATCTTTTATTCCGAAAGAGGAAATAAATCAGCCAAATCAGAGGCGGAGGATGTGGGGGTGAAGCAGTCTGGGGCCTTTTTTCCCCGCGCGCTAATGAAGTCCTTTCGTTCCTCACAAGGCATGAAGTCCTTTCGTTCCTCAAGGCACGGGTAAGGCAACCCCTCATGGGTTGCGCAAAGAGCCTTGAGGAACGAAGACTGAAGATTGGAGAGACAAACAAGACGAAGACAGAGGGCGAGAGAAAAGAACGCAAGCGGGCGGTAGCGCTAGGAACTAAAGCATGCAAGAAGGTAGGCAAAGAAATCGGCCATTCGGGCACCATCCCGCAGCGGGGAAGAGGCAGAAAAAGCAAGAAGGCAAGTAACGCGATGATAACGGTTGCGGGGTAAGAGAGAGGAAGGGAGTATAAGAGAGGCGCCAAGGCACAAACAGGAGACAAGAGCATAAGCGTCTACCCTAGCTACCGATCGAGCAGTTAGGAAAACAACTACAGCATGGCCACTTGCAACGTTTCCGTGGAGTTCTGGTGCGAATTCGGGGCCACGGAGCTCAAGTACAAGCATAGCATCCCGAAGACGCTCGTGACGCAGGTAGGCCAGGCGAGGCCGAACCACGAAGCCAGCGCACTGTTCCTACAGTGGATAAGGCCGATCCTACGGGAGCACGAGGCGGCGTGTCGGAAGGCAGCAGGGGCGCGCTGCGAGAGTTGCGGCGAAGTCGCAAAGGACATTCTACAGAGCCCGATATCGTACCTACATGCAGAGGCCGTTTGTGCTCGTGGTCGTGTCGTCATTCTGCGGTCAAGAAGGATGCGAAATAAGGGCGAGGCAGGAAATGCAGGACACGATGGCAGAGGCGGGGCAGGCGGACGGAAGCATGGGCGCAAAGCAAATGCAAGGGCAGGATGCACAGAGCACAGAGGAAGGTCTGCCGGGTTTGTGGAGAGATGGCGGGGGCGAGGAGGTGCAGCCGATGCCTGGCGGTCGCGTATTGCAGCAGGCAACACCAAAAGGAGGACTGGAAGGTACACAAGAAGGGATGCAAGCCAAAGGCAAGCTAGGGAGCTAGTGAGGGGAAGCAAGCAACGCCGTCGAGGCGGCCTTACGGCCAGCCTCAAACGCCGCAACGGCCTTTGTAGAACCCGCCGACTTCAACGACCGTCGTCCCTATGGCTTGCACAACTAAGGAACGGCATATAATATTTTATAGTAGAAAACCGTATCCTCCATGTAGAGCAATGACCGATAGGCGAGAAGCGGAGTCGGCTTCCGCAACAAAGACGCCTTTTGCCGAGGCGCAACTACAGGCCCCCCGTCGCCGCTAAATGCAGCCGAGAGGTGCGGCGGCAAGCTGGCAAGGAAAAGAGAAGGGGCGAAGCGCAACGCACAGGACACAAATGAGGTCACGGAGAACGTCTAGAGGCAGGCACTTTCGTAAGAAACGGGTTCGGAAGCTAAAGCTGTCCTTAAAAGGGACAAACGCTGTAATGTGCAGAGTAATAGTAATTCTAGAGCGACAATTTGCGTTAGGAGCAGCACCCCGGGAGGGAGAACAGTTCGTTTTAGTAAAGGTAGGAGGCGTAAGAGAGCGATGGGTCTATAGTAGGTAGCTTATTTCTGCATGCGATAGCGAAGAGGGCGTGCGGGCGGGTCGGAGGTGCTCGCGACGATAGAGTTGAGAGGAATCCGGGCTGGCCGTCGGAGCGGGAACGGTGGGGCGCCGTCCGGTCGAGACGGAAAAGCGGCCGGCGGAGGAGGAGGAGGGGCGGCGGAGCCGACGGTGTTCGAAGACGAGGAAAGCGGCGAATACTGCTGCTGCAGGAAGCGCGCCCTCTTCATGGGCGTATCGGCCAGGGCCGGGGCGATCGCTTAGGCGGCGGCGTGACGGGGTCGAGGGCTGGCGGGGCCGGGGCCGAGAAAGGGGGCGGCGCGGTCGAGGCCGGCGCGGCAACAGAGTACAAGGCGGCACGGACGGAATCGAAGGTAGAGGAGGCGGATTGGGTCTGACGCCTAAAGGGCGTAGCGAGGGAGCCGAGGCGGCGGCCGCCGCCGAGGGCCGATCGACAAAGGTCCAGCTGTCCGGGACGATGATAAAGACGTAATCGCTCCGAGCCCGGGGAGAGCATAACGCGGTGGTCGAGAAGGCCGACGACCTTTCCGGTGCAGGTAAAGGGACGCCGGGCAGGAAGGAAGAGTTAGGCTTTTCAGCGATTTTCTTGCATAGCACGGCCCAAGGGTTAACGTAGACGGAAAGATAACAAAGACCTCGAAGGGTGGTAGCCCTTATATGGAATCCTGTCCGGCAGGCCAGGGCGATGTAGGTCGTGAGCCGGACGAAGCCGCAGCAGCGGAGCTGGTCGGGCCCGAGATTGGGCAGGAAATCTCGACGCAGGAGGTCGAGGCCGGGCCCGGCTACGACGCCATGGAAGGAGACAACGGGAGGCGTAGACGGAACTGGCCGCTAGAGGCCAGGAGCGCGGCAGGACGCTAGGGGCAAAGTCAGCGGGGCGGTGGGTGAGGAGGCGCATTAAAATGAAAAGGGGAGGGGGGCCCACGGCTGGTAACCTTGGTCGCGGACAATAAGGGCGGGCACGGTGTAGAGAATAGTATCGTCCGGGCCGGCCTCGAGCCCGTCGCGGCGCTCCACCTCCCAGGAGAGGGCGTAGGGGTGAACGCGGCCGCTCATAAAGAACCACTGCTCGGACCAGTCGGTATCGACGACCGGCTGGCCGTAGATGGAGAGGTTTAGACTAAAGAAGAGGGAGGGCCCTAGATCGTCGCCCTCGGCCCGGAGGGTGCATACTCCGACTCTAGCAGCCACGAGGGCACCGGCAGGAGGACTCGGGCGATGGCCTCGGCGTTAAGGCCCCTGATGCGGTGCTCGTCTTGGTGGGCAAACCTCGCGGGGCAGTCGGGCTGGGCGAAGAACATCATGGACATGTCGCCGCCCGCGCCCTTGCCAGTGGCAAGGGGCTTGCGGAGGTGCGGGGCAGAGCTGTCCGCCGACGGAGACGAAGACATGGCGAGGCCGTGTGGTGGAAGAGCAACGTTGCCGGAGCGAAGCTAGAAGCGGCGAGGTATAGGGGCAGGAGTGCTCCCTACCAATATGCCGTCTTTAGAGTTTAGTGTAGTAGGGAAGGGCTGGTGGCCGTGGTGTATAAGAGAAGTCAAAGGATCCTAAACGAAGACGCAACGTAGCGTTAGCGGTAGGCTAAGATAAGGAGCCTATATGAAGGAGGTCTATAAGATGCGTATAGAGAAAAATGCGACAAGAGGAGAAGAGGAAACCTCGAAAGGCGGTCTAGTAAGACGTAGAGGGTTTTAAGACAAGCAGGACGCGCGAGGCTATGTTCGAGGAGAAGGAGGCAGACTTATTCGCAACACGTGTAAGACATGGGTTCAAAATTCAGCAGGCGAGCGTCTAGGGGCGTACTGAGGCTTTGACCGACAAGACCTAGATGACAAGAAGGGAAAGTGTACCATGCAAAGCACAGGCAAGAAGAGGCCGTCTCGGCGACCTACACGTAAGGACCGGCCGAGGCCGTATAGCCCGCCGCCTTTAGCGGCGGGCAATGGCGGGCGGGCTCGATAGCAAGGCGGCGCCGGTATAATGTAAAGAGCAGCGGCACGCCTGTAGACGTACTAGAGAGCTACGAGTAAGATATAAGATATATAGACTTCCCTAGAGGATCCTGCACCCACAGGAGGGTGCCAGTCAGCAAGACAAGTGCAGGACGAATGGTCGAGGCAAGGACTTATACGCCGTTATTACACTTACGAGGATCAACGCCGGGAGCCCAGTAGCACCGCAAGTAGGCGGGGCCGAAGAGGCAGCGCAAGAGAGGAAGACAAGAGGTCCGCGGGGGCCTCGGTAGACCGGTGTCGCGATGAAGCCAGCTAACGGAGGGCCCAGTCCGGAGCGGGTGACAGGGCAAGCCCGGCGCCAGAAGCCCGAGCAGCGCCGTACACAGGACCAGAGTTCCGGCCGATCACAGCAGCGCCGGCACTCGGTCGCGGCGCCTCTCGGAGAGAGCAAGAAGAGGCGTCGGGAGGCGCCTCCGAGGCGAGGGCGGGGAAGACCGCCAGGACTAGGGAAATGGAGGATCAGCGCAGGCCGAGTCGCGCCGCGGGATATCCAGCCTCAGCCGACACCGAGTGCGGCGGGGCAGTGGCTGCCGCTAGGCAGGCCGAGCGCCGTCTCGGCCTCAGGGAAAATCCGACGTGCACCGAGAGAAATTCGGCCTCTGCCGACGGTGGAGACCGCCGGGCCTCCGCCGCCGGCGACGTGGAGTTCGGTCGCCCCGCGGGACATTCGGCCTCAGCCGACATGGAGGGCCGCCGGGCCCTCGCCGCCGTCAAACGTAATGGGTTTGGCCTCAGCCTTGGCCGGAAGGCGGGGGGCTCAGGATGCCCGGCCCAAGCGGAGGGCCGCCGGCCCGTTGCCGCCGCGAGCCATCCAGTCCCGGCCGGCCAGTAGGGCCGAGGCTCCGGCCACAACTCCCGCCGCAGCCGGGCCGCTTGTTTCAGCATTGGCCGGAAGCCGGGGCTTCCAAGATATCCGGCCCCAGGCGCCAAAGAGGGCCGCCGGGCCTGCCGCTGGCGACGAGAAGTTCGGACGTTCCGCGGGACATTCGGCCACAGCCGACATGGAGGGCCGCCGGTCCTTCGCCGCCGTCGAACGGGATAGGTTTGGCTTCAGCCTTTACCGGAAGCCGGGGGGCTCCGCAGGATATCCGGCCCCAGCCAACATGGAGGGCCGCCGGCCCTTCGCCGCCGTCGAGCGGGACTAGCCCGGCCGTAGTCTCGGCCGGAAGCCAGCACTCGCCGAGAGCCATCCAGTCCCGGCCGGCCAGCAGAGTGGAGGCTCCTGCCACAACTCCCGCCGCAGCCGGGCCGCTTGTTAGCGGCAGAGATAGCGCACCGGCAGGTACGGCCGTAGAGCGAGGTGAAGGTGTATAGCCGCGACAGCTAACCGGCCGCAGGTAGAGCGGCGATAAGACGGCAGGCGAGAGAAGAGCAGAAGAGGAAACGCCATCTTAGTGGTGGGCAGGCCGGGCGGAAACGCGCCCGGGTCGGCGAAAGGATGCCGAGACGAAGGAGCTGCAGGCCGAGGACCTAGCCAGCGCGCTGCGGCACCTCGACGAGGAGTTCGAGGCGGGCGAGAGGCTGGCCAACGAGCAGACGTGGTGCGCGCCGGTGCCGCGCGAGAGGCAGGTGAGGACGGTGCGGAGGTTCTACCGGGCGTTCCACGACGCCGGCACGCTGCCGATTATGACCTGCACGCTCTGCTACCGGAAGCGGGATAAGGGGGAGCTGAGGGAGATGGCGTGGGAGGGGTGGTCGCGGAGCGACGCTGCGGGGGGCGGGCGGTCCCCGATCGGGTGCCGAAGCTGCTTCCCGGAGGGCAGGCCGGTTCCGGTCTGCGCGGAGTGCGCACGATGTGCCGGGCGCGAGGGGGCGTCGCCGGCCATGCACCTCCACGGGCGGCTCGGCTGCGAGCACGCGTACCCCGACGAGCTGAAGGACCTCACGCCGCTCGAGGAGAAGCTCATCTCGCTCAACTCGTGCTACGGCTTCGTGACCAAGTACAGCATCCCCGGCGGCCATCGGCAGAGCGTGAGGTACCCGAGGCACGTCAAGGGCCATATCACAGTGTTCCCGAACGACGTGCAGGGCCTGGCCGCCAAGGTGCTCCCGCACCCGCTAGTCAGGGTCATGGACGAGATCCACGTCTCGTGGCAGGGCGCCGAGAGGCCCGGGCCGCGGGACCTATCGGGCCTGCTGTCGGTAAGGCGGTCGGCGGTCGAGAGGGCGCTGGCCTGGCTCAAGGAGAACAACCCGCTCTACGGCGAGGTCGAGATCGACGCAGCGGAGATGGCCAGCTGGGGACGCCGCCGCACGGTGCCGCCGGTGGTGTGCGAGCGGCTGGAGCGAAACGAGCCGTCGGCGCGGGAGAGGACGCGGACGGCGCAGGTGGTGCCGCCGTCGGAGCGGGCCATGGACGACGGAGGCGCGGCCGAGATCGAGGAGATCATCGCGATGCTAAGGCAGGGGCGGGACCCCGCCGAGGGGGGCCGCGACGTCGGGCTCACGTGCGAGGACGACGATAGGGACGCCGCTAGGCCCGAAGAGGACGGGGACGTAATCAACGAGGTGACGTCTTCCGGCATGTTCCCGTTGGACGGGGCGCCAGAGGTGGCCGATGCCGAGAAGATTCTCTTCGCCCGCGGTGCCGTCGGGCCCGAGGGAGCGCGCGCCGGCCCGAGGACGTGGGTAGGGACGGCGGCCGGAGGGACGGCGGCCGACAGCAACGGCGGCGACGGCGAGCCGTACATAGAGGTGCGGCGCGGCGACGACTTCGCCGACTCGGCGGACGCCTCCTTCTTCGCTAAGGCCTTCCCGACCCTGTTCCCCTTTGGCGTAGGGGGGCCGAGGCTCGCCGACGAGGGCGCTGCGGTGGAGAACGCAGCGCCTAGCGTCGGGAACCGGGGCGCCGAGGCGGAGCGGGTCGCGGAGGCCCTTATATCGACGCGGAACATGACCCTCCAAGCGTGGGCCGACGTCGTGCTGCGGCGCCACGGCGGCCGGTTCGCGACGCATCCTATCTTCGCCTTCCTCGTCTTTAACATGGGCGTACGGTCTAGGAACCGCCAGGCCAGCATGCTCGGCGTCACGAGGAAGAACTTCGCAAGGGTCGAGGGCCTGCTTAAGTCGTTAACGGCGGCGAGGGTCGAGGCGGCGAGGGTCGAGCTCGAGGCCACAGGCAAGACTAGCGACGACGGGGTAAAGGAGCTCCTCCGGTCCCTCTCCGTGTTCGGCTACCGGCAGCCGATGTCGAGGGAGAGCCGCCTTAATATGCGGAAGAAGATACTATCCCTCATCGTAAGGCACGGGGTGCCGGCCATATGGTTTACGCTGAACCCGAACGACATCACGAACCCGGTAAAGTTACGGCTGGCGGCGCACCGCGCCCGCGACCCCGACGAGGCCGAGGCCTTTCTAAGAGACCTGGGGACCGCGTATAAGCGGACGCGGCTGGCCATATCGGACCCGATGAGCTCGGCCGTCTTCTTCCACCGGGAGATGACGCTCTTCTTCGAGCACTACGTCAACGTCGGGGAGGAGTCGGTGTTCGGGCACGTCGGCGCGTATTACGGGGCGGTCGAGACCAACGAGCGAGGCGCTCTCCACATCCACGGGCTCCTCTGGCTCAAGGGCAACGCGGGTCTCGGCGAGGCGCTGGCCGGCCCCGATACGGATGAGCAGGCGGCGTACCGGGAGCGCATCGTCCGCTATGTAGATAGCGTCTTCTCTGAGGTAAGGCGGCCGCCTTAAGATGACCACCCCTCTCTATAAAGCCCCTATATATTGAAGGCAGAAGGGGTCCCGAACTAACCCGAGGCTGCAGGAGCTAGACGCGGAAGGTTACTGCGCCGTGCAGGCGGGGCGGTCGGCCACGGCGGACATATCGTCGCGGCTCGACGACGTCGCGCGCTTCACGGACACCTTCGACGAGGAGGCCAACTTCTGCGCCGGCGCGACGCAGATCCATACGCACAGCGCGACCTGCGTAAAATACTCGCTCGGCGTGGGGGCGCGTAAGGGGGACCTCTGCCGGTTCAAGGCGCCGTGGAGGCTGGTGGAGAGGACGGCGCTGACGGCGGACGGGGCGCTCGAGATCCGGCGGACGCATAGCATGGTAAACCGGTGGAATAGGGCGATGGCAGTAGGGCTACGGCACAACCACGACATCTCGTTCATCGCGACGCAGCGCAAGACCATGGCCCTAATCTACTACATTACCAACTATGCGACGAAGGTAGAGGACCCCGTGTGGAAGCGGGTGGCCGCCGCGGCCGAGTTCCTTCCCGCGCTAGAGCCGACGGGAGAGGGCAACGGAAGTGGCGCCGACCGCGACGCCGGCCGGGGGGGCGGGGCCGAAGGGGTGTCGACGGTGGCGGACCCCATAGGGAGGAACAAGACGAGAACGTTCCTGCTCAAGGCGGCGAACCGAGTGTTTACGGAGCGGCCGCTGTCGCAGGTCGAGGTGATCGCGCACCTCCTAGGGTACCCGGCGGAGTTCAGCAGCGGCTCGGCGTGGGCGTACGTAAACGTGAACCAGCTCTACTGGGCCGTCTTCCGCCGGTGGCGGCACCTCCGACGGGCGAGCGGCGCGGAGGCGACGGGCGACGCGCCGGACGAGACGGTCGTCGTCGAGGAGGCCGGCCCGAGGATCCCTCGTCGAGGCCTACCGGCACAGGGCGAGCTCCTGCGGGGCCTCTGCCTTTATGACTACGCATCGCTCGTAAGGCTAAAGCGAAACGGCAGCGGCGCCGACGGTGGGACGGGCTGGGGCGAGGTACCCTTCGCGGAGAGCTGGGCGTCGGGGAAGGGCTGGGTGCAGGCGCTTAGGCGGCCGGGCAGCGGGGCGACCGTATGCCTCGACGGATACCTCAGCAAGGAGTTTAGCGAGGAAGACGACGAGTCGTGCCACCGAAGGTGCGCACTACAAGACGGGGAGCGCCCAAGGGGAAGGCAGCGCGGCTAGGGGCATCGGCTAACAGCGCCTAGGGCGGCGGTGCAGCACCTGGCCCTGTTCGTGCCGTGGGAATCCTTCCTCGGCGAGGAGGCAGGCGACATTAACGACATCTGGGCGCGGGCGCGGGGGTCGCTGGCGCCGAGGGTCGCGCGGCTCGCAGACAACGTGCAGCTCCTCCGGCGGTCGGCGGAGGACGCGAAGCGCGACGCCAAACAGTGGGCCGCCACGTCGGAGGAAGGCGAGACGGCGGCTGCGCAGGCCGAGGGCGGCGAAGGGGCGTACCGTGCCGGCGGGGCGGGCGACGCGGCGCGGCTCATCGACGTCGTACGGAACGCCGCCAGTGCAGGACAGGTAACGGCACAGTCGACGGAGCTGCTCGCGATGACGCAGCAGCTCTGCCGGTTCCAGCAGTCGGCGCTCGGGTCGGCGGCCGAGCTCGCGGCGACGGTAGTGGCGGACGAAAGGGCAGGCAGGAGGGTGAACCTGCCAGGCTCGGCGCTATCGGGGGCGGCACTGCCGCGGCAGGAGGAGGTGCGGGGCATCAAGTCGCAGCAGAGGAGCGCGGCGCGGGAGCGGGAGCGAGCCATCCAGGGCATCCAGGGCGGCGGGGCGGCGGCGGGCATGGGGGCCGACCGCGGCGCGGCCCTTCGCGGGGTGATGGGGGGCTTCGGCGAGGACGACATGGACGTAACGGCGGCCGACGGTGACGTAGACGCAGGCACGGCGGCGGGGATGCACGTGCGGCTCGGCCCGTCGAGCTCGTTCGTCGCCGCCGGCAGGGAGCTAGCGGGGCAGCTAACGCTTAACGAGAAGCAGTCGGTCGCCCTCCTAATCGTATGCCGGCAGCTCGACCGGATCCGGCTGGGCGACGGGGCAGGCGGCGATGGCGGCGGCCAGCTCTGCCTATTCATCGGCGGCGAGGGCGGCACCGGCAAGTCGCGCGTCATCGAGGCGCTCGTCGAGCTACTCGCCCGGAGGGACCTATCGAGCCGGCTGCTGGTTACGGCGACGTCGGGGACGGCGGCGGCGCGGATCAACGGCATCACACTGCACTCGGCCTGCGGCCTCGCGATAGGCCAGAGCGGCCAGGCGGGAAGGGCGACGAGGGAGGTAGACGGGGTGCGGCTGCCGGGCCAGGGGGAGCGCTTCGTCGACGGCCGGTCGCGGATGGACTGGCAGGAGAAGGAGGTGCTGGTGATCGACGAGGTCAGCATGCTCGGGGCGAGGACGCTGCACGCCGCCAACGAGCAGCTCTGCCGGCTGCGGGGGTCGGCGCGAGACTTCGGCGGCATCCCGGTGGTGATCTTCTGCGGCGACTTCCACCAGTTCCGGCCGGTGCAGGAGCGGTCGATCCTGCTGCCGAGCGCGGCGGTGGCGTGGGACGAGGACGGGGCGTTCGCGGCCGAGCAGCGACGGCAGCACGACAAGGCGCACGCGCTGTGGCGGCGGTTCACGACGGTCGTCATGCTAGACGAGCAGATGCGGGCCGCCGGCGACCCGGAGCTTCGGCGGCTGCTCGGGCGGATCCGGCGGGGCGAGCAGGACCGGTCGGACCTGGAGCTGCTCAACTCGAGGTGCTACCGGCCGGGCAGGCGGATCCCGTGGGAGACGGGCCTGACGGTGGTGACGCCGCTCAACCGGAACCGCTGGAACCTTAACCTAGAGGCGGCGCTCGCGTTCCGGGCGCAGCGACGGACGGCGGCGCGCGTCTTCCTGTCCGAGCACAGGTGGAAGGAGGGCGTGCCGACGGAGGAGGAGGCGGCGCTAATGCTAGGCTACGGCGACGACAGCGCGACGCCGGTGCCGGCCGTCTTCGTCTTCGTGCCAGGCATGCCGGTCGTCGTGAACCAGAACACGCACCAGGGGCTGAAGCTGGTGAACGGGGCCGGGTATACGGCGGTGGAAGTCATCCCCGACCGGGCCTTCCCCGGCCACCGGGTGTCGGCGGAGCTAACGATACACTTCGGGCCGCCGGCGGGCATCGTGCTGGCCTCAGAGACGACCATGGACTTCCACTTCGTCGGGATGCCTGCCGGGACGATCCTGCTGACGCCCATCAGCGTCAAGATCGACGCGCAGCGGAAGCGGCCGTGGCAGCGAAGCGACGTCAGTCGCAGGGGCCTGCCGTGCGCGGCGGCCTTCGCCTGCACCGACTACAAGGTGCAGGGCGGGACGCTGGAGCGCGTGGCGCTGGAGCTGCGGGGGGCGAGGACGACGACGGTCGAGGGGCGGGCGGTGCCGTCGCCGTGCGACCCGTACAGCCTATACGTGCAGCTGTCGCGGTGCCCGACGCTCGACGGCATCATGCTCGTGTCGGAGGTGCGGGAGCGGGACCTGGTGGGGAACCGGGTCCCCGGGGAGATGACGGCGGCCCAGGCCCGGCTGGAGGAGCTGAGCGGGCGGACGGCGCGGGAGGCGGCGGGCTGGCTCCGCGGGTAACGCCCGCGCCGCCCGCGCGCCGCCCGCAGCGTAGGAAGGCTCGCCTAAAGAACTGTCGAATGGGCTATAAGGATGACTGGCCATTGCCGCGGCGTTACGTCTTAATATTGGTGGTTAGGCGCGTACAGTTGCATAGGCACCATATATATATAGTCATGGAAGGTAGCGTGCGCAAGCAGCTATTGCAGCGACGCCACCGGCTTAACGATAGATGGGGCCGCCAGGCCAGCGTAGGCGGTCCGCGCTTGCATCCATATTATCCATATAAGGAGGGCCCTTTAAGTGACAACCAAACGGACGGGAAAGGGAAATGGGAAGAAGGGCAGCATGGGGGAGAGGGTAAAAGAGGGCCAAAAAGAATGAGGAGGGGGAGGCGACCAATAGAGGCACGTACTATTAATGATTAATCAACGAATTAAAAGCGGGAACACCGACGAATCAGGCACACCAGCGAATGAAAATGAAAAGCGAGAAAAATGCTAGCCAATCAGAAGGCGGGAAAAAGCCGGGGGCGAAACTCGAGGAGAAAAAGGGGGTTGTGGCTCGCAGGGCAAGAAAACGGGTAAGGCAACCCCGCACGGGTTGCGCAATAAGCCTTTCGGAACGAAGATTACGACCAGAGGGGAAGAGAAAGGAATAAACAGCAGCAGAGAGGCAGAAGGAATGGGGGGTGTAACAGTTCAGCAAGTTCAACTTAACTAGCTACCTAGTTAGAACGAATAAGCTAATAAGGACGAGAATATAGAGGGTAAAGAGGAGGAAGGAAAGGAGTTATACCTACGTCAAGAAGTAGGTCCAGTTGCATAAAGTTAGTCTAGGCCTAGCTCGTAATATATAGTAAAGGTAAGAAGGAGGGAAGGGAAGAGGGGAAGTGGAGTTATAGTATCACGGGCGGACTAGGCAACGAGGGAAGAACGATGTTGTCGGATACAGAGCTATGGACAGTATGCGAGGGCCGGGCATATATGTATGTGGCTATAGACACGTGGTGTGTAGAGGTACCTTAGTACCGTGAGATATAGACTAATAAGTAGGGGTAGCTTTTCTTATATTAATAGTATAGCGAGAGTATAGGCCTAGCTTATATAGTAACTAGGTTGTAGAGGTATATTATTTTTGGAGAGTTTAGTAGATATCAAGTATAGATTCAGTGTTATTCAGATAGTAGGCTCATTTCTGCATGCGTTGGCGGAGGGGCCGGATGGGCGCGTCGCTAGTACTAGCGACGATAGAGTCAAGAAGGGAACCGGGCGCGGCGGCCAGGGCATGAGCGGGCGTGTCCCCGGGCGGCCTTGACGACGAGGCGGACTGCGGGGGTGAGGAGGAAGTGGCGGCGGAGCCAACAGTGCTCGAAGAGGAGGAAGGAAGCGAATGGTGCTGGTGCAAGGTGCGCGACCTCTTAATCGGGGAGTCGGCCACGGCCGAGCAGGCCCGCTTGGGCGGCGGCGTCACAGGCGCATCGGCAGGCGGGCCCGGAGCCTTGGAAGGCGTGTGCGGCGCGGTCGAAGGCGGCGTAGCAAGCGAGTAGGAGGCGGCGCGGACGAGGTCAAACGCAGAGGAGGTGGAAGAGGGTTGACGCCTCAGGGGCTGGGCCAGCGGGGAAGCGGAGGCGGCAGCGGCGGAAGACCTATCATGGAAAGTCCAGCTATCCGGGACGACGACGAAGACGTAATCGCGGTCCGAGCCGGGCGGGACACACATCACGCCATGATCGAGAAGGCCGGCGACCTTGCCAGTGCAGGTAAACGGGATACCAGGCAGAAGGGAGAGGCGGACCTCTCGGCCAGCTTACACAGGACGAGCCAAGGGTTGGCATAGATGGGAAAGATGACAAAGACCTGAAAGGGTGGTAGCCCTTGAAGGGAACCTTGTCCGGGACGCCAGGGCGATGTACGTCGATAGCTGGATTAGGCCGCAGCAGCGGAGCTGGTCGGTCCCAAGACCAGGAAGAAGATCGGCCTGCAGGAGGTCAAGTCCGGAGCCGGCGACGACGCCGTGAAAGGAGACAACAGGAGGCGTCGAGGGGAAGTGGCCGTCGGGTGCCAAGGAGCGCGGGAGGACGCTTAGGGAAGAGATCAGCGGGGCGGCAAAGAGGACGGAGGGAGGCTCACGGCTGGTAGCCCTGGTCGCGGACGACGAGGGCGGGCATCGTATAGAGGAGAGTCTCGCCGACGTCGGCCTCGAGACCGTCGCGGCGCTCGACCTCCCAGGCGAGGGCGTACGGATGGACGCGGCCGGACATAAAGAACCACTGCTCAGACCAATCCGAGTCGACGACCGGCTGGCCGTAGATTGAGAGATTCAAGCTAAAGAAGAGGGGGGAGACATCGTTATCATCCCCGCCGCCCGGAGGAGCGTACTCGAGCGCCAGCAGCCACGAGGGGCGGGAAGGAGGACGCGGGCAATGGCCTCGGCGTTGAGGCCCCTCACGCGGTGCTCGTCCTGGTGGGCGAACCTCACGGGGCAGTCGGGCTGGGCAAAGAACATCATGGTCATGTCGCCGCCGGCGCCCTTATTGCCTGTAAGAGGCCTGCGAAGGTGCGGCGGAGAGTCGGTGGTAGGCGGTGTCACGACCCTGGGCGCCGGCGTAGAGCCGCCAGCGCAGAACCTCACCAGTGTCACGTGCCCAAGCAGCATCACGTGCCCACGCGCGACCTCGTGTCTATATAAGGGCCCGCTCGGTCGTGTAGTCTAGTCTTCCTTTCTTGCTCCTTAGCTTTGAGTCTTTGTTCATAGTGCCAATACATCTTTATAGCCGTCAAGGCTCGTATGTGCCTGGCCGTAACAGGCGGCGTCGGGGACATTATAGCCCTCTAGCAGGAAGTAAGTCAACTAGTGTTACGGCCAGGCACATACGAGCCTTGACGGCTATAAAGATGTATTGGCACTATGAACAAAGACTCAAAGCTAAGGAGCAAGAAAGAAAGACTAGACTACACGACCGAGCTGGCCCTTATGTGCATCTGCACGAGGTTACCTCAGCAGCGCTCAGGTAAGCACGAGGTCGCACGTGGGCACGTGATGCTGCTTGGGCACGTGACACTGGTGAGGTTCTGCGCTGGTGTCTCTACGCTGGCGCGCAGGGTCGTGACACTACCCCCCGTCTAAGGCCTTGATATGCGTATCAAGGTAGTCAGTCGTGGCGGCGGGTTCTTGGTTTCACGGCTTTCTGCTGTGTCATCATCGTCTCGTTCCTCGCAGCCCTCCGCTGCAGCACATTCGATCCAGTATTGCAGGTTGACGGGTGGGCCTGCTGCGTCCGGATGTTCATCGTGGAATACCTTCAATGCTATTGGTGCGTTACGGAAATTCCTAGCCGGGTACCAGGTCTCATCAGGGTCACATCCCTTCCATAAGACCTGGTATTCCAGTCGTCGACTCCTACCGGTTACTCGAGACTGCTGGACTTGATCAACCTCCCACTCGGGTTCTCCGTTGATCTCCTCGGGTGGCGGAGGTGTCTGGATCTGCTGGGGCAAGGGGTTATCGGCTGCTTTTCGAAGACGGTCGGCGTGGAATAGGTTCTTCATTTTGTACGACTCGGGCAGCTGCAGTACGTAGCTATGACCGCGTTCTTCCAGGATTACGAACGGACCTGACCATTGGTTATCTAGCCGAGTAGTCGGAGCGTTCGTGGCGAAGCCTTTCCTGCTGAGAAAACTCGGTCACCGATGGCAAAGTCGGTTGGTCGTCGTTTCCTATTAGCCTGTTCCTTCTGACGTTCTTGAGCGGCGATGGCAGCATTCCTGGCGTCTTCCTGGGCGGTCTGCACAAGTTCCCTAGCTCTGGCGGCGGGGCCGGTCGCATCGGTCTTGTTAGTCGGGGCAGTGACAGGGGTTCCGGATATCTCGGCCTAGGGCTACTTTTAACGGTGCCATGTCGATGGAAGAGTGCCAAGACGAGTTATGGGCGAAGTCGAGGGCGGGCAGGGAACTCCAGTTGTCTTGATGCTTCGTCACGTAGAATCGTAGCTTTGATCCAGGTATTGATTTGTGACTTCTACACCCCCTTGGGTCTGAGGGTGTAGGGAGCTTCCATGACGATGCTTCGTTCCCGTGAGCCGGTTAATCTCTGCGAGGAAGGCAGAAATAAACTGTCCAGCGTTGTCAGAAATCCATACGAGGGGCATACCGAAGAAACGATAGAGGTAGCGGAAGTAGCGGCTAGCTAAGACTTCTGCTGTATCGTTTTTCTTTCCTGGGAGCGTGGCGATAATCCGGCTTAGCTTGCAGACGAAGGTCCAAACATAGTCATATCCGTAACGGTCTTTCGGCATATCCTTCCGTCACATTCGACGTGCTCCCAAACAGAAGTCGGCACGGGCAGTGGATGGAGCAGTCCAGGGTCTTGTCTCGAGGGTTTTGTTGCGGCGGCAGTCGTGGCAGTTCCGAATATAACGACGGATATCCTCCTTCATCCTTGGCCAGTAGAAGTCTCGTTGGAGCAGCTTGATCACCTTGTTCTGTCCGGCGTGAGCGAAGATCTGGGGCTCGTGGGCTTCGCGAATGAGCGCGGTCTGAAGAAACGTCTGCTTGTCTGAGGTCTGGGCTGGTACGATCAGGTGTGTTCCATGGGTGCCGAGGTCTTGGAGGAGGTTCTCTTGGCGGATCAACGAAACGAGTTCGGGTCCCTTCGGGACCGAGTTCGGGTCTAGTTCTGGGCGGTCTTGATCGGGCGTCTGCTGTATCCCTTGGTCTTCTGGGGTCTGTAGGGCACTCGTGGCCCTCAGAACTAATGGTCTGGTAGGCTTAGGTTCGGGACTAAAGTTCTGAGGGGGCAGGTGGCCGGCGGCCGTAGGGTCTAGAGAGTCGGTCGCGAAGCCTAGCCTTTCCGGAGGGATCAGGGTCACCGTGCGTTCCTCGGCTTCCCGGGCCTTTACGGTAGGAAGCTCGGCTGTCTTCCTGAGAGGGCATCGGCGACTACGTTCAGTCGACCGGGGCGGTAGAGGAAACGGATGTCGAACTGGGCGAGAAAGTCGGACCATCTGATCTGTCGTACCGAGAGCAGGCGCTTCGTAGAGAAATGGACTAAGGCTTCGTGGTCGGTGATCACATCGAACTTCTGGCCTAAGAGCTCTGGGTAGAAGTGCTCTAGACTCTGTACGACGGCGAGGAGCTCTCGATCTTGGATTGGGTAGGCTCGCTCGGCCGGGGTCATGGTCCTAGAGAAGAATCCAACGGGCTTCCAGGTCTGATCAGGCTGTTCCTGCCATAGAACACCAGCTGTGGCATTCCGGGAGGCATCGGTCTCCAGTCGGGTCGGCAGTTCTGGTCTAAAGAAGGCGAGGACCGGGGCTTCGATAGCCAGGCGCTTGAGTTGATCAAATGCTTCGCGTTGCTCCGGGCCCATCACAAAGGCAACATCCTTCTTAAGCAACCGGTTCAAGGGTTCTGCCACTCCCGAGGCGTGGTAGCAGAAAACACGGATGAAGTTGCATAGGCCAACGAATGATCGGATCGCGGTGCGGTCTCGGAGGTCTTCAAACTTCCAGTCTTGTATCGATCGAACTTTCCGAGGGTCGACACTAAGGCCCACACCGGCTTCAAGCAGAACGCCGAGGTAGTCAACCTTGGTCACGTTAAATCTAGACTTCTTGATGTCTCCTGGAGGTTGGCCTGATGGAGTCGCCAGATCACTTCTTGACAGTCTTTCCAGTGGTCTTCTTCTTTATCCGAGTAGATCAGGACGTCATCTGCGTAGGCGCTGGCGCACCGGTCGAGGAGATCGTGAAGCTGCGCGTTGATAAACTGCTGGAACCAGGCGGGACCTACCTTCAGACCGAACGGGAGGACTTTCCAGCGGAAAGTTCCGAAACGGGTGCGAAAGGCGGTCAAATACTCGGAGTCAGGGTCCATGCGGAGACGGTGGAAGGCCTGGATCACATCGATCTTCGTGAAGCGTTGAGCTTCACGGCAACCGAAAGCAGTACCTTCGAGGGACGGAGCGGGCGTGATGCGACTTTTAAGATGATCGTTCATCCAACGGTAGTCGATGCAGAAGCGGCGGGCGGTCGTGTTCGGTTTCGAGCGAAGAGGACAGAAGCGGCGTGCGGACTCGGATCGGGCTCGATGAAGTCTATCTCCCGGAGGTGATCGACAGTCTCTTTCTCTAGAGGCAGATACTTAACGGGCGTGCGGTACGATGGGGGTCCTGTCGGCGAAAGAGGCTTCTCAAGCTCTAGGACTACATCGTGACCGGGTCGGCTCGAAGGTAGGGTGTGGGCCTCTTTCTTCGAGAAGAATCCCTCTAGATGGGTGAGCTGGGGCGGTAGACGACTACGGACACAAGCAACATGCTCAGGTCTTCTCCTGAGGAACGGAATGCTTTGTCCCTGGTAGGTCTTCTGATCCGGGAGACTTTAGCAACGGTTCGAGCACTAGGGACGGTCTGGTCAAGGCCGGAGCTTGGCTCGAGCTGGACTGGATCCCGGGGCATCAACGGTTCGAGTTCGTTCCACTGTTCGAATCTCTCGTGAGACTCTACTTGGCAGACCAGGGCGTTAATCAGGGCTTGATCTTCGGAGGCTTGGACCGAGGCGACGGAGACGAAGTCGGTAGCAGGGGCGGTCGTGAGCTGAAAACGGACAGACTTCTTGGCAGACGGAGACTTGGACTGAAACGACGGAGACGGAGTCAACGAACGGCCATCGATGACGAAAGTGGCGACCAGCTGTTTCTGGATATAGCCGGCTGGCTTTCCACGGAAGTCTTGGAGGAATCCGACTCGGGAGCTCCTTAATCTGGGCTCCGAGTCTTTGGGCGGCGGACTGGGCGAAGGTTGGGCTAACCAGCAAACGGGTTTCGGCCCGGTATCACAGAGGAGCGGGCAGGTAGGCTCACACCATCCACTTGGACTTGACTTGGCAGAGTGAATGACTTGCTAGACCTACTCGCTGTCTGTGACACCTTAGGGACCATCAAGGAGTCTTGTGATGGTCCTATTCGTTCCCGAATCTTGATCAGAGTCGTTGGCAGGGACAGGGACGGAGGCGACACGGGAGACAGCATGGGTGCGGTCGGGACACTCGCGAGAGAGGTGCCCTGTTTTTCCACAAATAAAGCAGGTGCCATTATCCCAATGGACCCTTTTCTCATCGTCGGTCAAGGCTCTGCCAGCATCACGCGAGGTGATAGGGTCGAGCCGGTCTTGTTCGGAGTCTTGGCGGTAGTCGGAGCAGTCTTAGTCGGCGCGCGGCGAGATCGGTCGGAAGAGCGGGAGTCCTGTGTCTGCCTCATACTCCTCTTCTGGCAGTGGACAGCGTCTTTAATGAACCCACAGAAAACCTCGTAGGTCACGGACTCGTCACGGGTCTTGGTCAAGAGGCTGTTATCTAGGTTGGCCGGGATGTGCTGCCACAAGGTATGCTTCATCTGGTCCTCGGGCACACGACCGGTCGCAGTTAAGTAGTCAAATTCCGCAAGAAAGTCCACAATGTCGGTCTTCCCATTCACGGTAAACTGGAGGCGTTGCAGGCGGTCAAGAGCCTCGGAAAGCTCATTCGGATTGCCATAGGCGGACTCAAGGGCTTGGATCATCTCTGCCACTCCAGAGAAGGGTCGAGTGTCAGAGGAGAAGCGGGTTTCAAGTGCTCGGCGGGCTTTTCCCTCGAGCAGGTTATACAGACAGACCATCCGGCTGTTCTCAGTCCGGAAGGTTCGTACGTCTTCGTCAAATTTGTTCTTTATGCTCAGGATGAAGGAATGGAACTCGTCCTTCTTCCCTGAGAACGTCGCGGAGACCTTGATGCGCGATTTGGCGGCGTCGCTGTATTCGGGGTTCTTGCCCTCTGGGAAGGGGGCAAAAACCGGCCAGGCAGCTTTGCCTGTTGGTCGGAAGGTCGGGCCATTTGGGCCGGCAAAGCAGTCGAGGGCTCCCGGTGCTGTCGATTTGATTCAACAGACGGAGAGCGTTCATTTAGACGGGCCGTTAAGGCCGCAATCTGTCCTCATCTCGCGGATGAGAGCGTCTTGGGGCTCGGGCAGCCATGGCTACTATTTCGGATTCAGTGGCTTGGCCAGCAAGCCGGGCAGAACGGCGAGGCTGATCCGAGGGCAGGGCTTCCTCGGATATCATAGTCTCGAGGTCAGAGTCTAGGGTCGGAAATGATACCACGCGGAATCACGGTCAGATGCCTGCACGAGCAGGGACGGTCGGAGGTCAGACGGGACGAATCCCTTGGTCGGAACGGTTGGTCGGACGACTACACACACGCGTAGTCTTTGTCGGAACGGTCGTGATCTCAGCCTTGAGGATCACTTGGTCGGTGGTCGGAGTCTTGGTCGGAACGATCAGAACGGATGCGCTGGATTTACGTCAGGCGCGTGTGACGTGAAAGCTCGGTGCCTATTTGCTTAATCGCTGGCAAGCGATCTTATTGAGCTTTGAGTAGTGTTACGGCCAGGCACATACGAGCCTTGACGGCTATAAAGATGTATTGGCACTATGAACAAAGACTCAAAGCTAAGGAGCAAGAAAGAAAGACTAGACTACACGACCGAGCTGGCCCTTATGTGCATCTGCACGAGGTTACCTCAGCAGCGCTCAGGTAAGCACGAGGTCGCACGTGGGCACGTGATGCTGCTTGGGCACGTGACACTGGTGAGGTTCTGCGCTGGTGTCTCTACGCTGGCGCGCAGGGTCGTGACAACTAGTAAGCAATAGGGCAAGGGGGGGAAGCCATACATAGCTATATAGATCGCAAAGAAGCCTATATAGCGCGATACTGCATTAAGAAGCGCGGTAGGGTTAGGGAGATTAGAAGATCGGATATAGGTTAAAGTCCTAGAGAAAAGAAGGCATAAAGGGTTAGCAGGGCAGGCCATATATATAGGGGTCCCATATAGGTAATAGAGAAGACATAGATGAAAGCAACGAGAACAATAGGAAAGGATAGGAAAGATATAATCGGCGGTCTACTACGAGATTAAGGGGTCTTAATATATAAGCCATACGGCAGGGCTAAGCGTGAAGGGAAAGGTATAGCATTGTCTCTGATGCGTACGAGACATTGAACTAAAGGCGGGCACATAAGCGCCTAGGGACGGACCCAGACGTAGGCTATGGGGTCCTAGGAGAGAAGAGGGAAAGCGTGGCGCATAGAGCGTCAAGGACGAGAAGCCATTGGTAGGACCTACGTCTAGGGAACAGCCGAGGCCGCATCGGCCGCGGGGTAGGGCAGTAGGCGTCAGTCGGTACGGACCGCAGACAGCTAGCGCGGGCATAATAGTAAGTAAGTAGCATATGTAAGGACATGCTAAGTCGGGAGGCCGAGGGCATATAGATATGTGATTAAGAAGCATGTGTTATGTGGAAGGCATGGGCCGAGCGGGAGCATGGCGAAGAGAGGGGGCTACACGCCAGCGGCCCGTATATGGAGAATGTTTGCCGAAGGAGGTGGTGGCATAGTAAGTAGGTAAGGCCAAGAGAGCGTACGCAGTAGAGGTAGCAGCATCCATCACGATGAAGCCAGCCAGTACAGAAGCGCAGCACGGGGCTGAGAGCAGCGCAGGCCGAGCACGGGAGGCACCCAGAGCCCCATATATAGCAATGAGGTTCAGGCCGATCTCGGCGGCGCCGGTGCCCGGCGCGGAGGGTCGGCAGGTGGCGCATGAGAGGGCGTCAGGGCTGGTGCTGCCGAAGCGAAGGCGACGGGGCGGCCGGCCGGCGAGGAATCCAGGGGAGGGGACCGGCGCGGGGGAGGCAGGCACGACTAGGGCCACGGCGGGAAGGACGCCCCCAGGCACAAGCGACCAGGGGGCGATGGAAGGGAAGACGGCGCCGTCGACACCGGAGACGAGGCGGGAGGCGAAACGTAGAGAAGCCGGCGAAGGCGAGGGTGGCTTCCTCCTCACGCCGCCAAGCTCCGGCCGAGGCGCCGCGGCCCGGGCAGGAAGGAGGCCGGGGCTGTCACACAGAGTATATCAGCCTCCAACAGTCTGATTCCCCTATTCGCACAGTTAGCCTATATTTTAGGTCGTGGCAGTTTGTAATGCCATATTAGTGATGGATTCGAACCTTCTAGATGACATCGTCATCTAGGCTGCCTGGGTGGCGACATCGCCACTCAACCCAACGTCACCAGTATAAGAAGCCAACTTCTTACCATCACTTAGATAGAGAATCAAGAGTTGTTCAGTCCCCGATCTTCATGCTTGCTCAGCTCATCCTCCGTGCGATAGTTATGAGCCCGGTCTGCCACTGACTGGGTATCTTATTCTGGTTCCTTCCGCTGCAATCACGAATAGCTTCCACAATGAGTTTGACAAATGAAATCGACAGCTCTTCCAAGGGCACCGTCCTCAACGGCCCTTGTGACTGGAAGCAATGGATTTCTATCATCAAGAAATTCTCCTCTTCCCACAGTCTTTGGGAACTCATTGACCCTACCGCAAAAGGGGTCAAACCGGTCCTTCAGCAACCAGCTGAACCGACTTTTCATCAGATCAATGCCACAGCATCTGATCTAATCGACCTTTCGTCAGAGGAATTCCGACGCCTCGAATTCCTTCATACCCAGTACCGCACAAAGCTACAGTGTTACAGAGATCAAGTGAAGGCCCTCGCCAGCCTTCAACAACACATTGTCAAGACTATCGGCAACTACTACAGTACCATTGCCGAGGAACATGACGTTGCGAAGCAACTATCACTCCTACAGTCTCGAGTCGCGCCTACAGACTGGGCACTCGAACGGGAAGTTCTTCAACGTTATCGTTCGACACTTTCTTCGCCTAATAGGACCAAGATCGAGACTTGGGTCACTCAATGGCAAAAAGTCCTTACTGAGGCAAGACAACTAGGGTTACCTGACACCCAGGACCAACGCCCTACTCAAGACTTCCTCCAAGCTGTTTCGTCTATCAACCCTTCTTTCACCGACTACTGGGTCAATAAGATGGAAGACGAAGCCGCCTTAGGAAAGCCAGGATGGCAAACAGAATTCCCTGACGGCATCAAGATCAGCGAGATCTTCGAACGCGCCCACCGCATCAAGGTTGCTACCAACAGCCACAAGGGATCTTTTGGAGCCTCTTTCCAAGGCAAGGAAGAAAAGAAACAAGAGTCCCAGGACAACACCACCTGGAGGTCAACAAAGAATTCTGAAGGAATTCCGTCATGCGTCTGTGGAAGTTACCACTACTTCCCACGATGCTACTATCTCATTGAGTCAATTCGGCCTGATGGGTGGACACCTAATAAGAAGGTTGAACGGAAAATAACGAAGATTCTTGACTCTAATCCTGGACTAAAAACAAAAATCAATGCTATCCAAAGTAGCAAGCAAAAGGAGAAATCAGACACCCCTGATGGCTCTGACACCTCTGCATCCGTCAAAGGAGCAGCTTTCGCCGGCCAACGGTACTTTTCACACAGAGGACCTTCTCGGGACCGATCCCAGAAGCGTACGGCTGTGTCGCCTGTGCAACGAAGACCAACTTCAGAAGCACCATCTTTGCAGCTCCTAGACGCCCCAAGCGTACCTAGAACGGCCAGCTTTTCTTTAGGAAAGGGAGTGTACCCTCTGCGTGACTCCTTCATCCTCGACTCTGGATCCGACACGCATATCTGCAACGATCGATCCCGCTTTCGTAACTACTCTGCTCTGGAAGAGCCCGAAGAGCTCTTCTCGGGCGATAGTCAACTTCAAATCCTTGGCTACGGCACAGTCCGTATGAGGCTGGAAGACGGTCTCTTCCAACTCAACGAAGTCGCCTTCGTGCCAAACTTTCACACAAACATTGCATCTCTTGACCGCTTTCTAGCAAAGGGATACAACTGGAACCCAACGTCTGGACTCGTCTATAAAGACGATCAGATGGTATTTCACACTCGACGACTATTCCGTCAACCGGTTATCGAGTATAACCCGATTCAGGAGGATTCTCACGCCTCTAACTTCACTTCTTCGTCGGCTCAACGACCGATACAAACTGCTGACGCCACACTTTGGCATAAGCGTCTTGGGCACCTCAACGCTCAAGCTCTCGAACATCTTGTTGCGAACACAACAGGATCAAAGATAAAAGGCCCAGTTACCGTTGACTGCGAGGCCTGTTCCATTGCAAAGGGAAAGAAGGTTGTTTCACGCCGACCTTCTCAAAACAAAGCACCTCGACCTTTCTGGAGAATTTACATCGATATCTTCTCTATGAACACGTCTTTTAACGGCAAAGAAGTTGTTCTTCTTGCAAAGGATGAATTTACCTGCATGTTGTTCATCTACACTCTCAATGACGCGACGCAAGACTCCGTCATGACCGCTCTTAGGAACCTTGAGGCGATGATACAACGCCAATGGAACCTACAGATTTGTGTTATCCACCGAGACAATGATCGTGCTCTTCAGTCAGACTACGAGGCGTGGATCAGTGACAAGGGGATCACCAATGAGCCAACTGCCCCTTACACTCCCGCTCAGAATGGTCCTGCAGAACGATCTGGGGGGGTAATAGCTACCCAGGCAAGAACGATGAGGATTGACGCCAATCTTCCATCTGATCTTTGGCCTGAAACATGGACAGCCGCTGTGTTCCTGCATAACAGATCGCCCTTGCAGAACCGGAACTTCCAGACTCCTTTCCAGCTGCTTAACCAATGGCTGCAAAACAACAACCGCGACACAGGCTATCAACAGCTCCAGCCTGACATCACTTTTCTCAAAGCGTACGGCTGCCGAGCCTACCCTTTGACGACCCAGGCCCTTCAGAACAAACAGAAAAAGGACCTCAAGACCGACCCTCACACGGAAATCGGTTATCTAGTGGGATACGACTCCACTAACATCTTCAGGATTTGGATCCCTTCGTCATCCGAAGTCCGACGAGTTCGAGATGTGACCTTTAACGAACACGAGTTCTACGAAGGAAAGGTAGAGCCACAGAAGCCTATCCCTCAACGCTTGGAAGTACAGCTTCCAGCACACATCGAAGACGAATCGGAATACGAGGAAATCCCCACTCGTATGGAAGAGCATGATCCTCAACCGGACACCCCTTCTTCGACTACATCGGGTCAAGAAGACACCAGCACCATCCAGGTTCAACTGGAACACTCTGAACACGAAAACTCAGAAGACCAGGATGAGTTTCACGATGCGGATAACCCGTACCCGACACCTGATCCCGCTCAGAGCGATCAGCAACTTCGACGTTCATCACGTCCGCCCAAGCCACGGAATTTCGGCAGCTTTGCTAGTTCCCAAAACCACTTCCACAGCTCCTTCTTTCTCGGACGAGAGGAAAAGCTTCATTCTCGATCTCTCCCGCCAGAACCCACATCGTACAAGGAACTGAGTACACACCGCTTTGGCCCTCAATTCAAGGAAGCAGCCCACGCTGAATGGAAATCCCTCCAAAAGAGAGGAACCTTCAAGGCTGTTCCGCGAGACCAAGCAACAGGCAGGCCGTTGCCCCTGACCTGGGTGTTCAAGTACAAATTTGACAAGCATGGCTTCCTTATCAAGTTCAAAGCCCGCTTATGCGTACGGGGAGACCTTCAAAAGCTGGGTGACAAAGACACCTACGCTGCCACCCTTGCCGGAAAATCATTCCGCGTTCTTATGGCCATCACAGCCAAATTTGACCTCGAATCCCGACAGCTCGATGCAGTCAACGCCTTTGCCAACGCCCTCTTAGACGATGATGAGGAGATCTATGTGTTATTCCCAGACGGATACTATAGACAAGGCTGGGTCTTACGCCTACTCCGGGCACTCTACGGCTTACGGCGTTCCCCTCTACTTTGGCAGAAAGAGCTTACTGCAGCATTCAAAGAGCTCGGCCTTTCGCAGTGTCCTGACGAGCCCTGCATTTTCCAGAACGACTGGCTCACAGTCTTCTTCTTCGTTGACGATATCGTCTTCCTCTATCGCAAGGATAACGAGGATGCAGCTGATCATATGGTTGCAGCCCTCAAGAGGAAATACGCTATGACTGATCAAGGGGAATTGCAGTGGTTTCTAGGTATCCGTGTCCTTCGCGACCGACCTAATAGGAAGCTATGGCTCTGCCAAGATTCCTACATTGAACGCATGGTTCAACGCTTCAGTCTCAACAGACTAGACCACTTTAAGGGATCCTTTCCTTGCAACGAAGTCCAGCCGCACAAAGGGCAGGCTTCCCTAGACCAAATTCAGTTATACCAGAGCAAAGTTGGATCGCTAAACTATGCCGCCTGCATCACGCGCATGGACATAGCCAAACCGGCATCAAAATTAGCTGAATCTCTCAACAACCCTTCCGAGCAACACCAAAAGCTCGCGGATCACCTGATCGAGTACCTACACGCCACTAGGCACCTCGCAATTCAGTTTTCAGGCTGCTCTAGCCTCAATGGAGACCTCGTCACTCCGCTCCAAGCACATCATTACAGCGACTTCCAAAGCGCATCCGACGCCGCTTTTGCTGATGATAAAGACACTCGCAAATCATCACAGGGTTCAATTCTTACCCTCTTCGGTGGCCCTATCGCCTGGAAAGCCGGAAAACAGGACACAGTCACTACTTCGTCTACAGAAGCTGAGCTTCTCGCCCTTACGCACACAGCTAAGGAAACCATTGCCACTTTCCGTCTCTTTCAGCAGCTTTCTCTTAAGCTTGACGGGAAACCTACAATCCAGTGTGATAACCTTCAGACAATTCGTCTTGTCACACAAGATATCCCTCGCCTTCGCACAGCCCTTCGTCACGTTGACATCCACTCCTGTTGGGCAAGGCAGTCATACGAGCAGGGCTACTACGACCTTGTTTATACACCCACTTCGCAAATGCTTGCAGACGGCCTTACAAAGGTTCTACCAGGCCAAAAATTCACTCACTTCGTCAAACAACTTGGCCTCATTGATATCTCTTCACTTCTAGAGGTATAGGTTCTTCAGTTTGCACTGCCCACCAGCCAGCACAACCTGGGGGGGTATGTCACACAGAGTATATCAGCCTCCAACAGTCTGATTCCCTATTCGCACAGTTAGCCTATATTTTAGGTCGTGGCAGTTTGTAATGCCATATTAGTGATGGATTCGAACCTTCTAGATGACATCGTCATCTAGGCTGCCTGGGTGGCGACATCGCCACTCAACCCAACGTCACCAGTATAAGAAGCCAACTTCTTACCATCACTTAGATAGAGAATCAAGAGTTGTTCAGTCCCCGATCTTCATGCTTGCTCAGCTCATCCTCCGTGCGATAGGGGCGGCCAAGGCAGCAGCGGATCGACAGAAGCCAGCAGCCGCTGTTCCGGGATATCCAGCCGCGGCCGACATCGGGGGAGGCTCTAGCGACACAGCCATGGAGCGCGGCAGGCCCGGCCCTAGGTCCGGCGGCACGGCAAAGACAGCTTCAGAGGATACAGCCCTGGCCGGAGCGGGCCAGAGGGTGCCACGGGGACGCGGCCGAGGCGCAAAGCCCAGTGCAGAAATGAAAGCCAACGCGCCGGTATAGTTCCCAAGCAGGCTCCCAGGGTCGGTCGACGGAGAGAGGTGGTTAACGTGATGTAGATGAGACGACGATGGGCCCGCCGCCCCCTGGACAGAGACAGAAGAGAAAGCGCAGCCCGGTTGGCAAAGAAATCGAGGCAAGACATGGCGGCCGCGCGTCAAGCATGGCCGGGCCGTCCCTAGGCCCCACGGCAAGTCAACAGGCGCCTCGGGATATCCTGCCTCGGCCAGTAGCCACGATGGAGAGCGCTATAGGGGACACGGCTGAGGCTGTAGGGCCTGGCGAGGCAATAGAAGGCCAACGCGCAGGTAAGGACTATGAACGGTGCCAGGGTATATATATATAGATGTCTAATCGGATATAGATGGGATGACGAGAGGCCCGCTACCTCGAGAGAGACAGAAGAGGAAGGGCAACGCCGCCAGCGGACAGACCGAGGCAAAACGGAGTCGCGGCGACCAGAGGCGGCCAAGGCCAAGGCAGATGCAGGCCGAGGACCTGGCGGACGTGCTGCGGGGCCTCGAAGAGGAGTTCGAGGCGGGTGAGAGGCTGGCCGACGAGCGGGCGTGGTGCGCGCCGGTGCCGCGGGAAAGGGAGGTCAGGACAGTGCGGAGGTTCTACCGGGCGTTCCACGACGCCGGCACGCTACCGACCGCGACGTGCACGCTATGCTACCGGAAGCAGGCCAGGTGGAGCTCAGGAGATGGCGTGGAGGGCTGGTCGCGGCACGGCGCGGCGCAGGGAGGCGGGCGGTCGCCGTTCGGGTGCCGAAGCTGCTTCCCCGAGGGCGCGCCGGTGCCGGTGTGCGCCGAGTGCGCGCGGCGGGTCGGGCGCGACGGCGCATCGGCGGCGATGCACCTCCACCGGCGGCTCGGCTGCGAGCACGTCTACCCGGACGAGCTCAAGGGCCTGACGCCGGTCGAGGAGAAGCTGATCGCGCTCAACTCATGCTACGGCTTCGTGACGAAGTACAGCATCCCCGGCGGCCAGAGGCAGGGCGTGAGGTACCCGAGGCACGTCAAGGGCCACATCACGGTGTTCCCAAACGACGTCCAGGGGCTCGCGACCAAGGTGCTCCCGCACCCGCTGCTCCGGGTCATGGACGAGATCCACGTCTCGTGGCAGGGCGCCGAGAGGCCCGGGCCGCGGGACTTGTCCGGCCTGCTGTCTGTACGGCGGCGGCCGGTGGAAAGGGCGTTGGCGTGGCTTAAGGAGAATAACCCGCACTATAGCGAGGTCGAGGTCGACACGGCCGAGATGGACAGCTGGGGGGAGCCGGCGCACGGGGTGCCGGCGGCGGTGTGGGAGCGGCTCGAGCACAACGAGCCGTCGGCGCGCGAGAGGACGCAGACGGCGCAGCTGGTGCCGCCGACGGAGCGGGCCATGGACGACGAGGGCGTCGTCGAGATCGAGGAGGTGCTTGCGATGCTAAGGCAGGGCCGGGACCCCGCCGAGGGCCGGCCCGACCCCGGGCCTACGTACGAGGGGGCGGGTAACGGCGAGGATCTAGAGGGCGCTAGGCCCGAAGAGGAGGGGGACATAATTAACGAGGTAACGTCGTCCGGCATGTTCCCCCTCGACGGGGCGCCCGAGGTGGCGGACGCCGATAAGATCCGCTTCGCCCGCGAGGCTATCGGGACCATAGGCCCGAGGACATGGGTCAACATGGCGGCGGGAGGGGCGGCGGGAGGGGCGGCGAGGAGCAGCGGCCGTGGCGGCGACAGCGAGCCCTACATACAGGTGCGGCGCGGAGACGAATTTGCCGACTCGGCAGACGCGTCCTTCTTCGTCAGGGCCTTCCCGACCCTGTTGCCCTTTGGGCTAGGCGGGCCGAGGCTCGCCGACGAGGCCGCCGCGGGCGAGGGCGCGGCCGCGGCCGCCGGCCGGCGGGGCGGCGAGGCGGAGCGGGTCGCCGAGGGCCTCACGTCGACGCGGAACATGAACCTACAAGCCTGGGCCGACGTCGTACTACGGCGCCACGGCGGGCGGTTCGCGACGCACCCCATATTCGCCTTCCTCGTCTTCAACATGGGCGTACGGTCCAGGAATCGCCAGGCTAGTATGCTGGGCGTGACGAGGAAGAACTTTGCAAGGGTCGAGGGCCTGCTAAAGTCGTTAACGACGCAGAGACTCGAGGCGGCGAAGGTCGAGCTCGAGGCTACGGGCAAGACTAGCGACGACGGGGTGACGGAGCTCCTCCGGTCCCTCTCGGTGTTCGGGCACAGGCAGCCCATGTCCAGGGGAGAGCCGCCTAGGCATGCGGAAGAAGATACTCTCCCTTATTATTAGGTACGGGGTGCCGGTCATCTGGTTCACGCTGAACCCGAACGACATCACGAACCTAGTAAAGCTACGGCTGGCGGCGTACCGCGCCCGTGACCCCGACGCGGCCGAGGCCTTCCTAAGGGACCTCGGGAACGCGTATAAGCGGACGCGGCTCGCCATATCGGACCCGATGAGCTCGGCCGTCTTTTTCCACCGGGAGATGACGCTCTTCTTCGAGCACTACGTCCGGACCGGGGAGGAGTCGGTGTTCGGGCACGTCGGGGCCTACTACGGGGCCGTGGAGACGAACGAGCGAGGTGCCCTCCACCTCCACGGGCTCCTCTGGCTAAGGGGCAACAGGGGCCTCGGCGAGGCGCTCGCGGGCGCCGACACGGAGGAGCAGGCGGCGTGCCGGGAGCGAATCGTCCGCTACGTAGACAGCGTCTTCTCCGAGGTAAGGCAGCGATAAGGTTCTAGAGAGAAGGCCCTCCAGATATATGCCACTCAGTACGGACAGAGGAGAGGGTTCTAGGCTAACCCGGGGCCACAGGAGCTAGACGCAGAAGGCTACTGCGCCGTGCAGGCGGAGAGGTCGGCGACGGCGGACATATCGTCGCGGCTCGACGACGTCGCGCGCTTCACAGACGCCTTCAACGAGGAGGCCAACTTCTGCGCGGGCGCGACGCAGGTCCACACGCACAGCGCGACCTGCGTAAAGTACTCGCTCGGCGGCGGGCGCGCGAGGGGAACCTCTGCCGGTTCAAGGCGCCGTGGAGGCTGGTGGAGAGGACGGCGCTGACGACGGACGGGGTGCTCGAGGTCCGGCGCACGCATAACATGGTCAACCGGTGGAACAGGGCGATGGCGGTCGGGCTGCGGCACAACCACGATATCTCGTTCATCGCGACGCAGCGTAAGACTATGGCCCTGATCTACTACATCACCAACTACGCGACCAAGGTCGAGGACCCGGCGTGGAAGCGGGTGGCCGCGGCGGCCGAGTTCCTCCCGACGCTAGAGGGGGAGCTAATAGAAGAGAACAGCGGCAGTAGTAGCGAGGGCAAGAGCGAGAGGAGAGGGCCCAGGGCTAACGAGGAGGTAGCGATAGGGCCAGAGCCTACTATAGGGAGGAATAAGACGAGGACGTTCCTACTCAAGGTAGCGAACCGGGTCTTCACAGAGCGGCCACTCTCGCAGGTTGAGGTAATAGCCCACCTCCTAGGGTATCCGGCGGAGTTCAGCAGCGGCTCGGCGTGGGCGTACGTCAATGCGAACCAGCTCTACTGGGCCGTCTTCCGCCGGTGGAGGCATCTCCAACGGGCAAGCGGCGCGGAGGCGACAGGCGACGCGCCGGACGAGACGTCGTGGAGGAGGCCGGGCCGAGAATTCCCCTCGTCGAGGCCTACCGTCACAGGGGGGAGCTCCTACAACGGCTTTGCCTCTACGACTATACGTCACTTATAAGGCTGAGGCGGGCCGGCGGCAGCGCCGACAGCAGGGCGGGCTGGGGCGAGATACCCCTCGCAGAGGGCTGCGCGGCAGGGAAGGGCTGGGTGCAGGTGCTTAGGCGACCGGGCAAGGCGGCGACGGTGCGGCTAGACGGGTACCTAAGCAAGGAGTTCAGTAAGGAAGACGAGGAGTCATGCCACCGAAGGTACGTATTATAAGGTAGGAAATGCCTATAGGAAAGGCAGCTTGAGGATACATATAGGCTAGGTCGGCTAACGGCACCCAGGGCGGCGGTGCAGCACCTTGCCCTATTTATACCATGGGAGTCATTTGTCAGCATAGGAGCCGGCGACATCAACGATATCTGGGCACAGGCGCGATCGTCGCTCTCCCCGAGGGTCGCGCGGCTCGTAGACAACGTACAGCTCCTCCGGCGGTCAGCGGAGGACGCGAAGCGCGACGCCAAGCAGTGGGCCGCGACAGCCGAGGAAGACAGGTCGACAGCGCCACAGGCCGAAGACGAAGGTAGGGCCACGGGGAGCGGCGGCGAGGGGGCGTACCGCGGCGGCGGGGCGGGCGACACGGCCCGGCTCATCGACGTGGTCCGGAATGCAGCCGCCGCGGGGCAGGTGACGGCGCAGTCGACAGAGCTGCTAGGGATGACGCAGCAGCTCTGCCGGTTCCAGCAGCCCGGGCTCGAGTCAGCCGCCGAGCTCGCGGCGACGGTGGTAGCGGAGGATGGGCCCGTGAGGCGAGTCAACCTACCGGGCTCGGCGCTCTCGGGGGCGCTGCCGCGGCAGGAGGAGGTGCGGGCTATTAAGTCGCAGCAGAGGAGCGCCGCGCGGGAGCGGGAGCGGGCCATACAGGGCATCCAGGGCTCACAAGGCGGCGGGGCGGCGGCAGGCGTCGGGGCGGACCGCGGCGCGGCCCTCCGCGGGGTCATGGGGATTCGGCGAGGACGACATGGACGTGACGGCGGCCGACGGCGACCCAGACGTAGGCACGGCGGCGGGGATGCGCGTGCGGCTCGGCCCGTCGAGCTCGTTCCTCGCCGCCGGCCGAGCTGGCAAGGAACTGACGCTGAACGAGAAGCAGTCAATTGCCCTCCTCATCGTATGCCGGCAGCTCGACCAGATCCGGCAGGCCAACGAGGCAGGCGGCGACGGAGAAGGCCAGCTCTGCCTATTCGTCGGCGGCGAGGGCGGCACCGGCAAGTCGCGCGTCATAGAGGCGCTCGTCGAGCTGCTCGCCCGGAGGGAGCTCTCGAGCCGGATGCTCGTGACGGCGACGTCGGGCACGGCTGCGGCGCGGATCAACGGCATCACCCTCCACTCGGCCTGCGGCCTCACGGTCGGCCAGGCGGGAGGGGCGACAAGGGAGCTGGACGGGGTGCGGCTGCCGGGCGCGGGCGAGCGCTTCGTCGACGGCCGGTCGCGCATGGACTGGCGGGAGAAGGAGGTACTCGTAATCGACGAGGTCAGCATGCTCGGGGCGCGGACGCTGCACGCGGCCAACGAGCAGCTCCGCCGGCTGCGGGGGTCGGCGCGAGACTTCGGCGGGATCCCGGTAGTGATCCTCTGCGGCGACTTCCACCAGTTCCGGCCGGTGCAGGAGCGGTCGATCCTGCTGCCGAGCGCGGCGGTGTCGTGGGACGAGGACAGGGCGTTCGCGGCCGAGCAGCGGCGGCAGCACGACGAGGCGCACGCGCTGTGGCGGCGCTTCACAACGGTCGTCATGCTCGACGAGCAGATGCGGGCCGCCGGCGACCCAGAGCTGCGGCGGCTGCTCGGGCGGATCCGCCGCGGCGAGCAGGACCGGTCGGACCTCGAGCTGCTCAACTCGAGGTGCCACCGGCCCGGCAGGCGGATCGCGTGGGAGACGGGCGTGACGGTGGTCACGCCTCTCAACCGCAACCGCTGGAACCTCAACCTCGAGGCGGCGCTCGCGTTCCGGGCGCTGCGGCGGACGGCGGCGCGCGTCTTCCTCTCCGAGCACAAGTGGAAGGACGGCGAGCCGACTGAGGAGGAGGCGGTGCTGATGCTCGGCCAGGGCGACGACAGCGCGACGCCGGTGCCGGCCGTCTTCGTCTTCGTGCCCGGCATGCCGGTCGTCGTGAACCAGAACACGCACCAGGGGCTGAAGGTGGTGAACGGGGCCGGCTACACGGCGGTGGCCGTGATCCCCGACCGGGCCTTCCCCGGCCACCGGGTGTCGGCGGAGCTGACGCTGCACTTCGGGCCGCCGGCGGGCATCGTGCTGGCGTCGGAGACGACCCGGGACCTCCACTTCGTAGGGATGCCGGCCGGGACGATCCTGCTGACGCCCATCAGCGTGAAGATCACGGCGCAGCGGAAGCGGCCGTGGCAGCGCAACGACGTGAGCCGGCGGGGCCTGCCGTGCGCGGCGGCCTTCGCCTGCACCGACTACAAGGTGCAGGGCGGGACGATCGAGCGCGTCGCGCTCGAGCTGCGGGGGGCGAGGACGACGACGGTCGAGGGCAGGGCGGTGGCGTCGCCGTGCGACCCGTACAGCCTCTACGTGCAGCTCTCGCGGTGCCCGACGCTCGACGGCATCACGCTCGTGTCGGAGGTGCGGGAGCGGGACTTCATAGGGAACCGGGTGCCGAAGGAGATGACGGCGGCGCAGGCACGGCTGGAGGAGCTAAGCGGGCTGACGACGCGAGAGGCGGCCGGCCTACTCCGCGGGTGAGGACGCGGGCGAGGAGGGCCGAGGCAGCCCGGCCCCAAAGAAGACCAATGAGAGGGAGTCTTCAAGAGATGGCCAAGAGGAGGGGGGGGCCAATCAGGAAGAGGCTTCAAAGGGGGCAAAGAGGGGAAGAAAGAGCGGGAAGAGGGGTCGAGTTACGACGAATCAGAGGTAAGAACGGCGACGAATGAGAAGATGAGGGACACGGGGTAAAAAGCGCCGACCAATCAGAGGGCCGGAAAGTGGGTTGGAAATTTTTGGAACAGGTAAGGCAACCCCGCACGGGTTGCGCAATACCCGTTGATCTTGGTGTGGGGCCACAGCAGCCCAACACTTAGTTGGGCTGCTGTGGCCCCACACCAAGATCAACGGGTAAGCCTTTCGGAACGAAGATTACGACCGGAGGGGAAGAGAAAAGAGCAAACATAAGAGAGGCAGAAGGAATAGATAAGGGACGAGAAGCCATTGGTAGGACCTACATCTAGGGAATAGCCGAGGCCATATCGGCCGCGGGGTAGTGCAGCAGGCGTCAGTCAGTAGGGACCATAGACAGCTAGCGCGCGCATAATAGTAGGTAAGTAGCATACGTAAGGACATGCCAAGTCGGGAGGTAGAGGGAATATGGATATGTGATTAAGAAGCACATGTTATGCGCCGCGCGGGAGCATGGCGAAGAGAGGGGGCTATACGTCAGCGGCATATATATGAAGAATGTTTGCCTAAGGAGGTAGTAGCATAGTAAGTAGGTAAGGCCAAGAGAGCAGACGCAATAGAGGAGCAGCACCCATTACGATGAAGCCAGCCAGCATCGAATGGCAGCACGGGGCGGAGAGCGGCGTAGGCCCAGCACGGGAGGCAGCCAGAGGACCATACACAGCAATGAGGTTCAGGCCGATCTCGGCGGCGCCGGTGCCCGGTACGGAGGGCCGGCAGGGGGCGCATGAGAGGGCGTCAGGGCTGGTGCTGCCGAAGCGAAGGCGGCGGGCGGCCGGCCGGCGAGGAATCAGGGAGGGGACCGGCGCGGGGGAGGCAGGCACGACCAGGGCCACGGCGGGAAGGACGCCCCCAGGCACAAGCGACCAGGGGGCGATGGAAGGGAAGACGGCGCCGTCGACACCGGAGACGAGGCGGGAGGCGAAACGTAGAGAAGCCGGCGAAGGCGAGGGTGGTTTCCTTCTCACGCCGCCAAGCTCCGGCCGAAGCGCCGCGGCCCGGGCGGGAAGGAGGCCGGGGCGGCCAAGGCAGCAGATCGACATAAGCCAGCAGCCGCTATTCCGGGATATCCAGCCGCGGCCGACATCGGGGGCGGCTCTGGCGACACAGCCGTGGAGCGCGGCGGGCCCAGCCCCAGGTCCGGCGGCACGTCAAAGACGGCCTCAGAGGATACAGCCCCGGCCGGGAAGGGGGCCAGGGGGTGCCATCGGGGACGCCGCCGAGGGCGCACAGCCCAGTGCAGAAATGAAAAGCCAACTCGCCGGTATAGTTCCCAAGCAGGCCCCCAGGGTCGGTCGACGGACAGAGGTGGTTAACGTGATGTAGATGAGACGACGATGGGCCCGCCGCCCTCGACAGAGACAGAAGAAAGCGCAGCCCGGTCGGCAAAGAAATCGAGGCAAGACATGGCGGCCGCGCGTCAAGCATGGCCGGGCCGTCCCTAGGCCCCACGGCAAGTCAACAGGCGCCTCGGGATATCCTGCCTCGGCCAGTAGCCGCGATAGAGAGCGCCACAGGGGACATGGCTAAGGCCGCAGAGCCTGGCGAAGCAATAGAAGGCCGACGCGCAGGTAGGGATCCTAAACGGGGCCAAGGGGTGTGCATAGAGACGTCTAATAGGGTATAGATGGGATGACGAGAGGCCCGCCACGTCGAGAGAGACAGAAGAGGAAGGGTGTAACGACGAGACAGAACTAACAACGGGGTGCACGTGCCCGTGCACGGACCACACCCCAAGGCTGTATATAAATCTCTGCCTACGGGGCTTCTCTTCTTTCTTTCTCTTGGACCCCTTAAGCTAGAAACTTCGTCCATAGAGCCAATACAAGGATAGCCGTCAAGGCTTAGTTCTGGCCGTGACAAGGGCAGTGCCGCCAGCGGACAGACCGAGGCAAAACGGAGCCGCGGCGACCAGAGGAGGCCAAGGCCAAGGGAGATGCAGGCCGAAGACCTGGCGGACGTGCTGCGGGGCCTCGAAGAGGAGTTCGAGGCGGGCGAGAGGCTGGCCGAGGAGCGGGCGTGGTGCGCGCCGGTGCCGCGCGAAAGGGAGGTCAGGACGGTACGGAGGTTCTACCGGGCGTTCCACAACACCAGCGCGCTACCGACCGCAACATGCAGTCTCTGCTACCGCAAGCGGCCCGGGAGGAGCTAAGGGAGATGGCGTGGGAGGCGAGTAAACCTACCGGGCTCGGCGCTCGGGGCGGCGCTGCCGCGGCAGGAGGAGGTGCGGGCTATTAAGTCGCAGCAGAGGAGCGCCGCGCGGGAGCGGGAGCGGGCCATACAGGGCATCCAGGGCTCCCAAGGCGGCGGGGCGGCGGCAGGAGTCGGGGCGGACCGCGGCGCGGCCCTCCGCGGGGTCATGGGGGGATTCGGCGAGGATGACATGGACGTGACGGCGGCCGACGGCGACCCAGACGTAGGCACGGCGGCGGGGATGCGCGTGCGGCTCGGCCCGTCGAGCTCGTTCCTCGCCGCCGGCCGGGAGCTGGCCAAGGAGCTGACGCTGAACGAGAAGCAGTCGATCGCCCTCCTCATCGTCTGCCGGCAGCTCGACCAGGTCCGGCAGGCCAATGAGGCAGGCGGCGACGGAGACGGGGAAGGTCAGCTCTGCCTGTTCATCGGCGGCGAGGGCGGCACCGGCAAGTCGCGCGTCATCGAGGCGCTCGTCGAGCTGCTCGCCCGGAGGGAGCTGTCGAGCCGGATGCTAGTCACAGCGACGTCGGGCACGGCGGCAGCGCGGATCAACGGCATCACCTCCACTCGGCCTGCGGCCTCGCCGTCGGCCAGGGCGGCCAGGCGGGAGGGGCGACCAAGGGGGTGGACGGCGTGCGGCTGCCGGGCGCGGGCGAGCGCTTCGTCGACGGCCGGTCGCGCATGGACTGGCGGGAGAAGGAGGTGCTGGTGGTCGACGAGGTCAGCATGCTCGGGGCGCGCACGCTATACGCCGCCAACGAGCAGCTCTGCCGGCTGCGGGGGTCGGCGCGGGACTTCGGCGGCATCCCGGTGGTGATCTTCTGCGGCGACTTCCACCAGTTCCGGCCGGTGCAGGAGCGGTCGATCCTGCTGCCGAGCGCGGCGGTGTCGTGGGACGAGGACAGGGCCTTCACGGCCGAGCAGCGGCGGCAGCACGACAAGGCGCACGCGCTCTGGCGGCGGTTCACGACGGTCACCATGCTCGACGAGCAGATGCGGGCCGCCGGCGACCCCGAGCTGCGGCGCCTGCTCGGGCGGATCCGGCGGGGCGAGCAGGACCGGTCGGACCTCGAGCTGCTCAACTCGAGGTGCCACCGGCCCGGCAGGCGGATCCCGTGGGAGACAGGCGTGACGGTGGTCACGCCGCTCAACCGGAACCGCTGGAACCTCAACCTCGAGGCGGCGCTCGCGTTCCGGGCGCGGCAGCGGACGGCGGCGCGCGTCTTCCTCCGAGCACAAGTGGAAGGACGGCACGCCGACGGAGGAGGAGGCGGTGCTGATGCTCGGCCAGGGCGACGACAGCGCGACGCCGGTGCCGGCCGTCTTCGTCTTCGTGCCGGGCATGCCGGTCGTCGTGAACCAGAACACGCACCAGGGGCTGAAGGTGGTGAACGGCGCCGGGAACACGGCGGTGGCGGTGATACCCGACCGGGCCTTCCCGGCCACCGCGTCTCGGCGGAGCTGACGGTGCACTTCGGGCCGCCGGCGGGCATCGTGCTGGCGTCGGAGACGACCAGGGACCTCCACTTCGTCGGGATGCCGTCCGGGACGATCCTGCTGACGCCCATCACCGTCAAGATCACGGCGCAGCGGAAGCGGCCCTGGCAGCGCAACGACGTCGGCCGGCGCGGCCTGCCGTGCGCCGCGGCCTTCGCCTGCACCGACTACAAGGTGCAGGGCGGGACGATCGAGCGCGTCGCGCTCGAGCTGCGGGGGGCGAGGACGACGACGGTCGAGGGCAGGGCGGTGGCGTCGCCGTGCGACCCGTACAGCCTCTACGTGCAGCTCTCGCGGTGCCCGACGCTCGACGGCATCATGCTCGTATCGGAGGTGCGGGAGCGGGACCTTATAGGAACCGGGTGCCGGGAAATGACAGCGGCGCAGGCCCGGCTAGAGGAGCTAAGCAAGCAGACAACACAGGAAGCAGGTAGCCTACTCCGCAGCTAAGGTAGGCGGGATTAGGACCATCACGATATTTATTCAGGGGAGAGGAAGACATATCTTAGCAAACTCGCCACCAAAGCGTCTTACTTCATCATCACCGAGAAGAAGATGAGAAGAAGGATAGAAGTAGGGATAACAAGGGCAACAACAGCTAGACTAGAAAAGGCAAGCGTACACACATATACCACTGGGTAGAATAGGAAGGCATAGATCTAGACAAAGACGGGCCAATATAGAAGGGGGGCTTTAAAGAGCGCGAAAAGACCAAGCACAAGAGCCTCCAATCAGGAGTACGATTCAAAGGGCCCAAAACGCAGAGGGGGGGAGGCAGAAAAAGGAGGGGGAGGAAGGACGTAGGAAGGGGTAAGTTATGGCCATATGGCCAATCGGGGGCGAGAACGCCGACGAATGAAAAGAGCTCAAAAGCGCCGACCAATCAGGGGGCCGGAATGGCGGGGGGAAATTGATGGCGAATTTTTTTTTCCCCGGGGAGGAACCCTTAAGTCCTTTCGTTCCGAAAGGCACGAGAGGAAGGCTCGCCAGCCGCGGCTCGCGCAAAGAAGCCTTTCGGAACGAAATTTGGCGACAAGAGAACCGGAGAAGAGTTGGCTACAGAAGAGAGAGAGAGAGTTGGCGACAGTAGATAGGAGACAGGAAGAAGAGTGAGGTCGAGATACGAGACACGGCGAGAGACGTAGAGCATTATCGTGAGTGAAACCGAGACAGAGCGTCGGGGAGGCAGGCTAGGCCGCTGGAGGGAGATTTTGTTTAAAAGGCGCAAACTCAAAGGGCGTGGAGAGACGGCAGGGTTGAAGAGAGATGTGAGTGGGTAATGCATGTCTGGGCGAGTGGAAGGCTCGGAAAATTTACATGTGCTACCGGTATAAGTCGTAGGTATAAACAGAATAAGGAGTATATTGGGAAGTTTTGACTTGATCGTCTTCATGAAAAGGAGAACAAGAAGAGAAGAGAATGTGCTATTCGAGCCTTTGGCAGTTGATTTTGAGGATGATGAGACATGTTGTCATGTTGTATTGTTTCGTTTGATGCTTTAAAGTTTAGAGAATATTCTTGGGCGGACGTCGGGCGCGCAGTGGTCGGGAAGATATCGACGCGGAGGTCTGATAGAGCCAGAGGCGGATGTGTCTTGGTGATTGACCTGTTCGGTGTCCGTCTCTGACTCTGCGGGTCTTCCGGGGACAGAAAGGAGGAGGTATCGGATTTGGGAGTCTTGACCGTCACAGTCGGTGATTATGGTGGAAGTTTCGGGAGAAAGTCGCGGTCTCTTGGTTGGGGTTTGGTAGGGATCGGGCATTGACCGACTTGATGCCAGCATAAGGATCGACTGGGCCAGAAGCATGCGGCGTGGGGAGGCGGGGCTTTGGGCGGCCTTGGGTTTCTTCGTAGAGGTAAACCTGGCCAACGCAACGCTATAGTCCGAGGATTGCCGACCGCGCTCTTGGGTGTCGTCGGCAGTAGTTGTGTTGCAGAAGCCTGGTCGGACATGGCCTTGTCGTGGAAAGTCCACGTGTCGGGGACGACGATGAAGATATAGTCTTGGTCGAAAGCCGGGGCATGTTTCATGATCTGGTGATCCAGTAAGCCGGCGATTTTGCCCGTACAGGTGAAGAGAGCGTTCGACTGGAACTGGCTGTCGCGCCTCTCGGTCATCTTCTTGCATAGGAGGTCCAAGGATTAGCGTGAATGGGGAAGATGACGAAAACTTGGAAGGGTGAAAGCCCTTGAAGGGGTTTGCCGGGAATCCCAGGACAAATAAAGGTGGAGAGCTGGACAAAGCCGCAGCAGCTCAGCTGGGTGTCGTCAGGGCCGCAGCCGAGTTTCCATGCAGGAGGTCGCGGCCGGAGCCGATGACAGGTCCCATGAAGGAGACAATGGGTTGTATCGTTGGGAAAGTATCCACCGAGCTGAGGTGCGAGTGACAATTCTATGGATATCGTCAGGGAGGGCAGTGGCGACAGAGAGATTTGGAGCATAGACTCACGGTTGGTAGCTGTGATCGCGGACTATAAGCGCGGGGACGGTGTATTCTGTGATGTTATCATCGTCCGACTCCAAGCCATCACGTCGCTCGATTTCCCACGTCAGGGCAAAGGGATGAACACGGCCGACCATGAAGAACCATTGCTCGGTCCATTCCGAGGAGATTATCTGTTGGTTGTATATGGAAATATTAAGGCTGAAGAAGATGCAGGTCGATGGATTGCCAGTATCTGACCGGATTGCTGCATACTCCGGAGTCGACAGCCATGAGGGCGTGGGAAGGAAGACCTCGCTAGGGTTTCTGCGTTGAGTCCTTTGACACGATGCTCATTCTGGTAGGCGAACCTAGCCGGGCAGCCGGGCTGGACAAAGGCCATCATGGACATGTCGGCGCCAGCATTTTCTGGCTGTCAAGAGGTTGCCGCGGGGAGGACGAGGTATCGACGTTGAGCTGGGAGGCCGACATCGTGAGAACATGGCAGATGTAGTCACCGTGGAAGTGTAAATGAGGGGTTACGCAGAGTGGAGGTGGGCATCCTATAAAGCAGGTTTTCTTGCTGCTCGAAAGAGGGCTCGCGGCTAGGGTCGGGGAGACTTAAGAGTCAGAGAATGCTACCTAGATGATAGATCAGAAGCGGGGGTATGCGGGAATGAGCTGGCGAGGTTCTTGAACAGTCTCGACCATCTGGTTCTATGGTCGTGAGTGAAGTAGGGAGCCGGGGGTTGGAAGTTGAGTAGGGGTGATGGCTATGTCGCGAGAAGTTGGAGGTCGGCGAACAGTAAGGTTAGTGTGGGTAAGTCTGCGGAGAAAGAAAGTCCAGCAGTACCCTTCGGTGTCATCGTTGCATGGAGTAGATAGCAAAGGCGACAATAACGAATGAGAGTGAAGGAAAGAAAGAGGTTATGGTAGTATTGCAGGGGTCCTTTGACGGTCGTCGGTAGTTGGATGGGCATTGCGTGCGGCTGAGCGAGGCGGGTGCCGACCGTGTCGAGTCCACTATTGGGACACGGGGAAGTCGGATATAGGGGACGACCTGAGGAGGAGGATGCGAGTTGGTCACGAGAACTCTCAAGAGGGTTTGCAAGTCGAGACTCCGGTGGCTAGCGACTACAAGAGGACAGGCAGGGGATCCTGGCTGTCGCTTTAGCATGAAGGCCGTTGATGCGACGTTGGTGGTGGCGAGGAGCAAACCTAGCCGGGTAGTCCGGTTGCACGAGGACACCGTGGACATGTTATCGCCGGCAGCCTTTTGGCTGTTGCTCGACGAGGTGGAGTGGCAGATATTGATGGAGCAACTGATGCGCAAGGTGGGTGGGAAGGCGTTGGAAGGGCCGAGAGTATGGTTGGAAGTGTGCGGCGGGCGGTTGGCGCGGCCACCCCATGTGCCGGAGGTCGGCAGTAGCCAGGATTCGCTGGAGTGCGCAAAGAGAGCACGGCGATGGAAGGGCCGCCTTTGGCAAAGCTGGGGTAGCAGGTCGCACGTGGAGACCAGCCGAGGGCCGGGACGGTGGACGCACATAGGGAGGGTAAATGGGGGATTACAAAGGGGTAGTAGTATTGCATCGCTTCGGTACCATAGGCAAGCATTATAAGGAAGAAACGCCACGGCCATGAGAGTAGTGATCGTTAGGAAGCTTCCCACTCGGAAAGAAATAGTGTACGCCAAGAAGCGAGATTATCCAAGTGGAAGTGCTCCGAGCCAAAACTTTCTAGCCTGTTGCCAATCCACGCTAGTCGACGTCGAGGAGGCAGTAGCATGGCGGACAGTCCTGCAGGGAAGCTAGGCGAGGCGGCCGCTCACCGTGGAGCCTGTTCGTTGTCAGTCGAGGATGGAGAAGAGGGTAGGAACGGGGGAGTGCCTGTTTCGGGGTGCGGAGATGATACAGGGCAACTCCGAGAAGGGCACAGAGCACGGGAGACAAGGTTGGGGCGGTTCGGGAGATACAGATCAGTGGCGAATGAAGCATTAACGTTCCGGCTGATTCAGCCTAAGCAGTCTGCGGTCGAAGAAACCGCATGGAGAAAGCATGCAGAGGCGATCGCAAAGTCACTGCCGAGAAGACCGCCGCGAGGCGGTTTGCGGTCAAGCAGAGCACGGAAGTCCCGTAATTTGGTCAGCAGCGGAAATTCCGCGCAACGTCAGTCACCGAGTCCGCTTCCGAGGTTCGTGTTGCCTACAGAACGTGGAGACCAGGGGGCAGTGGGCTCTGACAGTCCGCCCCTTCATCGGCCGTTTTGCCCCAGGAGAGGGTCCTGAAGGTGACGGGCAGGGAGATAAGGCGGCGACCGGCGGTGTCCCGGGTGTTCGTTCGAAAGGGGACCGACGCTCCGACCTATCCAGCCCAAGGATACGACTTTCCAAGACCTAAGACGAACGGCGCAATTTGCAGCATCGATTGCATGGGGTTTGCCCAAGCTCCGTCGGGGACCGGTTCGGCGGCCAAGGGCACAGGTGGGTGTGGACGATGGCGCAGCAGAGGCAGCGGACGGCTCGCTGCGCGGACAGAGGCAGTCCCGGAGGCGGAGAAGAGAGCCCGTCTTCCTAGCCGGGATGGGCGCCCGATAAAACAGGTCCGAAGTGGAATCGGAAGGCATAGGAGACGGGAGCTGCAGGCCGAAGACCTGGCGAGTGTGCTGCGCTTTTTGGAGGAAGACTTTGCCTTGAAGGAGAGATTGTCTAACGATCAGACGTGGTGCACGCCAATACCGCTCGAGAGGAAGGTGTCGACGGTGCGAGACTTCTATCAGGCGTTCCACGATGCGAGCACGTTGCCGATACGGACCTGCATGGTGTGCTACCGCAAGTGTACGAGAGGAGAGTTGAGGGAGATTACATGGGATCATTGGCTGTCAAGTTGCGTACCAAAGGGCGGCCGCTCACCATTTTCATGCCGGAGTTGCTTTCCTGAGGGCGAGTCCGTGTCGGTGTGCGCCGAGTGTGGCCGATGCCTGGCGCGCAGGAGCCTGTCGCCGGCGATCCACCTTCACAGTCGCCTTGGCTGCGAGCACATGTTCCCGATGAGCTCAAGGGACTGACGCCGGTCGAAGAGAAGCTCATCTCGCTGAACTCATGTTACGGGTTTGTCACGAGATATAGCATTCCGGGCGGGCAGAGACAGAGCGTGAAGTATCCGAGGCATGTCAGGGCCACATCACAGTGTTTCCGAACAATGTGCAGGAGCTGGCCACCAAAGTGCTCCCGCACCCCTTTGCAAGCACTGGACGAGATCCACATCTCGTGGCAGGGCGCGGAGAAGCCGGCACCGAGCGACCTGTCGAGTCTCTTGTCGGTGAGGCGGCGGGTGGTCGAGAGGGCCCTTGTCTGGCTGAAGCGGAACAACCCCACTACGCCGAGATCGAGATCGACGCGGCGGAGATGGAGAGCTGGGAGACTCGATACACGGGGTACCGTCGTCGGTGTGCGATCGTATGGAGCGGAAAGAGCCGTCTGGGTGGGAGAAAGCGCGGACGGCGCACGTTGTGCCGCCCACGGAACGCGCCATGGACGAGGAGGGCCGGTGGAGATCGAGGAGCTCTTCGCCCTGCTCAACCAAGGACAAGAAGCCGGCGGCCAGGGTGAAGGTCACGGGCCCAACGGAGAAGGCGCGGTTCGCGATGGAAGTGACGCCTGCCCCGACCAGAACGTTCCAGCGATCAACGAGGTGACGTCTTCTGGCATGTTCGCGCTCGACGGACCGCCAGACGTCGCGGACGTGGAGAAGCTGCAGTTTGCCTGTGACGCTGTTGGTGAAGGTGCCGACGACGGCCGTGCGGCCCGAGAGCGTGGGTCGGGTCCCTAGCCGGGGTTCGGGGCGTGGCGACGGTGGTTGTGAGCCATACATCCGGGTTTCGCGGGGGTGAGTTTACCGATTCCTTTGAGGCGTCCTTCTTTGCCAGGACGTTCCCGACCCTGTTCCCATTTGGCGTTGGGGGACCAAGGCTGGTTGAAGAGACCATGGTCGACGCGGGGAAGGTCACGGCCAACTTGCGAGGCAGGGCTGTCGAGGCAGAGGCGGCCGCGGAGACCCCGTATCGTCTCGAAGCTTGAACCTTCAGGCGTGGGCCGAGATCGTGCTCCGGCGCCATGGTGGTCGATTTGCACTGCACCACATCTTCGCATTTCTCGTCTTCAACATGGGGTGCGGTCGAGGAACCGCCGGGTCAGCATGTTGAGTGTGGGAGGAAGAACTTCCGCAAGGTAGAGCGCATCGTGCGTTCGATGACCACAGAAAGGCTAGCGGCGGCGAGGGTCGAGTTGGAGAGCTCGGGTAAGACGACCGATGGTGACGTGAAGGAGCTTCTCAGGAGCCTCTCGCTTTACGGCCACCGGCAGCCCATGTCGAGAGAGGTCCGTCTCAATATGCGGCGGAAAATCCAGTCGCTCATCGTCGGATATGGCGTGCCGGCCATCTGGTTCACCATCAACCCGAACGACATTACGAACCCGGTGAAGCTGCGACTGGCGGCATACCGCACACGCGATCCCGACGCGGCCGAGGAGTTCTTAGAAGGCCTTGGGGATGCGTATAAGCGGGCACGGCTGGCGATATCGGATCCCATGAGCTCGGCCGTGTTCTTCCACCGCGAGATGAAGCTGTTCTTCGATCATTACGTGAAGGTCGGTGAAGAGTCGGTATTCGGGCGCATCGGCAAGTACTATGGCGCCGTGGAGACGAACGAACGAGGGCGCTTCATGTTCACGGCTTGCTCTGGCTGCACGGGAACGCGCATCTCAGCTCGATGCTTGCCGACATCCACGGGGAGGATCAGGCGGCGTATCGCGAGCGAATCGTCCGATACATCGATAGCGTCTTCTCAGAGGTAAGAATGCCTACCTAAGATGTGCCACCGGGAGCCTGAAGTACTCTTCTGATGGCCAAGTGGGGCCGGGTTGACGTGCAAGGCAGGATCTGGACCAGGAAAGTTTTTGCGCCGTGCAAGCGGAGCGATCTGTGACGGGCGGTATTGGTTCCCTGCTGGACAACGCCGCGCAGTTCTCGGCCGCGTTTATCGAGGAGGCCAACTTCTGTGCCGGCGCGACGCAGGTGCACACGCATAGCCCGACCTGTGTGAAGTACTCCTTGGGCAAAGGAGGGCGGAAAGGGGACCTCTGCCGGTTCAAGGCGCCATGGAGGTTAGTCGACAAGACCGCCCTCACGGCAGACGGGGTGCTGCAGATCCGGAGGACACACAGCATGGTCAATCGATGGAACGAGGCTATTGCTGTCGGGCTCCGGCACAACCATGATATTTCCTTCATTGCGACGCAGCGCAAGACAATGGCCCTCATCTATTATGTCACGAACTACGCGACCAAGGTGGAGGACCCGGTGTGGAAGCGTGTGGCGGCCGCGGCCGAGCTCCTGGCCGCCTCAACAGGTGATGGCACGGCAAACGGAGGGCGGGACGGTGGCGGAGACGCTGCCACCGATGACCCTGTCAAGGGAACAGGACGCGACAGTTCCTGATGAGAGTGGCGAACCGCGTGTTCACGGAGCGTCCGCTATCACAGGTCGAGGTCGTCGCTCACCTTCTCGGATATCCGGCCGAGTTCACCGACAGCAGCGCGTGGGCGTACCTGAACTGTTCTCTGCTGTACTGGGAAGTCTTTCGGCGATGGCGGCATCTCCGAGAAGCCAGTGGCGCTGCGGCTATGGATGACACCTTGGATGAGTCGGTCGTCGTCGAAGAAGAAGGCCTGAGAATCTCCCACGTCGAGGCGTACCAGCACCGGGGAGAGCTGCTGAAAGGCCTATGCCTGTATGACTACATATCGATCGTCAGACTGAAACGCATCGGCAACGACGAGAGCTGGGCGGCTTGGGGGGAGATGTCTTTCGAGGATGGATGGCGCCGGGACGACGCTGGGTTCAGGTGCTCAGGCGGCCGGGCAAGCACGCTACCGTCTGCCTCGACGGCTACCTGAGCAAGGACTTCACCTACGATGACGAGTCGTGCTACCGGAGGTGTGTATGGCAACTGCTCTGTCAGCGGGCATTATCGGAGAGGCTAACCCACCCCCTGAAGGGCAGCCGTGCAGCATCTTGCGCTGTTCGTGCCGTGGGAGTCCTTCCTGGGCGAAGGAACAGGTGAGATCAACAGCATCTGGGCGCGGGCTCGAGACGCTATGGCCCCGAGAATATCATGTCTCGTCGACAACGTGCAGCTGCTTCGACGATCCGCCGAAGACGCAAAACGCGACGCCAAGCAATGGGCAGCCTCGTCCGGCGATGGCGACCCGACGGTCGCACACGTCGAGGAGGGTGGAGCAGGCGAGGCGGGCGCGGAGTCTGCAGCGACATATCAGCCCAACAGCATCGGAGACGCAACGCGGCTCATCGACGTCGTCCGAGGTGCAGTGGGAGCGAATCAGGTGACGGCCAAGTCGCCGGAGCTCATGGCAATGATACAGCAGCTCTGTCGGTTTCAGCAATCGGCGCTGCGCTCGACGGCCGAGCTCGAGGCCACGGCGCTGATCGAACGAGGGGAGAGGCGGTTAAGCATGCCAGGGCGGGGATTTTTCGGGGCCGCACTACCGCCGCAGGATCAGGTCAAGGCTATCAAGTCGCAGCAGGTAAGTGCCTCGAAGGAGAGGGAGAGGATGATCCAAGGGATACAAAGCACGCCCGCCGCCTGGGAAAGCGATCGCCGCGCAGCGTTGCGAAGGGTGATGACCGGTTTCGGGAGGACGAGGTCGAAATGACGATGGCCGACTCCGACGAGACCGCTATCGACGCAGGGGCGGGAATGGACGTTCAGTTTGGCCCATCAACCTCCTTCCTCGCGGCGGGCAAGGTGTTGGCAACACGGCTGACGCTGAACAAGAGGCAGTCCATCGCTTTTCTGATAATATGCCGCCAGCTCGATTTGATGCAGCAGACCGACGGGGCGATGCCTGCCAGCTGCGCCAGTTCGTCGGTGGCGAGGGCGGTACCGGCAAGTCGCGAATCATCGAGGCACTCGTCGAGCTGTTCAGTAAAAGAGCCTTTCGAATCGTCTGCTGATCACGGCGACGTCGGGGACTGCGGCGGCGCGGATCAACGGCATCACGATCCACTCCGCCTGCGGGTTCACTAAAGACCAAGGGCGGGGGCGCGAACATGGTCAAAGACCTTGACGGGTGCGGCTGCCGAAACAGGCGGAGCGGTTCATCCACGGCCAGTCTCGAATGGATTGGCAGGAGAAGGATGTGCTCGTCATCGACGAGGTGAGCATGCTCGGGGCGCGGACGCTGCACGCCGTGAACGAGCGGCTTCGCCGGCTTCGCGGATCGCGGCAAGATTTCGGGGGGATCCCCATCGTCCTCTTCTGCGGAGATTTTCAGCAGTTCCGGCCGGTCCAAGAGAGGTCGATCGTCCTGCCTAGCGCGGCCATCTCGTGGGACGTAGACAACTCGTTCAAGGCCGAGCAGCGTCACCAGCACGACAAAGCGCACGCACTGTGGAAGAGGTTCACGACGGTCGTCATGCTGGACGAGCAGATGCGCGCCGCCGGCGACCCGGAGCTGCAGAGGCTGCTGAAGCGGATCCGTCTAGGCGTGCAGGATCGGACGGATCTAAACCTCCTCAACTCAAGGTGCTACCGGGAGGGAAGGCGGATCCCTTGGGAGACGGGCATCACCGTGGTGACGCCGCTCAATAGGAATCGGTGGAACCTGAACATGGAGGCGAGCCTGGCGTTCCGGGTCCAGCAGCGGTCGACGATGCGCATTTTCATCTCCGAGCACAAGTGGAAGGAGGAGCTGCCGACGGAGGAAGAGGCGATCATGATACTCAACCAGGGCGACGATAGCGCGATCCCGGTGCCGGCCGTCTTCATGTTCGTGGCCGGGATGCCCATCGTCGTGAACCACAACACCCACCAGGGGCTGAAGCTAGTGAACGGCGCGAGCTACTCGGCGGTGGAGGTCATTGTCGACAAGGCGTACCCGGGGCATCGGATCTCGGCCGATATGACGATCCACTTCGGGCCGCCGGCGGGGATCATTCTCGAATCGGAGACGACGAGATATCTCCACTTCGTCGGGATGCCGCCGGGCACGATCTTGTTGACACCCATGACCGTTAAGATACAGTGCCAGCGAAAAAGGCCGTGGCAACGCAACGACGTCAGCCGAAAGGGTTTGCCGTGCGCAGCAGCGTTCGCGTGCACGGACTACAAGGTGCAGGGCAAAACGCTGGAGCGCGTGGCCCTCGAGCTGCGAGGACACGGACGACGAAGATGGATGGAACGGTGGTGCCTCGCAGTGCGACCCGTACGGCCTGTACGTGCAGCTATCGCGCTGCCGAACTCTAGACGGCATCATGCTCGTGTCCAAGGTGCGGGACAGAGACTTGGTGGGCAACCGGGTCCCGAGGAGATGACTGCCGCACAGGCCAGGCTCGAGGTACTGAGCGAGAGGACCGTTGAGGAGGCGTTGCGCTGGCTGGACGGTGATGCTGAAGAGTCAAGGCGGCCGCGCCAGGAGACGCGATGAAGAGTTCGGCAGGCGGGAAGAGTCGGCAGGCGGCAGACAGGGTGGGAGGCGCCTAGTGGTGGGATAAGGCACGCGAAAAGGCAACAGAAGCCGGGGGAAGGGCAGCGACCAACGAGGAGGGAGGCAAGGAGGGACCAATCACAAGGGACCAATCAAGGGGCGGAGAACTTTTGGGGGGAGAGGGCGGGGTCTGCGGGGCACGTTAGAAGGCCTTTCGTTCCTCAAGGCATATGGAAAACCACCCTGGGTATACGGATGCTTGGATGTCTAGTCCTTGCATCCGGTCGTGCAGTTCTTCGAGCTGGGCTTCGTCGGACATAGCTCGGGCGGTCGGGGCCATCGTTGATCAAATGAATGAGACGATGAGGGTTCGTATTGGTCTATTTGTATACGATTTGTCGTTGTTTTTGCGATGCAATCGTCTATCAAAAAGTTTGCTCGTGGTCGCCGGCAGACTTGCAAATAGATAAATCAAATCAAATCCGGGGTCCAATTTGATTTGATTTGGATAGCAAAATCATGGATCTGATTTGATTTGATTTGATTTGAATCGATTTGGATCTCATTTGGATATCTGGATAACCCCACTTTTTTCCCACGACGAAATACATTGAGCCGCTCCTATAAGGTCCGCTTTGAGCAGTGTGTCCATCAACCAAGTTACTTGACTTGGTTGGTTGGGATTGGTTGATTACGTAACAACCAAGTAAAGTAAAGACGGTTTTCAACCAAGTCAAGCAAGACCCTTTGGCTTACTCGGGGTTACTTGAGGTTGCTCGACGACCTTTCCGTTTTAGGCAACTCGTCGCGAGAGCCCCATTTTATGAGTCGGCGAGGGGATGCACGCACCCTGGTTGGCTGGGCTTCCCAACCTTCTTGCTGCCAAAATCTCGCGAAGTCTACTTTGTGAGAGAAGCCGGTCGCGCCTAGCAAAAGAGTCCGGAGCAAAAAAGGCATGAAATGGAAACGGGAGAAATGCGGGTGCGTAGATATTTTTATCATGTAAAGTTGATGTGGCAGTCTTTCTGCGATGGCTTGTTCCACCCACCACATGTGGTTGGGGAAAAAGTCTAGGGTAGGATATCCTGGTGATACATCTCGCAACGCGGCGATAAGAAGCAACGACGAGCTGAGATACGTTATAGAACATGTTTTTACATCAATGTCAAACCATGACGACTTGCTATCCTCTTCGATTTCTTCATCAAATACGGTGCCAGGCAGCTGTTGTCATCATATCAATCGCAATCTCATCACCGAGGCAATTTAACTTTTCTCGCAGACAGAGACGGTTATCACAGACACACGGAATCGCTACAATACAGATGCTGTAGCTGCTATTGAACATCGCAGGCACCTGCCTTAGAAGTCATATGTTGTTACCATACAGTGCTTAAGGGGCCAAAAAAAGAAATCGTTCAAGCAAGGTACCGACAGTGCCAAAAGTCTTAGGCGGGGTACATCGTGCAGCCAAATTAGGAAATACAGTCAAGCAACATCAACCAACCAAGCAAAGTAAGCCCCTCTCGTCAAGCAAACCAAGTAAAGCAAAGGGTCCGGTCAACCAAGTCAAGCAAAGGGGTCAAATTTTGCTTTACTTGGTTGATGGACACACTGGCTTTGAGGCGGCCTCTCTGAGCTGTGACCATCTGTCCGGCAAGGCTAAATATTCTCTCCGGCTCTGAAGACATCGCCGGAATAGAAAAGAGGTCGATTGCCATTCGCGACAAGCGTGGATACTGGCGTCTGCGGAGAAGCCAGTACTGGATGGGATTGTCCACAAGACAATCGCCCGGATCGGTACTGCCCACCCATTCTGCGTACTCGTCACGCGTGGAGGACGGTGAGGACGCAGGTTGGGCGCCAAGTTTCCTAATTGAGGTCATGAAGTCATCTAGGTCCGTTGTCTTCCTTGCAGCTGTGGGCTCCTCGGGTATCGTATCTTGCTCGACCGCGAGGGTTCGGTACTCCTCCCATAGCTCTTGCACAGCCGCCCTTCCTCTGGCCAACCAGTCCGGATGATCGGACCATTGCGACTCGACGGTGGACCAGCGAAACGCGGGATGGAGGACGAGGCTTGCGAGGTACGCAGGGCTATCCTCCGTAAGGGCGTAGTATTGATCCAGCTTCATCCAGCCGAGATTGCAGCCGATTCGCAGGTACGGTTCCTCGTCCCGTTCGTGCTGTAGCTTTGCCTCTTCTAGGTGCTTCAGAAGCCACTCCATTGTGAGCAAAACTTCCCAAATCGCGCCGAATTTGCCTTGTCGTGGCTGGCCCTCTAGGCGCTTTGTCGCGATCTTCAATGGTTTCAGGATCGCCAAATACTCTGCAATAACGGACCAGTCCTCAGTGGCCATCTGGTCGTCCACAATTGTAGGCTTCTTGCGGCACTTCTTCGGCATCGGCTTTGCCCCGTGCTGTGTCCTTCTCGCCACATATTGGTTCCACTCTGTCACTTCCGCTTGGACCAGCGAATCGAGTGCATTGCGAAGCATGTAGCCCCGCTCCATCATCGATTCGGACGAGTTCCAGCGAGTAGCGTTGTCCATGACGACATCGTAGGTTGTTTTGTCTTCGAGGCCCAGGGCGGTGTTCTCAATGGATTGGAGCTTGTGGAGCCTTTCAATGCGCTGGCCAGACCTTTCCACCCAGTGAACGATATTGTGCAGCTTGCCGATGGGGCCCCTTGATCTCCAGAGTCTGACCTCATCTTGGATCTCTTTGTTGGCTTGGCAATCCTCTTCAAACGCGTCGGCGTCCGTGCCGAAAAGAATGGATCGGGCGACGAGGTTGATGATGTGGCCGCAGCAACGGAGCCGACGATGCTGCTTGTTGAACCCCAACTCAGTGCCCAAGTCTTCAAGGCACGTGTCGTTGCTCTCCGCATTGTCTGTGACAAAATATCCAACGCGATCCTCGAACCCATACTCGTGGATTATCTCGCTGACACGGTCGGCCAGGTTTTCTCCACAGTGGCGACCTTCAATCCGTGGCAAGCCGAGGAGAAACGTACGGAACTTCCCTTCGTCATCAAGAAAGTGTACGGTAAGGCCGAGCAGAGATGTGAATTTTCGGGATGACCAAGCATCAAAGGAGACGTTGATGCGGCTGAGCGACCGACGAAGCAATTCCGTCACGACGCCTTTGTGACAATTGAAGGAGCGCACAATCCAGTCGCGCATTGTGCTATGAGTGGAATACTGCCCGAATCCGCAATTGCGCTGTTCGCGTAAGCCATAAGGTCGCGAAAGTACGGACTCTCCAGTTTGTGGAATGGTATGTTGTCGCATGCCACCCAGCGTATCAGGAGATGTTGAAAGCGAAGCGGTTGAAAGGACGAGATGAAGGCATTCATCAGAGCCTGATCCTTCGGTCGGTTGAGTCTAGGTCAACCACGTCGAAAAGAGTGCGTTGCTTCTTCCTCTGTGGTAGCATTGGCCCGCCTTTGTTGATGTGGTGAATTTCTTCCATGTGACTGTTCGCTTGACTTGTGGATGCAGCATCGTACATATGGGTAATTGTAGCCTTCTTCCCGTGGCAGACCTTGCAAAGCCAAAACCGATGACCGGAATCGTTTTTCTCGATATCGAACCCATGCTCCTATACCCATCCCGTCCGCGCTCTTTTTCTATACTTGCGTATAGAGAAACCCGAGAGGCGATTCCAATCGATGCCTTCATATCCAACGTAGTCGATCGAAGGTGATGTGTCAAGGTCGGGGGAGCTCTCGGGAGCGCTAAAACTGGTGGACGGGACACTAGAAAGGGCGGCGGACAGCGCCTCGCCTTCTGCTGTATGCGCCATTGCAGTCAAGTGCAGAGCTGTCCCATTCTGGCCACCGGCTACATATATCTCCCCCCGTAATATGGCAGACGCACCCACTAGATATATTTCACGATCAAACGTGTCAGGTAAAACGCCAAAAGAAAGCTTGGTGACACGGCCTGGAAAAGCAACTGCCCGTATCCGTAATTAGCGACCGCTCTGGGCCAGGGCTGGCTCTCAAAAATCATTGGCCCAGGTCGCCATTGTGGGGCGTATCCAAATAATCAGATATCTACGGTCGCACATTAGGCAAGGTTGGCAAAAACCGCACCAAAAAAAAAGGCTCTCTACCCCTCAATCCCTCAGCCCATCAATCCCTCGAGACACCTTCGTCAATTGAAGCCTCTGTATTTCCACATCTACGATAAACGATGCCTAAACGCAGGCCGGACCTTGAGCCCTTTCGGGCTCACATCAATGAGCTCTTTCTGTTAAAGTCCACGCAGCAGGAAATGCTGCAGTCATTGAACAATCTTCTTGTTAGCCAAGGCTCCCCGACAGTCGGCTTGCGGCTCTTTCAGACTCAACTTGCAGACTGGGGACTGTCTCGTCAAGTACAGCTTGATGACCTATCCGAAGATATCGTTGAGATGCACGACTCTGGATTTACACACCAAGCTATCCAGGCTCAGGTCAATGAGATCCTTCGTGCAAGAGGCAGGCCGGAGATCTCGCCACGCTCGCTAAGGAGCTATCTGGCTACTTCGGGACTTTCACGGCATAGCCACGCCCATGTCTCTGAAGAGCTTATTGAACGAGTTCGCTTTTACTTCTATGCATACGGCTATAGTGACTCTTCAATCCTTCGTGGCTTGCAAGCCAAGGATGGAATGACGGTATCCCTTTTTACAGTCGTACGCGCTCGACTGCAAAATGGAATGAAACGCCGTTTAGGCACGCAAGAGGAACAGCAAGCGGCCCTTTGTGCGGCAATTGAATTCCTCGAAAGGGATCTCCAACAGACACCTGCGGTTCGTTCATTTGGCAGAGGCTATCTGTACAACTATGTTCGATTAAAGGGTGGCATCTTAGTATCACAGAACCGTCTCTATGACTTCTATCGTTCAGTCTTTCCTGAGGAAGTCCAAAGGCGCCGCGAGGGAAACTTCAAGCACCGTACCGACTTTACTGTGCCGGGACCAAACTTCCTTTGGTGCCTTGATGGGTACGAGAAGCTCAAGCGCTTCGGCTTTCAAGTCTACGCTTGCATTGATGCATACTCGCGTTGCATTATCTGGTTCTTCTTAGGAAGATCAGCGACTACAGCGTTAAGCACACTAAAGCAGTATCTTGTCGCTGTACAGCGTCTTGGAATGCGCCCCTTTTTCACTCGTTGCGATCACGGCATCGAGACTCCTCTTTGGGTTGGGGCCCAGGCAGCGCTTGCAAAAGCCGGTTCAGCTCGATTTACATACGAGGAAATAGAAGGCATGCGTCATATCTACCGCCAAGGAGACCTTATCGAGTCTTGTCATATGTACGGGCCAAGCACGCGGAATGTACGAATCGAGTCATGGTGGCGAAGCCTTCGAGCTGGAGCGTCGGACCGATGGATTGTAAGTCAATCGAACTATATTACTATATATATATGTACGGGTGCTAATGATAGAGTAGTCTTTCTTCAACGAGCTTGCAAGCTCGGCTGTTTTCGTTGAGTCGAGGCTGAGTGACCAGATTGCGCTTTACGCAATCTATACACCAATGATCAAGGATGAGTTTGCTACGTTCGTGGACCTTTGGAACTCCCATAAGATCCGCACACAGCGAAATCGCCAGCATGTAGTAAGTGGCAGACCTATGGATCTCTATAATACGGATCAGGTACGGAACTGGGGTGTGCCTCTCAGAGAGGATGACGATATTATGGCCAGCGAGGTTCTGCAGGATTTACTCGAGCCGATACAAGATATCGATATCGATTCCTTCTTGCCACAGGAGACAGAAGACTGGTGCAATCAAGAGCTTACGACGATGGGGTTTGGCTGGGAGCTTGATCCAGGGCGGGATCATAAACACCCCTTCTTTGGGGTATATATACAACTTCGCAATCGAATCCGGCAACATCAGGAAAGTGGTCACCAACCTATCCTTGCGGTAGCAGAGCCTCCAAGAGGCGGGCTGGCAAGATACGTAAGTGACTTCAATCTTGATTTAAATATACATGCTAATTAAAATATTATAGGAGCAACTGGAACAAATACTCGAACGGAACCATACTCTTTTACAAGCTCAAACACGGCTTCAGGGCGACGTTATTCCACCAAGCGCTCAACACCAGTTCCGACTATTTGAAGAGGAAGACATTCAGGGTATACCCGAGCCGCTTGCATAATCGCATTAGGCACCCGTTAGCCTCGTCGTCTCTCCTGGAGGTGCCTAGTGTTGAAGGCCGGCCCTTGAGAGACTGCTGCCTCTATGTCTGCAGAGGGAGCTGAGGGACCCTGAGCTTCGTTGGCAAAGAGGCTCTCGCCTCCTTCATCTCCTTCATCTTCATCTTCCTCATCCTTATCTCCGTCCTGCCCCTCATCTGGCCCCTCATCTTGCTCATTATCCTCGCGAGCCGGTACCGACCGGCGCCGTGAGGATTGGACTTGAATACAGTCAGCGGCAAGATCCTTCAGGGCTGGCAGCGCTGGACTTTCGAATCGGGTAGCGTTGATGCGTTCTTTCTTGATATGGATGCTACCCCTGACATTAGGAGACGCATTCCTCTTCCTTTTCCGCTTCGGACCGACACTTGACGTCGGAGTCGCAAAAGTGTCAGAATCTTCTTCCCCGAGTGATATGTCGTTCTCTTTTTTCCCCTTAGAGTCAACAGACTTCGGGGCACGAGGGTTAGGTTCTTCGACCTGGAAGGCGATCCAGACGACGATATGACCCTCGCTTACATCCCAGCTCTTGCGGGACTTGCCAGATTTTACATCATGCGGGAAAAAGAGGTCGCAAACAGAAAGACCGCGGTGCGGGACCCTCTTCAATCCGCCGTGCCCGCTGGAGTGAAGCTTTTGCCAACGGCTGCCAATCTCCCAGCGCATATTATTGTGGAGCTGATCCTCGAACTGTGGGCGGACGTATTCGTCAACCCATTCGCTTATAGGTATCTGTCACAGTTATGTGGATGCGCACATTAGGAGTCTTGTGGTGTATATTGAAAGCTCTGCCCCGTCCATCCAAGGAGGGGTGCAGCCGGGACCTTAAGTAGGTACCGGCGCAGGCTAGGAAAACTCTTTTGTTTACAAAACGCGTAGGGGTCTGTTACGCGTCACGGTAAAGTGACTTGTGCCGTGTCGTGACCGTTCCTAGCGTACGTAGACTCCGCACTCCTCGTGACAGTATCGCATGGCTATGGGCATAATCGTCGTGTGGGAAAGGGTCAAGCTCAACACTCCTATATTGACTCGTCAGTTACCAAGCAAGGGCATAAAAAAATCCGTTTTCTTCTACGTACCAATCGGATCCTGTTTCTTCGACAAAAAAAACCCAGCTTGCTGCTCGCCACGGGAGAGGATAGCGTTGACACGGATCGGCAGTCCGAGTGGATGGTCGTAAGGGTCTTCTACCTCTGCCGTCCTGCAGTACGCAGTAGCACGTTTAACGGAAGACTTCCAATGGTTTTGAAAGTTGATCGTCCGGTCCCGCTTTCGAGCTGACGGTCGAGCTGGGCCGAAGACCTGAGCGGAAGGTTGATTCGATGGAGAGCTTTGGACTGCTGGGGACTCGGTGTCTGATATAACAATCGGCTGGGGCCAGGCTTTCCCGCAAAAGGGGCAGAAAGAAGAGTCTTTGTTCTCGTCTCGGATGCGCCAATGGAAACGATCAGCTTTGGGGCACTTCTGTGTGCCCCAGTGAGGTGCCATAGTATCAGAACATCGATAGAAACGTCAACAGAGTCGACAAAAGAAAGGGAAGGATAAGGAGCGTTGAAAAGGAGGACGAAAGGAGCGATGCTGATGATGATGATGATGTTTATTTCGCCATTGACGATAGTCAGAGGCACTGCGTCAGACTCGCTAAGCCTAATCTAGAGTTGTCCAATACTCGGTTCCGAGCCCAAGGAATTCGTCCCGATCTAATGCCTGAATTTCTCTTACATCCTTCAATCCGTCTCTTGCTCATTTGACCTGTCCCTTTCCAATTCTGGAGCCTGTCTGATGAGGTACAGACCACTCTCCTCCGCCGCATTTGACGAAGAGTCCACCTGCCTTCAGCCGTCCGGTGTAGCTAACCTACCAGCTGTGGGGCAACCACAGGTATAGGTAGAGGGTTTGTGCTGAAAAGAAAAGGTTAAGACAGAGGATGTATGTTAGTAGGGCGTCGGTCGTAACTTGGCGAGTTCCCGGCGATACACCGGGCACCCAGGATCTGTAGCCTTGTGTGCTCCTTTTCCACCGCACGCTGCACACTTGAAAACGTCCGAGGTGCAAGTCGACGCAGAATGGCCCGGTTGGGCGCACTGTCCACAGATCGGAGCTGGCGCCTTGCAGCGATAATGCAAGTGTCCGTAGAGGTGGCAACGGTAGCATCTCGCTGGTTGAAGTCCCTGAACGAATTGTCGCGTGTATGCACACTCGCCATTCGCCATCTCAACCGTTCGTTTTGCAAGCAACCTGTCCACCTCCTCTTTCTTATCCAGGTGTACCACTAGAGAGCGGTATTCCTTGTCGACAGACGCTGTCCCGAGCCATCGCATCTTGTGCACTTTCACCCCGTTCATCCGCTCAAACACGGCGCATCCGATATCATCCGTCGCAACCCCGCGATGTGCTCTATCAACCCGTAGAGGGTACCACTGCTCCCCATATAGCGTTCCCTTGTCGAAGTGTGTCTTTATCCAGGTGTCGTTCTGCCGTACTTTATCGACGTCCGTCTCTCGAAAGAGAAGCCGAAAACGCCCGTTTCTTAGAATTGACGCCCAGGCAGGTCACACCCAACTTCTCAAGGGCAGCGTTCGCGCGCCGACGAATGGTGCCGGCATTGCCTTCCTTTATGTCGCTGTCTAGGACCCGACTCACGTCCAACCCAATGCCTGGCAGTGGCCCTGGGACCGGAGAGGGTGGTGGCGAAGGTGGCAGGTGCTGGTGCTGTTGCTGATGAGGCGCACTTGGAGTGGCGGACTCCGGAGGGCTAGCGACGCGTGGGAAGAGCTCGTTTCGAATGAACTCTTCCAGTAGTGGGTGAGCCAAAGCGAATCCCAATAAAGTGGGGGCGGGCACGATTAACTACCCTGTCGGATCTCACTACGAGGCACGCACGAGGGACAAGTCGGATGTGAAAGCTAGTGGGGTAAAAGAGGTCTCTGTTCCTGTTACAAAAGAGAGTAAAGAGCGTTGGGTGTCCACTGACCCAGCTTAAATAGCTGTCAGGAGGGACCCCGATATCTGCATACACAGGAAACAAGTATCCTCCTTCCAAACAGGGTCAGCTCGATGCGACATACCCCCTAAAAATGGCACACAGGACGACTAAGGGGACAGAGGGACCCGTGGAGGCCCTGAATCAGGGCCAATTCCCGCGTATCCTGATTAGGGCAATGTTCCTGTACTGCATCGATACCCGACTCAAGTCTGTGTGTGACCTGCCTCTTTCACTGGGGCTTTTATGCGTGCGTGGATTTGACCGTTAGTCTGCTCCTTCTGACAGTAACGGTATGTGGAAGTGGATACCGTAAGGTATGTGGAGGTGGATACTGTAACAGTCCGATCGATCGTCTGTCTCGTCGTTTAACCTATCGCCTGTCTTGCTGGCTGTCCTGCTGGCTGTCCTGCTGTCTGTCCTGTCTTTTGTTAACTGGTACCGTAGCTCAATATGTTAGGGGGTCAGCACTGTTGGCACAGGTGCTGGGCGTAATTGATGTAAATTGAGCTACAAAGAGTGTACAAGGGAGACGTGTCTACCATCGCCCCCTTTAGGTGCCGTGTCCGTGGCGCTCGCACGTGATTAGTCTGGCTATGCCATATCTACCGGTACACATAGGCCCTTACAACCAGCTTCGGGCCGGGATTGACGAACAGAGCCAGCGGCTTGTCCTTGGAGACCCAGAATGTTCATCTCGCGATTGGTGATGAGTCTTGACTACGGATAGCATGCTGATTTAGCCGGTAACTCTAGCCCGTAAGTCTTTATCCTGCGATTGGCGACGAATCTTGTTTTTTACTGTACTCTAGCATGTAAATGTTTATCGCGCGATTGGCGACGAGTCTTGACTGCAAGTGGTATGCTGACATAGCTTGCGACTCTAGTAGGTAGAATAGTCACGAAAGATTCTGGAGAAATGCTTTGGTAGGGCACTAGAGGGAGGCCTTGGGTCGTTTCAACACACCGTTGTCGGACTAACTCGGCGTACGGCGGAACTCCTGATATCGGCTTTGCATGGAGTGAGCATAAGTTATAATCGTTGTATGGAGTTCTCCACTGGAGTTTAAGCTCGGCCGGCTATATGCGGGATTCTACTTCCTAAATCTAGAAATCGCAAAAGAGATCAGGCTGCTTTTTCCCTCAGCAGTCGAAGGGATTAGAGGCTGATATACCCTGTGTAAGGCACGAATTATACTTTGTAGCTAATGTGCGACCGTACTAACTTAGGTCCTTTCGTTCCTCAACAAGGCATCTTCGCTTTCGGCTTAGGGAGGACCTTCTGTAGAGCGTTCATCCACACCTGGGCCATCTTCTGATACCCGGCATCGTTTGGATGGACCTTATCGATTAGGTCAACCATGAACACCGGTGTGATCGCCTTCGACATATCGACGTGGACTATAGGAAGACCTTGGCCCGAGAGCTTCCTCACAGTCGCCTCTACCTGCTGGTTGTACCTCCGGATCCTAGCGTTGATATGTGGGTCGGTAGAGAAGATAATCGAAGCTAGGAGTATCCTTGCATTAGGCGCCTGAGCGTGCGTATCCTTGACCAGTTTCGTTAAGTCGTTAGGAGCCATCTTTGCGGTCTTGTCATTATACATATTGTTAGTTCCAATATGCAGTAGGATCATTTGAGGTGCAGTATTCTGCACCAGATGAAATGCCTCAACAATGGAATCTAGCCCCCGAACAGTGATACCGGGATGTCCTTCGTTGTCCGGGTCCGCCAAACCGATGCCGCTGTGCATTGAACCCACGAAGTCGATATGGTAGCCAGACTGCTGGAGCAGGGCAAAGAGGGGTCCTCGGTAGCCGGCAAGGGTGGAGCTGCCGGTCCGTCCGTAGGTGATGGAATCGCCTAGAGGCATGATCTTGATCGGTGCTGCCGCTGTTATGATGCCACTCGCGGCGAGTGCTGGGAGCACATGAGCGCCTAGTAGTAGGAAAATGAAGAGGAGCGAAGCAGAACCGCCGGTGAGGGCTGCAAGCTGAAGATGCTTGATAGACATTTAAGGTATTACTGATGATACCTAGTCTGACCGCAAACTAGGGTGAACGAAGGCTATAGTTTGGAGGGAAAGGGTAAGAGAGGCTATGAAGCTGTTATGATCCAAGCTTCCTAGTTAGGTTGATGTTAAGTGATTTTTGATCTTTACTCTTCTTTCTTTCCTCTGCCTATCCTTTATACCTAGAATTACAGTATGGTTTAAAGGAAGCTCATTCTTTAAGTTTGGGGCGTAGCACTGGTATCTTTAGATCCTAGGGCGGTCTTAAATATTTGGCCTAAAGATTCCTAACGGCTAGGTAAGTCAGTGGCGTCGTGCAGGCAAAAGTGGAATGCACACTCCTACAAGTGTGCTGCAACTGACACATATCTTACGACCGCTTCCCGACAGTCGGAGCATTAATAGGGCTTTTCATTCCTTAAGGTACTTGGACAGGGATGTGCGGGCTGGCCGTCGGTTTAGGGCAGCGCCTTGTCTCAAGGAACGAAGAGACAAAAAGATATTCTACCCTGAAGTTCTACCAGGCAACCCCCCTCTCCTTGTGAACAACTCTCCCCTGTAAAAATTCTGACCCCTGGAGAGCTGTTAGCGGCTTGCTAGCTGGGGCCAGATTTACAGGCCACCCGACCGCGCTTCCGCTGCCAAGGCCCATCGTGGCCCTAACAGCACAGAGGAAGACCTTAAGAGTTCATATTCCTCTGCGAAGCCGGTCTTGACAATTGCGCTTTGGCCCATAGCTTTCCTTCGGAACCAAGGAGCTATTGGGCAATTGGAGGGTTCACCCTCCAATCACGGTGACCGGTTGCGGAGGTTTTTCTCCCTGAAGGCAAGCTGCGCGACAGCCTCTGATTCCTTCCGAGGGTTTTTCCCTGCCGCCGCTCCTCGATCATTTCCTTTGCTTGGTTACTGGAGCATGGGACTGCGGCAGCAGCGTTGGCCGAACGAGCGAGAGAATTCTGACCGGCAAAACCAAGTGGATGTCGTCGCGCTTTCCTTCCAGACTCTGCGCGTCTTCCGTCCTTCCCTCGGCACGCATGCTTTCTTGTGAACCTTCCAGTCCGCCTTTTGGTGTTCTCTACCGCAGTATGCCACTGCATAACATCTTTCGCATCGCTTCACTCTCGCGGTCGTCCCGCATATCTTGCGCCGTATGACCTCCGTGCAGCAGTTATTCTGTTCTACTAATTCCTCGCGCATCTGGTCCTATTCCCGCATTTCCTACATCATCGGCTGCGTAACCCAAACGACAATGCGTCAAATCTGGCTCTCCCGTAATGCAAGCCACTCTTCTCCTGTCGGTCAGTTCTGTACCCATTATGGACCCTTCAAAGGAGCATAAATCGCTCACCCGATCTTCTTATTCTAAACCCTTTGACCCAACCAACATGTCTGTCCTCTAACTCAAACCTCAAAACTTTCGTTCCTCGAGGCTCTTTGCGCAACCCCAGATGGGTTGCCTCTCCTGTACATTACAATGTGTGGTATACACATAAAATACCTGGGTTGCCGCCGAATACGCCGTCACAGGAGTAAGCAAAAGCTGTAAATTTGTTGCTACGAGAGCTCTTGGGGAGCGGATTACGTTATGTGACGTCTCGTACGGGAAAGGTACGGGTAAACCCTTTAAACCAATCAGAGACGTCATTCACGGTGTGAATAATTTCTACCGCGGACAGTATACATGGGCTCTAACCAATCACAACGTTGCTCACGGGTAAAGCTAGGGTAAACCTGACCAATCACCTAGACGTATTCGAAGTGGGCTCCAATCAAAACGCAACTGTTAGCAAAGTGGGCCGCACTTTTTGCTCAGTAAAGAAAGCTCCGCTGAATTTGCGCACTGCGTGTACTTCGTCACTTTGTAGCACAATTTACAGCTTCGCTTAATTTTTATTGGCTGACGGCGGGGCTGCACAGGGAGATTATCGCCTCCGGACCCCTCAGTGGACCACAAACCTCCCTCCTGTCAGAACAGCGGTTCTGCGGCTCGTCCGAATGGGGAAGGCGGCAACGATGGTGGGCACACAGAAGAGGTCAATTGGAGCTATAGGCACGGCTGTGTGTGTGTAAAGGCGATGTGTATGATGCCCCCTTCCGGCTAGGAATGTGTCCCTTTTGGGCCCGCAGAAATCTCAGCTGAATGCACCACGTGACCTGCAGGTGACCCATGCCGCTGCTGCGCCGTTCCAACACCTCCTTACCTGGTTTCGAGCTGTATTACCTAGAGAGACTTAGAGGCCTCACTTTGTTCGGACCTTCTTCTCGACAAATACTCTCAGTGTGGCTAACAAACCGACCGTCTGACAGACCGTCTGACAGACCACCTTCAGACCGCAGACCGACCGACCAGGGAATCTCATCAGACCGACAGACCGAGCTGCCGGTCGGATTGAGTGGTCTGAGTCGGTCTGGGTTCCGGGTTTCCAGGCCTACCATTGGCCAATCTGAATATCCAAGTACCTGCACCGCCCTCTTGTGTTATTATTATTTTGTATTGCGCCCGGAGGGTTCCCCCATAGAGCCACTACGCTAAGCTACGTACCTACTGTACATGGTTCCATCGCACCTGAAGCCCCACGCTTCTTTTCATCTGTTTCCAGCCTCGTTCGCTGTGACATGACAGGCCTACTTGAAGGTCAGTTTCTCCAAGTGTTCAGCGTCCTACCTTCAGCGACTGAAGCGCGGTCTGCCAAGTTGAAGGCTGTTGTGTTAGTATGGTTGTTCTTGATCAGTACATGGTCCCTCGTCGGTCCATACTGAAGCGTTTCGTTGCCAATGCGAACTGTATTGTCGCCCGTACAGCCCCCATATCGGGCTGCCACTTGTCGTCGTCTGACTCTGCCTTGCCTCCTAGGAAGAAAGACAGGTTTCCCATCTTTCCGCGAGCATATCGAAGCATGATTTCTCGTTGTACCGTCCATCTTCTGCATCGAAAGAGGAAATGTTCCACCGTTTCCGCCGACTGTCCGCAGGTGCACTCATCCGATTCCTCTGCCCCGATTTTGCAGAGGTAGCCATTCAGTCGTGATTTGCCAGTTCGAAGTTGTACCAACACTTCAGATTCCTTTCTAGTTAGCTCGTCGTACATCTTGCGGGTGTGCTTGCCCGGCAATGCTTTATCGATGCGCTTTGAGTGCTTTCCAACCCTTTCTGGGATCTGACGAACGCGAGTGTGTTCGTTGAGCAGCAGTCGTAACGTCGTTGCTCTTGCCTGAAACGTTGCTGGTTCAGCGATGCATTCATCTCGCGTCGCTCTTTTCGCCTGCATTTTGGCCAGTGGCCCAAGGGTGAACTCCTCATTCTTTGCAGGCACCCAACGAAGTCTGACTCTGCAGCCTCTTTTCGCAAGATACTCAACAGATCCGCCCTCTTGTGTGTGTGTATGTATGTGTATTTCACCCGGAGGATTTCTCCTATAGGGCCTAGACGTAAAAGCTACTGACATTTCAATACATTAATGCGTAACACCTTTGCCCTCTTGTGTTTGCGGGTGTGAGCATGCGGTATAAAATTAAGTGGGGCTCTGCAAGGACAGCCAATGAGAAATCAGCTAACCCAGACCAAGACCGACTGAGCTGCTAACCCAGACAGACCTAGACCGACCGCCCGCGAGCCCTGAGGAACTCAGACCGACCGCCCGCAGGTGCCGGTCTAGGTCTGTCGGTTTGTTAGCCACACTGACTCTGCTGCCTAGAGGGATCGAACGAATAATCAGAGGAAAGAAAGGGAGGAGTTTTCTATAAAGGGACTTATGTCTACTAGATATCCTTTTCTTAAGCAAGCTTTCTAGCTACTCTCTAAGCATACAACTACTAAGATCACCTCATTACCCATCTTCCTACCTACCTTCCTATCCGTCGTACGGACACTAAGTAATCTTAGTGAAAAGTGTCGGCAACTAAGTGATTTACCACACACCGACATTCTGGGGAAAAAAACGAAGAGGAACATCCAAATTCTCCAACCCCTCTTCCAAATTCACCCTACGAGGTGAAGTATAGCTACCCACTCTACTTCCCTCACCAAACCACCGCCGGCTTAGTAGTCTTAGAGAAAGGCCGGCATAAAATAACACAAATGTTTACCTACGGCTTGACGCGGCTCCTGCTCATAAGCGCGCTACTGACGCTGGCAACCCAGGTCCTAACCAGGGATGCCGGTGTCTGGGGCGGCTTGCAGGCTTTCACTGTTTGTCCAACAAACGGTGGGATGGGCGGCCGTGTGAAGGTCGGACCTGGCGTCCGCCAGTTCTGGATACGGTGGATGGTTAAAAACTCCACACACAAGCAGGTTGCGGAGGCTTACCTTAGAAGTCCCTGCTGTTCCCGAACCTCAAGTCGCACATGCATCCCCTGTTGCCCCAAGAACCCTGGCCCCTACGGCCAAACCTAACCTGGCGATAATTCATCCCAGGGAGTGGGTGCCGATGGAACGGAGGCTGGGCGTCTGGCTATTGACATCAGTTGAAAAACAAAAACAAAACCCCAAAATCAAAATCAAAAGAAACACATATCGCACGGAGGATGAGCAAGTGGGCATAAAGATCAGGGACTGGAAGACTCTTGATTCTGCTATCTAAGGTGGAAAGAGGCGAGATCTTTATAGACTGCCTGAATATGAGAATGGAAGGGAATGGTAGTGAATGGAAGCAATCGCCACTGGCCCTTCTCTTTTACACTAAACTCGTAAGACGGTATATAGGTAGGGAGCACTCCTGCCTATCTTTCTCGCCGCTTTTAGCTTTGCCCCAGCAACGTTGCTCTTCCACTACACGGCCGAGCCATGTCTTCGTCTCCGTCGGCGGACAGCTCTGCCCCGCACCTCCGCAAGCCCCTTGGCTCTAGCAAGGGCGCGGGCAGCGATATGTCCATGATGTTCTTCGCCCAGCCCGACTGCCCCGCGAGGTTCGCCCACCACGACGAGCACCGCATTAGGGGCCTCAACGCTGAGGCTATCGCCCGCGTCCTCCTGCCGGTGCCCTCGTGGCTGCTCGAGGCCGACTACGCACCCCTCCGGGCCGAGGGCGACGACCTGGGCCCCTCTCTCTTCTTTAGCCTCAACCTCTCTATCTACGGCCAGCCAATCGTCGACACGGACTGGTCCGAGCAGTGGTTCTTTATGAGCGGCCGCGTTCACCCCTACGCCCTCGCCTGGGAGGTGGAGCGCCGCGACGGTCTTGAGGCTCTCGCGAAGAGAGGGTGCAAGTGATGAATAGATTATGTTTCTTGTCCTTAGATTCTTCCTCCTCCCTAACAAAAAGTGACTTCTTATAGTTCTGTCACCTGTGGCTGCCTTGGGGTGGCGATATCGCCACCCAGGCTGCCTAGATGACGTTGTCATCTAGAAGGTTCGATACCACCGCTTACCAACGACATTATTCATCCTTCTCAGTCACCTTTGCTAGAGTCAACCCGACTATGTAACCCTCGGACTTAGATCGTTAACCCGTTTTCACGACAGAGGCCGGCCCAGACGATAGTAGGGCTGATATTTGAAGATTTTGAAGTCGAATCGGCCTCGGGACCCTTGAATTGAATGAAGAGGAATCGGGTAAGGTCTTCAAATTCGACGAATCGAAAATCAGGAGTCTTTATTCAATTCATTCATCAAAATCTTGAATGAATGGCGGTATGGTCGAAATATACGGTGAAAAAAAAGGATCACCCCGCTTCGCAGCTGCCAGCCAAGGGGGCATGCAGGGGAGGAAAAGGCTAATGCCCAAAGCCACTGATGCGTTTTTGCGTGTCCCTACGCACACTGGGGCGTTGGGCACGGCACCAAGCATCAAGGACACCGGCTGCCGAACGCACAGCCGTGTGAACAGGCAGCCGTGTGAACAGGCATCGGTATGTGGCTGCCTGGTAAACCGGCCGGATCACCTAGATAGTCCGACCTGGCTGCCTCCTACATAAGGATGAGGCAGTCCTAGCTTATTTGGAGAGACAACCATCCCACTTCATCTCATTCATATGCAAATGCATCAGATTGGTAGCAATTCCTACCCTTTGCTTTGATTAGCACCAGTGAGCCATTGTGTAAGCCTCACACCATAGCTCAAGTCTGCTTGGGCACCACACGTGAGCCGTTGACTCGGGCTCGCACCAAAAAAAAACCACCAAAAACAACCATCGTGACTTACATAAGTCGCCCCCACGAGCTTACCCAAGCTCACCACCCCCCACGAGCTTATCCCAAAGCTCATCAATCCTTTGGCTTGCTAACCAGCTAACCTTGTGGTGCGACCGACACCCTTGACAGCTAGCAGCCAACATTTCTTCACCCTCGTGATAACGCTATAGGGTCAATACCGTTGCATTAAGGTGTCTTTCGCTCGTGACGACTTTGGTGATAGGAAGTTTTGCGAAAGCCCGTGTAATCGTATATCACTATCGCAAGTGTCAGCTGGCAAGCAAACCGACCACACAATGGCCAAACCGACCAACGAAGGAAGCTCGGTCAAGCAAGCTGACGATAGAAGCTCGCCACGCCCGGCTGAAGAAGATGATGCACCCCGGCTACCGGACGCAGTCCAGCAACGCCGCCCGAAGCGCAACAGAGTCTCTCTCAACCCCAAGGACAATCATTCGCAATTGGCAGACCAATTACAGCAGCTCCCAGAAGCTCTCAACGCGTGGAAATGGTCCATCCGATTCCTCAAGCTGATGCGAGACAAATCTAAGGAAGCTCTCGATACCTTCACAGTCCGTGACAAGGAAGCATGTGAAGCCTTGGAAGATCTCCTTTCCACGTCTGTGCTCATCAAATCAGCCTACGCGAAGTATTGGCTGTACCACAAGCCGGCATCTCGGACCTCGAACATGTGCCTGCATGGAGAGCAGTGGTGGAAAAAGCCTATATTGTGCCGGAACCCACAGAGGACAACATGATGAAATTGATCTCGAAGATCACGCCCAAGGAAGTTGATTCGAGGTCAATGACATCCAATTTGGTATATCTTCCGGATGCCGACCAACAACTTCCCGCGGAACAGCGAGGTATAAATTCTCAAGCTATGTTGCAGTCAACGGAACCCCCAAAGGCGCCAACTCAGTCACAATCACCTTCAGGCGTGAGGAAGCAGAAAGGAAGCCGGCATAGCCACCACAGCCGCCGCGACCGCCGCAGTCACCACAAACATCGCAGATACCTACGACTAGATGATTCAAGCGACTCGAATCTTCTTCTTCCAGCAGCAGCAGCTCTGGAAGCAGCATTGGCATTGATACGCTCACAGCCGCCGGAGCGCCTCTCTCCTACCACACAGACCTTCAAACCTCTAGTGATGTGGAAGCTGTTGCCAAGAGGCTCAAACGTGACAACATGGGTGTTTTCAACCCCAATCACAAGGATCCTCATAAACAAGGCCTTGTGTCCTCTCAAGCGGCAGCAATGTGTACACGGATGTATACCTCTTCTGCGAGCGCCTGCGAATGTACAAGGATCTCGACTCCTACGCCTTGTCGCAGCACTATATGTCTTTCCTTGCCGGCGGAGCTCTACAGTGGTTCATGAATGAACTTTCCATCGAGCAGAAGGATCGCCTTATGAAGTCATCAGTAGAGCGTTTCTGTAAAATGCTCATCAAGCGATTCCAACGCCCAGCAGCAGAGGTCTCCAAGGAATTACACGGCATTCCGTATACCGTGTCAATGTGGAATGCTGGTGAAGTCTCCTTGCCTCAATGGATTCAACCAGTGTGTCCATCAACCAAGTAAAGCAGAAAATGACACCCTTACTTGACTTGGTTGAAGGATCCGTTTACTCGACTTGGTTTACTCGAAGAAATGGCTGTGCTTTACTTGGTTGGTTGACATTACTTGACTCCGGGAGCCGATTTGCTTGAGTGATCTCTATATCTTGTCCGCCTGTGACCTTGGGACGAGGGGAAAAAGTGCTCCTCGAGCATGACTACGATAGCATGCCAGATCGAAGTAGGTGCTTTGGCATTCGATAGCTGCCACGGTGTTGAGCTGAGGCGATTCCGCTCATCCGTGATGACCTTTTGGTCTGAGAGAAAACCCGCTCACATTCAGCACTCATTGCTGGACAAGTGAACAAGTCGAAAGCCATTTGCGACAGAACTGGGTAGTCTGCCGCATGACAGATCCACCATTGCAAGGGATCTTCGACTTCCGAATCAGCCTTGTTATTCCTAGCCATGAACTCGTCGAGCTCAGAAGTTAGTCTCGCTCTTTCCTCCTTCCTTGCCGGACGCCGCAAGCTCAGCCAGCATCTGTCGGCGTTTGCGAGCTTCCTGGAGTGGGTCAAGGGCGACGAGATCATCGCCAGCCTTATCAGCGACGACTTCTCCTAGGCCAGCGACGAAGCCTCCTCATGGTCCGCAGCGTCCGCTTCCATGTATGCGTCTTCGTATTCTGCGAAAACTTGAACCACGCTCTTTGCCTCACTGATCCACTGCTTGTTGTGACTCCACCAAGTTCGAAGTAAGCAAACTTATTCGCCGGATGCAATGCGACAGCGCACCGATAAGCTGGGGTGGCATCGGTAAGGCCAAAGTACTCTTCTAGCTTGATGCGAGCAGCATCGATTGCGTGGGAATAATACGTTGAAACCACGTCGGGATGGTCATCGGCAAATCTTCCGGCCTCTTGGAGCTTTTTGAAGAGGACATCGAATGATTCAATTGTTTCATGAAGGAGCCATGTGATCCTTCCAGGCCAGCTTTATTGGCTCGGCCTCCATGCGTTTTGTCAGATCTTTGAAAGGCTTCAAGATGTCGAGAAAATGGTGCAAGTCAATCCAATCTTGTAGGGTTAGTACGTCTTGCGAAATGTCGTACCCTACGCCACCGTAGCAATAGTTGAGGAAGAACAGATCAATCGCATGACGGAGCTTGACCGCCCTCTGAATCATTGCATATGCAGAGTTCCAGCGGATTCCGCCGTCGACCAGGACTCTAGTGTAGAGCAGTTCAATGCTGCCTTCCTCGTAAGCCTGCAAAATATACCGTTTCAGCTGCTCCCGCCTTTGGTCACTTCTGTTTACCCAAACACAGAAATTGTGAAGTTTACCGACGAAGCTATGCTTTCTCCAGATTTCAAAACGCTCCACTTCAGACGCGCCGCAAAGCTGTTTCTCCAACTTGCCGACACCCTGCCCAAAGAGAAGGGCTTTGACGATTTGGTTGAGCATATGGCCGACGCAGCGCAGGCGACTCTGAGGCTTGATGACAGGATAGCGCTTCGCCAGCTCTCGAATGCAAGTGTCGTTACTACTTGCGTTGTCCATCATGAAGAAACCAACGTTCTGACCGATCTCGTATGACCCCATGACCGCTGCAAGGACTTTGGCGATATTCTCGCCAGTGTGGGGGCCCTTCAAAACTGGCAAATCCAGCAAAGCCGTTTGCAGCTTGTATGCAGCGTCTAGAAAGTGAGAAACTATAGCCAAATAGTTGGTACCTTCTTCAGATGTCCAAGCATCTGTCGAGACGTGGATCTTGCTTTTGGACAGGCGGAGCTGTTCTTTCAGCCAGGCGCGCCTGCCGTTGTCACCGAACCATTTTTCGCTGACCCAACTGCTCAGCGCTGACGGGCTTTTCGGCAAAACTTTGTCGATGTCTTCCAGGCACAATGCAAATATTTCATTTGTTCGTCGGTGAGTCGCTTGGCGGAAAGTCAAATCAAGATCAATGACCCAGTCGGCAAAATGACTTCGAAACTGGAGGTCATTGAACACCATGCGTCGGCTCCCCAAGTACGACGCGGCCTTGGTGGCTCCTTGAGAGATGCTGAAGGGGTCGGACCCTGCCACTTTGTAACCGAACTCGGCAAGTTTGTGGTGGTGCCTAAGGTGATAGATGATGCTCGTCGTACTCTCGCTGGCAAAGAGCGCTGTGTCGTGACGTCCGCTCACATGGCAATATTTGCAGAGCCAGTACTTGTTGTCGCCGTCTGTCGAGTTGCGCACCGTGTTTGTAGATTATCGATGGTTGCGCCTTCGAGTTCATTGCGCGCTTGTGAGGCTGACGATATCGTATGGTGGCCAACGGTTTTCTGTCGTAACGAATCTTCTCCCAAGATATAGGAAAACGCATTGCGATGCCTTTGGCAAGTCCCTTTCATGGAGATGCTTGCTCGTCGGGGACCGACTGGGAAGGCGTCTTGGGAGGCGTGACGTGCCCGAGATGATTGCAAGGATCGAAAGCTGAGTGAGAGGGCATTGCTGGCTTCCTCAGCGTTGAACAGTTTCTGCAGGATGTTGATGAATCAGGCACGAAGAAAGTAACTGTAATCACCAAGCTCAATCGGCGAGAGGAAAGGGGTTCGTCCACTTTCATGACATGGGTATCACGAAATTGCCTGAAATCAACGCTAGTCAGGTAACTCGGAGTAAACCCGAGTAATGCAGAAAGCTTTACTTTTGCTTGGTCGGAGAGATCGTTACTCGTGATTGACTGTTATGTAATCAACCAACTTCAAGCAACCAAGTCAAGTTACTTGATTGATGGACACACTGTTTGGGGGAAGGGATACACGTGCATGGATAGCGGCACATCGACTCCATCAATCTCATCGAGGAGTTCTCCATGCTCCCCAGCCCCGTCGTCGAAGAAACTCGGCCTGACGAACTGTAGTCGGACCGCACCGACCAAGTTGTGCCCTCGGATGAGCTGCCGGTCGGTAGATGAGGCTATCTCCAGCCCTCGAGGCTCGAGAAGAATTGTACTCCTAGGGGTTCAGAGCTGGCTGCCCTAGCCCTGGTCCCGATGCCGACGAACGAGCCATTGATTGTCTGCTGCTGGATTCTAGCCCTTGAGGAATTCTGGGTAGAAGTTGACCTGGCGGGTACTTATGGCGATGAGAGGAAACGGGGGTATGTCAAAAACGTCTCTGGCCCTCTTGTAAGGAGGTCTCACCATATTCTTATACGCAAATGACCCTCATCAGGCCTGACAAGACAACATTTACAGAATGCATCCTGATGATGCGAGAAGATCCCTCGCCGCACAGCTCTTTGGTCATGAGTACTAATTGGTACTCATGTGATGAGCTAGGACGGCAGCGGTAACAAGTGATGCTCTACTTGTTTGTCTCCTAGATCGTTCCCAGCCTCACTTAACAGCACGTGAGAGAGGGCCAGACAGGGCCCCTGGCTCCAGGGTCCGACAACGACGGCATTGATCAGTCGCGTGACCCTGGAAACGGGCGTCACGATGTCATTGCCCGCATCGGTCCCTGTCTATATTGCTTTTGATCCTATTCGGCTCAGCCCTACGAAAGTCAGCTGGACCTCTTACTCACGAGACGTGATCCCAGACCAAACGCCGCGGTTGGTATGCCATCTGTCAAGCCGGGTACCCCACGACCTTCCGATCTCGAAGCGTCTCCGGGCACGCTTTGTGAGGTTGCCAGCTCCGTAAAGCTCTTACTCCACCGACCAAGTTACAGCTGTGCATTGACCCCCCCGTGCCTCCGTTGCTCCTTCCTGGCCATTCGTTCGATGATAAAAACGGTGTATTTCTTCCGTTCAACCCCGATCGGTTAAGCATGGTATCCTTTTATTTGGTTATTCTTTCTTCACTCCGTCCTCTAGCGGGGTGTCAAGATTTCGCTTGAAGAGGTTCGCTCGATGGAAGATCAGGAACGCCAACCCGCGCGATACCGTGCCAGAAGGGGCCTCGAGATGAGCCAGTTAGAGTGCTTTCGACGAGGCGACTCTACAGGCACTCCGCGAGCCCCAGCAGGAGCCCGCTCGAATTTCGCTCAACGAAATTCGCCGTACGTTGCATGGCCTGGATCGCCAGCGAGCCGAAGAAAGACCCGCCGGGGACAAGGAGTTCCCCAGCAGGAAGCCACGGCGCTGCAGCCCCGAAATGGGAAAGCCATAGTACCCCTTGAGGAAATCGTCGGTACACTAGACGATCTGGAGCGACAGCGCGCCGAGGCCCGGGCCCGGCCGAGGGCGAGCGATACCGAGCCGGTACGAAGGCCAAATACCCCGGAAATGACCTTGCGTCCTCCCCAGACGCCGCCTTCCCGCAAGCGCCGTGGCGAACGACAAGAAGGACTTCTGACTCCAGTGACTCCACCACCCTCGGGTCAAGGCCGGCCCCGGAAAAGACCGAGGCTACCGCATGAGGCTGTCCAATTCCAGCAACGGTCTGTTGACGCGATTCTACAACACCGAGAGTCTTGCTTCGGTGCTCAGAAAGATGCATCGGTAGGAAGATCCTGGTGCAAAGAAGTACCCTCGCTCTTCAGGTCGAGACCTCAAAGTCATTCTATGAGGCCTTCACAGACGAGAGAACGCTACCCATTTCCCACTGCATCTTTTGCTACAGAAAATTCCCGCCTGCGAGGCTCACCATCCTCCAATGGAGAGAGTGCTTAACCCCCTGGTTGGTGCAGGCCACGACGGCTCTCCAGAAATGCGAGAAGTGCCTCCCATCGGATGCTGACCCTCAAGTCGATATTTGCCTGGAGTGCCGCGCTGGTTTCGAACGTGGGAAGCTGCCAACAGACTTGCAAATAGATAAATCATAATCAAATCAAATCAAATTAAATCAAATTAATCCAAATCAAATCAAATCAAATTGCCCCTGCGCTGAATCAAATCAAATCAAATCGCAACACCCAAATTTATTTGGATATCTGATTATTTGGATACGCCCCACAATGGCGACCTGGGCCAATAGTTTTGGGGAGCCAGCCCTGCCTGGCCTAGAGTGGTCGCTAATTACGGGCAGTTGCTTTTCCAGGCCGTGTCACCAAGCTTTCTTTTTGTGTTTTACCTGACACGTTTGATCGTGAAATATATCTTTGGGTGCATCTGCCATATTACGGGGGGAGATATTTGTAGCCGATGGCCAAAATGGGACAGCTCTGCACTTGACTGCTGCAATGGCGCATATGGGAGGAGTACCGAACCTCGCGGTCGAGCAAGATACGATACCCGAGGAGCCCACAGCTGCAAGGAAGACAACGGACCTAGATGACTTCATGACCTCAATTAGGAAACTTGGCGCCCAACCTGCGCCCTCACCGTCCTCCATGCGTGACGAGTACGCAGAATGGGTGGGCAGTACCGATCCGGGCGATTGTCTTGTGGACAATCCCATCCAGTACTGGCTTCTCCGCAGACGCCAATATCCACGCCTGTCGCGAATGGCAATCGACCTCTTTTCCATTCCGGCGATGTCTTCAGAGCCGGAGAGAATATTTAGCCTTGCCGGACAGATGGCCGCAGCTCAGAGAGGCCGCCTCAAAGCGGACCTTATCAAAGCGGACCTAAGGTATAGGAGCGGCTCAATGTATTTTGTCGGGAAAAAGTGGGGCTATCCAGATATCCAAATGAGATCCAAATCGATTCAAATCAAATCAAATCAAATCAGATCCATGATTTTGCTATCCAAATCAAATCAAATTGGACCCCGGATTTGATTTGATTTATCTATTTGCAAGTCTGGCTGCCAAAGGCCTGCTCGGTCAACAATATGGATATCGGATGTGAGCATCGTTATCCTAAAGAACTCGACGGTCTCTCTCCTCTTGAGGAGAGACTGATTGCTCTCCAAGCCCCCTTCGGCTATATTACAAAGTTTACAGTTGATAACAAGACGCCGTCCGGTGTTGGTTACCGGAAACACGTGAAGGGACACATTGTCGTGTTTCTGAACAATACGAACGACCTGGTTGCCACGGTGCTCCCCCACCCGCTCCTTCAGACAGTCGAGAACATCCATGTATCTTGGAGCGGCGCCAACAGACCCAGCCCGGCGGACGGGAACTCTCCTTCGGGTGCGCAAGTCCCGCGTAATAGCCGCCCTTTTATGGCTTCAGAGGAACAATCCCCTGTATAAGGACGTCAAAATCAACCTCGATGAGATACGGGGCTGGAAGTACGCGGAGGGCTCAGTAGTTCCCGCCGTTCTCATGGAACGGATGCAGAGAGAGGATCTCTCGGCCGTGGAAAGGACGCATACAGATCCCGTCGTCCCGAATATTGATCGGGGTTTGAAGAGAACGGCTTCACAAGCATTGAAGAGCTCCTCACCTGGCTACGGGCAGACCTAGCAACGATACCTGCCCGTCAGGTAGCAATACAGCGGCAGAACAGCCCTACGCATTGCCTCGGATCTCCATATGTCTGCTCCTAATCCGGAGAGTGCCGACCAAGGCGGTGATATTCTATATGAAACTTCAACCTCCGGCGTGTTTCCTTTGGACGGGCCGGCCGCTTTTGCTGAAGTTGACAAGCTGTCTTTCCTAGCCGAAGCCTACCAGACGAGCCAGATTAGGCGCGGCGATGATGCCGAACCCTCCGCCAGACTTGCAAACAGATAGATCAAATCCAGATATATTCAAATCAAATCAGATATATCCAAATCGGATCAAATCAAATCGCCTCTCAGGTTATTCAAATCAAATCAAATTGACCTGCAACATATTCAGATCAAATCAGATCGCGGAGGTCGGATTTATTTGGATATTTGACTATCTGAATGGCAGCTTCAGGGTAAGCCTCTGCCCACCAAACCTGCCGACGAGACCTCGTTGATCCTCGTTTTGAGTTCCCACTTAGGGACCGGAGGAGGCTTGGGTCGAACCTAACGCGTGACGCGCAAATTTTCATCTTGGCGCGCACCAGCGGCTTTACGCATCGTCAATTGTGATCCTGCAAATTTGCGCAGCGTTTCCCAGGCCATTCCCCCAGCATCAACCCGATCCGCGGTTCTCGCGCGGATGCGCTTCATGATCTAGTATGGCCCTATCTCCCAATACCGAAAAAATGTCGTGCCAGTGATTCAGGCGCGTGCTTTTTCTTCCAGTGTCACAGACAATGCTCCCCAATCCAGTGCATCGAATCCAACAAGAGAGATCGCAGACGACGCATCGTTCGCGGTCGACCACGTTGGCTACGAGGGCATTGACTGGAACCGAGTGTCGGGCTACTCTATTAGCAAGCGTCGGAAAAGGCCGCGAACGAGCTGGATATGGGAGCATGGATACGACATTGAGAAAGACAGCTCTGGTCATCGATTTTGGCTGTGTAAGATGTGTCACCGGAAGAGGGCCACCGTAACGCACATATACGACGCTGCATCTACGAGCCAAGCGAGCGCTCATATGGCAGTTACTCACCACATCAACAAGGACGGGCCGATGCCAGCTCAGAGAAAGAAACAACGCACTTTGCTCGACATGATTGACCTGGATTCCCACCAGCCTAGGGAACAAGCTCTGATGAATGCTTTCGTCGCGTCCTTTGAACCTATTCGCTTTCAGCAGCTGCTCATCCGCTGGGTGACTTGCGATAACATCCCATTTCACAAGCTTGAAAGTCCGTATTTTCGCGACTTGATGGCATATGCGAATGGAGCTATCGTCGACTCGGGAAGTCTTCCCACACATAGTACAATCCGCCAATGGATTGTACGGTCGTTCGATCGGCATAAAGGCGTCGTGACAGAATTGCTCAGTCGCTCGCTTAGCCGCATCAACGTGTCTTTTGATGCATGGTCCTCTCGTAAATTCACGTCCCTACTCGGACTTACCGTCCATTTTCTCGATGACGAAGGCAGGTTTCGAACGTTTCTCCTCGGCCTGCCTCGGATCGAGGGTCGCCACAGCGGTGAGAACCTTGCCGACCGAGTGAGCGAGATAATCCACGAGTACGGCTTTGAGAGCCGCGTGGGATACTTCGTGACGGACAACGCGGAAAGCAACGACACCTGCCTCGGGCACCTCAGCTCCGAGATAGGATTTAGGAAGCAGCATCGGCGACTTCGCTGCTGTGGGCATATCATCAATCTTGTCGCCCGATCCATCCTTTTTGGAACAGACGTCGACGCCTTTGAGGAAGATTGTCAAGCTGAGAAAGAGATCCAGGATGACATGAAGCTTTGGAGGTGCAAAGGTCCCATAGGAAAACTCCACAATATCGTCCATTGGGTGCAAAGGTCTGGTCAGCGCATTGAGAAGCTTCACAAACTGCAGTCCATCGAGAACATTGCCCTGAACCTCGAGGATCAAACGACCTACGATGTTATCGTGGACAACGCGACTCGTTGGAACTCATCCGAAGCCATGATGGAGCGGGGTTACCAGCTCCGAAATGCACTTGACTCACTTGTGCAAGCAGAAGTGACAGAGTGGAGCGAATACGTGTCCAGGAGAACTCAGAACGGAACGAGGCCAATGCCAAGGAGGAGCCGAAAGAAGCCCGCGATTATCGACGATAGAATGTCTGTCGAAGACTGGTCAGTGATTGCAGAGTATCTCGCCATACTGAAACCATTGAAGATAGCCACCAAACGATTGGAAGGCCGACCCAAAGAAGGTAAGTTTGGTGCAGTTTGGGAGGTTCTGCTTACGATGGAGTGGCTTTTGAAACATCTGGAAGACTCGAAACTTCGACATGAGCGTGATGAGGAGCCGTTCCTCCGTATTGGCTGTAATCTTGGGTGGATGAAACTGGATCAGTACTATGCCCTCACCGAGGATAGTCCAGCGTATCTGGCGGCTCTCGTCCTTCATCCCGCGTTTCGATGGTCAACTGTCGAATCGCAGTGGGCCGAGCATCCGGATTGGTTGGATAGAGGCAAGGCGGCTGTTCAGGAGCTGTGGGAGGAATATCGGGCGCTGGCCGTGGAGCAGGATGCAATACCCGAACAACCCACAGTTTCGCGGAAGACAACGGATCTGGATGACTTCATGGCCTCAATCAGGAAGCTCAGTACCCAGCCTGCCCCGTCAGCGTCTGCCATGCGGAACGAGTATGCGGAGTGGGTGGGTACGACCGACCCCGGTGATTGCCTGGTAGATGATCCAATCCAGTACTGGCTTCTTCGCAGACGTCAGTACCCGCGCTTGTCGCGGATGGCAATTGACCTCTTCTCCGTTCCGGCTATGTCGTCTGAGCCAGAACGTATCTTCAGTCTTGCCGGGCAGATGGTCACTGCGCAGAGAGGGCGACTCAAAGCTGATCTGATAGGAGCTGCGCAGTGTATATCATCTTGGGAAAGGAGTGGGGTAATTCAAATAGCCAAATAGATCCAGATTGGACGGCCTTGAGCCAAATCAAATCAAATCGGAACGAAATTTTGGAGACGCAAATCAGATCAAATCAGATCAGACTTCAAGTTACTCAAATCAAATCAGATTTAGGGTCCAATTTGATTTGATCTATCTATTTGCAAGTCTGGCAAAGATGCGGAAGGAAGAACCTTTCGTTCCTCAAGGCATTCCTTAGGCCTCTACCTAACTTTCGAATGTGCGAGTACATCTCTAACGGCCCGAAGCTGGGCTACTAGGGGCTTGCTCGTATAATTTCCCGAACGCACTTTATAAATTCGCGATTTTGAAGAAGCTCAGGCTTCCGAGTATTTCTATACTCCGGTTTCTGTGAGCAAGTCGTTGCTCCTTTCCTGCAACTATCCTCGATACGATAAGGATAGCAGGCCCTCTTCAAGAATGACTCGTCTAGTTGTTCCGGTTGTTCCGGCTGTGCTGGCTGTGCTGGCTGTGCTTGTTGCTCTTGAGCCTGCGTGACATCATTCGATGATGAAGAATCAGTGTTGTCTACAGGTGGTAGACTACTGGGGTTCCGTATATATCCTCGGACGCATGATATAAAGGCCCCATTTTTTAGAAGTTCGGGCTTCGGCGAGCTTCTGTAGTTTGGTTCCCGTAAGCATGCCTCTGTTGCTTTCTTGCAATCTTCCTCGGCACGATAAGGATAGCAGGCCCTGTCTCGGAAAGATTGGTCTACTTCTTCCTCTTGCCCTGATTCAGACCCCTGTTCTGGCTCAGACGACGTACTGTCCGGCGGCAAAATAGCATTATCTTGAGCCACGGTCTCTTTGACACATGGCAGGACCGCGTTAATAAGCTGCTGCTTCTTATCGTTAGGGTAGTTGCCGTTAGGGAATTTCTGCTTTATGCAAGTTTTTAGGATTTCTTTGCATTTGTTATCGTCGGTGGCATATTGAAGGCATGTCTCGAGAATGGCATTCAGCTGACGGGGGGGGACTGCGGGGGCGCGCAAATGCTCCCACATCCTGCGCATGCGTTGAAATTGCAGCGGCGTGAAGTTGTCAAGACAGGAGCTAAAGCTTGATGTTATTCAACTTGAACGGCTTAGAACCAAAGAGGCAGGCAAACTTACTCTGGACCGTAATCCATGAAGTTGTGGACAGGGTCGGGGCGAGCATCGCCACATGAATGCAGATTGGTATCGCAAGAGTAATCAGCTTTTGCCTCAGGAGGAGTATCGGCAACCTTGTCGCCGTCTTTGCAGCCCCCATCAAAGGTATGAGCAAGGCCGAGGAAGTGCCCGACCTCATGTACGGCGGTAATTCCAAGGTTATAACGTTTGTTGCGGCCGGAAGGGAGAGTATCGGTCCGTAGAGAGCAGCCATCACTTTTTGGGTTAGTTCGAACAATAGTAGGGTAGTGGCAGGTGCCAAGAGCATCACCACCGTCAGACCCTTTCACCTGGTCGGTGAAGTATAAGTTCAGGGTTTTATGATCGCCTTGGTGAAGGGTCGTCTTCATATTGTTATTGTCGCCGCCACCCGCCCAGTTTGCGTCGACTTTGCGGGTAATGTTATTCAGCTCGAATTCAAAGTGCGGCTTGAAGGCGTTGTTGAGTACTTGTATCTGCTGGCGAAGTATGTCATCCTGCAAGTATATCAGCCAAGAGCTCCATCTTCTTGTTTGTTTCGTTTTCATATAAAGCATGGTCGCGACCTACTTGAGGGAAGTCCGCCGCCGATTTCTCCTGGGCGGAAATGACAATAATTTGCACTGGAACCTGGATAACAGGCTCCTCCTCTCCGAATCGAAGGGCGATTGATGGAGGTATTTTCTCAAGCTGCTCGGAAAGAGAGATCAGTTCGGGCGGGGCGCTGAGCATTTCTGAAGTATCTCTCGGCATGTAACCAAGATCCTCCTCTTCTTGCGCCGTCACCAAGGACGTTGCGGCCAGGAGGCCAAGGGCCGAGTATACAGCACCGGGAAGCATGGTGGTAAAAGATAAAACGAAGGTGGTAAAGATAAAGAAGCGACGGATCAAGGGAGATCAGCTGAACGACTGAGTAAGTCACTGTAGCGAGTGTTGGGAGGAATCACGAGTGAGGAAGGCATTAGCTTTAGCATCCCTTTTGAGGATTTATATAATCCCCTCTTGTTAATGATTTTGACACCTTTTAGCTGCTAAATAATCAACTGACTCTATTGCAATGCAACCTAGTCATTGGCGATGCGCATTATCGAGTCACTGGCACGGGCAATGGGGATGAAGTCCGTTCTGGGGACAGAGTCTTGAGTCACTGGGTAGATCCCGTCTCGTCGAGGGATATCCGACATAAGTACTACCTGGCTTCCACCACCATTGTCTGCTCAAGCCTAACTACCTAGTGTCGGCCGGCCCATGAAAACGCTTAAGCATTACACTGCCTCTTTGCATAAGGGGACGCGTACTGTCCTCTACTATTAAGGCTGCGATTAACGGGTTAAACCTCCCGCTATTCGGCCACCAAAAAAAGTGGGCTAGTTTGGCTGGTCAAGGCGCAGTGCATATGTCCATACTCCCGTTCTCGGCCAGCCTGCGCATACAACTTGTCAGCCGAACTTTGTCAAAAGCCGCTCCAATGGATCCCCGACAACTTTGGGCCCAGAGAATATATATGACCAGCAGGGGATCCCTGACCTATGACCTTAAACGTGACCCAATGGGTCCGACACCACCACAATAAAGTGGGCTTGCCAAGGGTAGCAGTAGCAGCCCATTCTGGCCGAGGCAGGGACAGGGCGTGCTTTCTGGTTCCGCCACTGAAATTTCGTAGAAAATATGAGCCCACACCGCGGGCAAGCAAATTCGCATTGACTGCCAAACCGCGCATCTCATGTCTCGTCCGTACGATGTGGGAGTAGCCGAGGTGGCATTGGCACGGCAGGGGTTCTGCTCCTTAGCTTCCACATTGGTACTGCCCCACCCTTACCTTAAGGTACTTATTGGCCTTCTTGCTTTTTCTGTCTCTTCCCGCTGTGGGATGGTGCCTGAATGACCGATTGCTTTGCCTACCTTCTTGCATGCTTTAGTTCCTAGCGCTGCCGCCTGCTTGCGTTCTTTTCTTTTGTCCTCTGCCTTCGTCTTGTTTGCGGGATGGCTCCGGACAGATAGGCTCTGACAGACATATTGCAGGGATTATCGCGCTAAGCATGGGTTAAAAGCCATCGCGCCTCGACTACGGCCTGAACGGGCACAAGTGCCATTTTTTAGTCTGAAGGGAAATCCACTAGTATACAATCCTGGGTAGGCCGCTGCTGCAGTTCCAATTGCGTTTCATCCTCCTTGGAAGCCTTCCGCTTCTTGCACCGCGGCTTAGGCATATCCGGTTCCTCACCCTTTCGGGCCTTTCCTGCTCTATCTGGAGACTTCCCAGTAGCAATTGTCGACTTCTCTATATCCTTCGTGCTCCGTTCTCGACTACGTCTCGTTTCCCGAGGAAGCTGTGGCGAAGTTGCTAAAGGAGAGGACGGGGTCGAGGAAGGGTCAGGAGGCTGATCAACTCCCTTCAGCAAATCCGAAGTGGCTCGGTCCGCTTGAGCGGCAGTATGCTCTGCGGCCTCACGGCCGGTCATGGATCGCATTTTCGTGCTACCGTGCGATTTGAACCTCTTCAAGCCAGGCGAATGCAGTGCTTCCGGCAATTCCGGAGGCAGGAGAGCTCTTGACTGTAGCTGCGCCCGTAAATCTGCTATTAGACGGTCATTCTGTAAGCGAAAGAGTCTCGAGAACTCCTCTGCCTGCTGTCCGCCGAGGCTCCCCTGTACTTGAACGACCTCCAATCCCGATTGAGGAACCATGTTCCTGCCGCCATCTTGGTAACGACCCCCTGGATTTTTTGTGACCTCGGGAGCTGGCTGCTTTGCATAAGACATGGTCCAGTTGCGTACCACCGCAGGTCCGTCGAGTAACCAGCGTACCTGAGTGGGAACTCACACGCGAAGGGACATCCAGGTTCGTTGAGAAGGCCCAATACCTTACGCTCCTTCTCGAGCTCGGTGTTTTGCCTCCATCTTAGAGCTTTTGCTGCCTCCCACTCCGGAGCTAGCTTGCTCAGAACATAGTGTGGAACCTTCCCGATAAGAAGGCGAAAAGCAGCTCGGTCCAACAGCCTTGGGACGTCTGCCCTGCTCCGATTCTCGTCTTCAGTGATTTTTTGAGTCAATTTCTTCAAGCTTTCGGCCAGTTTTTGACAGGATGCCTGCAAGGGAAGTTGCCTGCTGAGAGACTGTTTGACCACGACGTGGTAACTTTCGTTCCTCTGGGTATTGTTGCATCCTAGGTTTGGGTATTTTCGTGTGTGTGCTCGGGCAAATTGCCGCTCTTTCGGTTTCCAGTTATTCTCGAGATAAAGGCGTTCCGGCTCCCGAATTTCTGCGAGCAGCTTGCCTCGCCGTTTTTCCAGTTGCTCCTCATCGGGAGCTTGTATGTAATCCCAAACGAGCCGAAGAAGCTCTTCCCTCCGTTCCTTCGTATATTTGCCCGAGTCCAACAATCGCTTCTTGAAGTTCTCTGCGGCGTGCCATTCACAGAGTTGCAAGATTCGCCTATCTCCACCCTCGGAATGCCGATCAGCCCTCGCTTGGGACGCTGCCATTGCGGCAGCGAGCCCTTTGGTTTGATCCCCGAGAACGATTTGAGGCGGTGGGCAATCGTACCAGACCAATTCTGCCAATTGGGCATTCACAAATTCGAAGGCCTCGGCTGATTCAGATGTTATAAAGGCGAAAGCCAGAGGAAACGTCTTGCCTGTGTTTGTGATTCCCACTATGACGGATAGAGGCAAGTGGAGGCAATTGGTGTTGAACGTCGCATCGGTTTGCATAAGGAATCCGCTGACGAATCTTCTACCCAGGCGGACCTGCTCGGAAGAACAGAAGAACAGGTGCTCGAGTACCCGCGCTGTCCGTCGTCCTTGGTCGTCAAGAAGGTATTTGAAGAAGCAACGAACACGGAAGTCCTCGAACTCCAAACAAGTGAGCAAGAGGTCAAGCGCTTCTTGACTGCTGCGTCTTCCTTCAGACCGGCTCAGGCTGTAGAACTCCTTTGCAGAAAGACAGTTGCCTAAGCCGTGCTGGTCGAGAATCCGGGTTGATTCAGTTGCTGATAGGCCGGCAGTCCGATGCGCGAGGGCCAGATCGACTGCCGCAGCCCGCTCTGGGATGCGGGATCTATGGCAGGCGTAGTGGAAGGGATTTTGAAGTGGCGGATGCGAATGATATGCGTACGTGAAACCGACCACCCAGCCCTTTCGCTCCTCTACCCCTCCATGGCCGCTCCGGATAGTTTTATAGGAGACATAAAGACTGTAGGGACACTCCTTGGCCTTGATGTATGTGAGCTCCTTCTTTCGGTCCCCTCCCTCTGTGACGGTACTCGACAGCTTCCGAGTGTTTCGCGTGCCTCTACCGTGATGGATGCAGTTCACTTGGAGGCGGTCGCGTACCTTGCTGGCAGTAACGAGAGCGAAGTGGCTTGAGGGACCAAAAGGAGTGAGATGCAAGGAGGATGACTGAGCTTCTGCTGGAAGAGACTGGTTGTCTTTAGAAGGTTCTAGGTCATGTCGGATTTGTCAGCTATGTCTATATAAGACGTAGCCTTCCACTCTTCTCAAGAAGAAGGACAACAGATGCAATTTTTTACCTCGCACTTCGCGACAGCAACAGCTAAGGGGGTGTGTTGAGAGGAAGGGTCTGGAACTTAGACCCTAAGCCCGAGAGTCTGCCAAAAGTTAGGAGGAGAAAGGAGGGGGCTAAGAGGAGGCTAGAAAGGCTTGGAGCTGAGGGCTGACGTGGCCGGTGGGGTAGGGGCGAACGCCGGTCTAAAGTCACGGATAGAGATGTCAGCCAATAAAGACGCTATAAAACTAGCGATACATAGAAGTCCTAGCAATTCGGCTTAGTACAATAGCTACATTGCACACGTCAATCTACGCGCTACTAAGGGTGTATCTAGAAGGTAGCTACGTACTGTGGGTCCCGTAACTTCAGACCGGCGTTCGCGCACTCAATGGGATACGGAAAGAACAAGACAGAGAGAGGCATCAATTGACCACAGAGAAGCCCCCTTTGCCCCACTCTCTTCGCGAGACCTGCAGCGCTTGATAGTCGAGGCCTTCATAATCTGCACTAATTAACGTTTGCGGGAGGCGCCGAAATTAGGCATGATGTGTAAGGCCCCCCCCGCCGAGGGCGGTACAATAAGCCAACCCACTTCACAAGTCGGCCCAACTTTTGCTGGATGGTGCAGTAACTTCGTGACATGATGGGAAATGAAATGCGAAGGATCAAGGCAATGCGAGTAATGACCATATTCGAGTCATGGCCTTGGTCCATTGCTGAGGTGGGAGAGCTATTGGTGAGTTTATGTGCCGAAAGTGGTCGCCCTTGACAAGGCCCAGAGGGATAGAGTGTCACGACCCTGCGCGCCAGCGTAGAGACACCAGCGCAGAACCTCACCAGTGTCGCGTGCCCAAGCAGCATCACGTGCCCACGTGCGACCTCGTGCTTACCTGAGCGCTGCTGAGGTAACCTCGTGCATATGCACATAAGGGCCAGCTCGGTCGTGTAGTCTAGTCTTTCTTTCTTGCTCCTTAGCTTTGAGTCTTCGTTCATAGTGCCAATACATCTTTATAGCCGTCAAGGCTCGTATGTGCCTGGCCGTAACACGTATAACCACCCCCTTGCCTTGAGGTGAGGAACGAGGAACGAGTGACGAAAGGATTTTCTTGCCCTGCGAGCCACAACCCCCCTTTCTCCTCGAGTTTCGCCCCCGGCTTTTCCCGCCTTCTGATTGGCTAGCATTTTTCTCGCTTTGCCTTGAGGAACGTTAGTGCCTTGAGGAACGTTAGTGACGAAAAGGTTCTTCTGGTTCCTCCCCGGGGAGAAAGGAAAAAAAAAAAAAGCCGCCATGCCTTGAGGAACGTTAGTGCCTTGAGGAACGAAAGGCTTCTTGCCTTGAGGAACGAAAGGACTTCATGCCTTTGCCTTGAGGAACGAAAGGCTTCTTTTCTTACCCTGCGAGCCCTCCCCCCCAAAGTTTTTCCCCGTCTTTCCCGCCTCCTGATTCGCTGGCGTTCCCGCTCTGGATTCGTCGGTGTTCCTGCTTTTAATTCGTCATAATTAAGTAAAAATTATAGAAAGGCATAGTACGTGCCTCTCTGCCAGTCGCCTCCCCTCCTCTTTTGCCCTCTCCCCTTGCTGCCCCTCTTCCCTTTCCCTTTCCCGTCCGTTTGGTTGTCTCTTGAAGGGCCCTCCTTATACTTATATGGATGCAAAACGCGGGCTGCCCACGTGGCCTGGTAGCCCTAACTATCGTTAAGCCGGTGGCGTCGCCGCAATAGCTGCTTGCTTTTGCCTACGGAACACGAGACCCGGCCTGAGATGCCTACGCCATCTACAACACAACTTTGACTACCGTCACGATATAAAACGTCGCTGCGATGGCCAGCCGGCCGTCTACGCAGCCCAAGACTCGACGCAGACTGCCCACGTGCGTGACCTGATAAAAGACTCGACGCATATTGCCTACGCAACCCTACGCATCTAAGACAGAGAGATTATGCATTTTGCCGGCACGCTACCTGCCATGACTATATATATATATATTGCCTATGCAACCGTACGTGCTTAACCGCCAATATTAAGACGTAACGCCGCGGCAATGGCCAGTCATCCTTATAGGCCATTCAACACTCCCGAAGGCTAGCCTTCCTACGCTGCGGGCGGCGCGCCGGCGGCGCCGCCGTTACCCGCGGAGCCAGCCGGCCGCCTCCCGCGCCGTCCACCCGCTCAGCTCCTCCAGTCGGGCCTGGGCCGCCGTCATCTCCTCGGGCACCCGGTTCCCCACCAGGTCCCGCTCCCGCACCTCCGACACGAGCATGATGCCGTCGAGCGTCGGGCACCGAGACAGCTGCACGTATAGGCTGTACGGGTCGCACGGCGACGGCACCGCCCGCCCCTCGACCGTCGTCGTCCTCGCCCCCCTCAGCTCCAGCGCCACACGCTCCAGCGTCCCGCCCTGCACCTTGTAGTCGGTGCAGGCGAAGGCCGCCGCGCACGGCAGGCCCCGCCGGCTCACGTCGTTGCGCTGCCACGGCCGCTTCCGCTGCGCCGTGATCTTCACGCTGATGGGCGTCAGCAGGATCGTCCCGGCCGGCATCCCTACGAAGTGGAGGTCCCGGGTCGTCTCCGACGCCAGCACGATGCCCGCCGGCGGCCCGAAGTGCAGCGTCAGCTCCGCCGACACCCGGTGGCCGGGGAAGGCCCGGTCGGGGATCACGGCCACCGCCGTGTAGCCGGCCCCGTTCACCACCTTCAGCCCCTGGTGCGTGTTCTGGTTCACGACGACCGGCATGCCGGGCACGAAGACGAAGACGGCCGGCACCGGCGTCGCGCTGTCGTCGCCCTGGCCGAGCATCAGCACCGCCTCCTCCTCAGTCGGCTCGCCGTCCTTCCACTTGTGCTCGGAGAGGAAGACGCGCGCCGCCGTCCGCCGCAGCGCCCGGAACGCGAGCGCCGCCTCGAGGTTGAGGTTCCAGCGGTTGCGGTTGAGAGGCGTGACCACCGTCACGCCCGTCTCCCACGCGATCCGCCTGCCGGCCGGTGGCACCTCGAGTTGAGCAGCTCGAGGTCCGACCGGTCCTGCTCGCCGCGGCGGATCCGCCCGAGCAGCCGCCGCAGCTCTGGGTCGCCGGCGGCCCGCATCTGCTCGTCGAGCATGACGACCGTTGTGAAGCGCCGCCACAGCGCGTGCGCCTCGTCGTGCTGCCGCCGCTGCTCGGCCGCGAACGCCCTGTCCTCGTCCCACGACACCGCCGCGCTCGGCAGCAGGATCGACCGCTCCTGCACCGGCCGGAACTGGTGGAAGTCGCCGCAGAGGATCACTACCGGGATCCCGCCGAAGTCTCGCGCCGACCCCCGCAGCCGGCGGAGCTGCTCGTTGGCCGCGTGCAGCGTCCGCGCCCCGAGCATGCTGACCTCGTCGATTACGAGTACCTCCTTCTCCCGCCAGTCCATGCGCGACCGGCCGTCGACGAAGCGCTCGCCCGCGCCCGGCAGCCGCACCCCGTCCAGCTCCCTTGTCGCCCCTCCCGCCTGGCCGACCGTGAGGCCGCAGGCCGAGTGGAGGGTGATGCCGTTGATCCGCGCCGCAGCCGTGCCCGACGTCGCCGTCACGAGCATCCGGCTCGAGAGCTCCCTCCGGGCGAGCAGCTCGACGAGCGCCTCTATGACGCGCGACTTGCCGGTGCCGCCTCGCCGCCGACGAATAGGCAGAGCTGGCCTTCTCCGTCGCCGCCTGCCTCGTTGGCCTGCCGGATCTGGTCGAGCTGCCGGCATACGATGAGGAGGGCAATTGACTGCTTCTCGTTCAGCGTCAGTTCCTTGGCCAGCTCCCGGCCGGCGGCGAGGAACGAGCTCGACGGGCCGAGCCGCACGCGCATCCCCGCCGCCGTGCCTACGTCTGGGTCGCCGTCGGCCGCCGTCACGTCCATGTCGTCCTCGCCGAATCCCCCCATGACCCCGCGGAGGGCCGCGCCGCGGTCCGCCCCGACGCCTGCCGCCGCCCCGCCGCCTTGTGAGCCCTGGATGCCCTGTATGGCCCGCTCCCGCTCCCGCGCGGCGCTCCTCTGCTGCGACTTAATAGCCCGCACCTCCTCCTGCCGCGGCAGCGCCGCCCCCGAGAGCGCCGAGCCCGGTAGGTTGACTCGCCTCACGGGCCCATCCTCCGCTACCACCGTCGCCGCGAGCTCGGCGGCTGACTCGAGCCCGGGCTGCTGGAACCGGCAGAGCTGCTGCGTCATCCCTAGCAGCTCTGTCGACTGCGCCGTCACCTGCCCCGCGGCGGCTGCATTCCGACCACGTCGATGAGCCGGGCCGTGTCGCCCGCCCCGCCGCCGCGGTACGCCCCCTCGCCGCCGCTCCCCGTGGCCCTACCTTCGTCTTCGGCCTGTGGCGCTGTCGACCTGTCTTCCTCGGCTGTCGCGGCCCACTGCTTGGCGTCGCGCTTCGCGTCCTCCGCTGACCGCCGGAGGAGCTGTACGTTGTCTACGAGCCGCGCGACCTCGGGAGAGCGACGATCGCGCCTGTGCCCAGATATCGTTGATGTCGCCGGCTCCTATGCTGACAAATGACTCCCATGGTATAAATAGGGCAAGGTGCTGCACCGCCGCCCTGGGTGCCGTTAGCCGACCTAGCCTATATGTATCCTCAAGCTGCCTTCCTATAGGCATTTCCTACCTTATAATACGTACCTTCGGTGGCATGACTCCTCGTCTTCCTTACTGAACTCCTTGCTTAGGTACCCGTCTAGCCGCACCGTCGCCGCCTTGCCCGGTCGCCTAAGCACCTGCACCCAGCCCTTCCTGCCGCGCAGCCTCTGCGAGGGTATCTCGCCCCAGCCCGCCCTGCTGTCGGCGCTGCCGCCGGCCCGCCTCAGCCTTATAAGTGACGTATAGTCGTAGAGGCAAAGCCGTTGTAGGAGCTCCCCCCTGTGACGGTAGGCCTCGACGAGGGGAATTCTCGGCCCGGCCTCCTCCACGACGACCGTCTCGTCCGGCGCGTCGCCTGTCGCCTCCGCGCCGCTTGCCCGTTGGAGATGCCTCCACCGGCGGAAGACGGCCCAGTAGAGCTGGTTCGCATTGACGTACGCCCACGCCGAGCCGCTGCTGAACTCCGCCGGATACCCTAGGAGGTGGGCTATTACCTCAACCTGCGAGAGTGGCCGCTCTGTGAAGACCCGGTTCGCTACCTTGAGTAGGAACGTCCTCGTCTTATTCCTCCCTATAGTAGGCTCTGGCCCTATCGCTACCTCCTCGTTAGCCCTGGGCCCTCTCCTCTCGCTCTTGCCCTCGCTACTACTGCCGCTGTTCTCTTCTATTAGCTCCCCCTCTAGCGTCGGGAGGAACTCGGCCGCCGCGGCCACCCGCTTCCACGCCGGGTCCTCGACCTTGGTCGCGTAGTTGGTGATGTAGTAGATCAGGGCCATAGTCTTACGCTGCGTCGCGATGAACGAGATATCGTGGTTGTGCCGCAGCCCGACCGCCATCGCCCTGTTCCACCGGTTGACCATGTTATGCGTGCGCCGGACCTCGAGCACCCCGTCCGTCGTCAGCGCCGTCCTCTCCACCAGCCTCCACGGCGCCTTGAACCGGCAGAGGTTCCCCTCGCGCGCCCCGCCGCCGAGCGAGTACTTTACGCAGGTCGCGCTGTGCGTGTGGACCTGCGTCGCGCCCGCGCAGAAGTTGGCCTCCTCGTTGAAGGCGTCTGTGAAGCGCGCGACGTCGTCGAGCCGCGACGATATGTCCGCCGTCGCCGACCTCTCCGCCTGCACGGCGCAGTAGCCTTCTGCGTCTAGCTCCTGTGGCCCCGGGTTAGCCTAGAACCCTCTCCTCTGTCCGTACTGAGTGGCATATATCTGGAGGGCTTTCTCAGTAGAGTCTTATCGCTCTCTTGCCTCGGAGAATACGCTGTCTACGTAGCGGGCGATTCGCTTCCGGCACGCCGCCTGCTCCTCCGTGTCGGCGCCCGCGAGCGCCTCGCCGAGGCCCCTGTTGCCCCTTAGCCAGAGGAGCCCGTGGAGGTGGAGGGCACCTCGCTCGTTCGTCTCCACGGCCCCGTAGTAGGCCCCGACGTGCCCGAACACCGACTCCTCCCCGGTCCGGACGTAGTGCTCGAAGAAGAGCGTCATCTCCCGGTGGAAAAAGACGGCCGAGCTCATCGGGTCCGATATGGCGAGCCGCGTCCGCTTATACGCGTTCCCGAGGTCCCTTAGGAAGGCCTCGGCCGCGTCGGGGTCACGGGCGCGGTACGCCGCCAGCCGTAGCTTTACTAGGTTCGTGATGTCGTTCGGGTTCAGCGTGAACCAGATGACCGGCACCCCGTACCTAATAATAAGGGAGAGTATCTTCTTCCGCATGCCTAGGCGGCTCTCCCTGGACATGGGCTGCCTGTGCCCGAACACCGAGAGGGACCGGAGGAGCTCCGTCACCCCGTCGTCGCTAGTCTTGCCCGTAGCCTCGAGCTCGACCTTCGCCGCCTCGAGTCTCTGCGTCGTTAACGACTTTAGCAGGCCCTCGACCCTTGCAAAGTTCTTCCTCGTCACGCCCAGCATACTAGCCTGGCGATTCCTGGACCGTACGCCCATGTTGAAGACGAGGAAGGCGAATATGGGGTGCGTCGCGAACCGCCCGCCGTGGCGCCGTAGTACGACGTCGGCCCAGGCTTGTAGGTTCATGTTCCGCGTCGACGTGAGGCCCTCGGCGACCCGCTCCGCCTCGCCGCCCCGCCGGCCGGCGGCCGCGGCCGCGCCCTCGCCCGCGGCGGCCTCGTCGGCGAGCCTCGGCCCGCCTAGCCCAAAGGGCAACAGGGTCGGGAAGGCCCTGACGAAGAAGGACGCGTCTGCCGAGTCGGCAAATTCGTCTCCGCGCCGCACCTGTATGTAGGGCTCGCTGTCGCCGCCACGGCCGCTGCTCCTCGCCGCCCCTCCCGCCGCCCCTCCCGCCGCCATGTTGACCCATGTCCTCGGGCCTATGGTCCCGATAGCCTCGCGGGCGAAGCGGATCTTATCGGCGTCCGCCACCTCGGGCGCCCCGTCGAGGGGGAACATGCCGGACGACGTTACCTCGTTAATTATGTCCCCCTCCTCTTCGGGCCTAGCGCCCTCTAGATCCTCGCCGTTACCCGCCCCCTCGTACGTAGGCCCGGGGTCGGGCCGGCCCTCGGCGGGGTCCCGGCCCTGCCTTAGCATCGCAAGCACCTCCTCGATCTCGACGACGCCCTCGTCGTCCATGGCCCGCTCCGTCGGCGGCACCAGCTGCGCCGTCTGCGTCCTCTCGCGCGCCGACGGCTCGTTGTGCTCGAGCCGCTCCCACACCGCCGCCGGCACCCCGTGCGCCGGCTCCCCCCAGCTGTCCATCTCGGCCGTGTCGACCTCGACCTCGCTATAGTGCGGGTTATTCTCCTTAAGCCACGCCAACGCCCTTTCCACCGGCCGCCGCCGTACAGACAGCAGGCCGGACAAGTCCCGCGGCCCGGGCCTCTCGGCGCCCTGCCACGAGACGTGGATCTCGTCCATGACCCGGAGCAGCGGGTGCGGGAGCACCTTGGTCGCGAGCCCCTGGACGTCGTTTGGGAACACCGTGATGTGGCCCTTGACGTGCCTCGGGTACCTCACGCCCTGCCTCTGGCCGCCGGGGATGCTGTACTTCGTCACGAAGCCGTAGCATGAGTTGAGCGCGATCAGCTTCTCCTCGACCGGCGTCAGGCCCTTGAGCTCGTCCGGGTAGACGTGCTCGCAGCCGAGCCGCCGGTGGAGGTGCATCGCCGCCGATGCGCCGTCGCGCCCGACCCGCCGCGCGCACTCGGCGCACACCGGCACCGGCGCGCCCTCGGGGAAGCAGCTTCGGCACCCGAACGGCGACCGCCCGCCTCCCTGCGCCGCGCCGTGCCGCGACCAGCCCTCCCACGCCATCTCCCTGAGCTCCACCCTGGCCTGCTTCCGGTAGCATAGCGTGCACGTCGCGGTCGGTAGCGTGCCGGCGTCGTGGAACGCCCGGTAGAACCTCCGCACTGTCCTGACCTCCCTTTCCCGCGGCACCGGCGCGCACCACGCCCGCTCGTCGGCCAGCCTCTCACCCGCCTCGAACTCCTCTTCGAGGCCCCGCAGCACGTCCGCCAGGTCCTCGGCCTGCATCTGCCTTGGCCTTGGCCGCCTCTGGTCGCCGCGACTCCGTTTTGCCTCGGTCTGTCCGCTGGCGGCGTTGCCCTTCCTCTTCTGTCTCTCTCGAGGTAGCGGGCCTCTCGTCATCCCATCTATATCCGATTAGACATCTATATATATATACCCTGGCACCGTTCATAGTCCTTACCTGCGCGTTGGCCTTCTATTGCCTCGCCAGGCCCTACAGCCTCAGCCGTGTCCCCTATAGCGCTCTCCATCGTGGCTACTGGCCGAGGCAGGATATCCCGAGGCGCCTGTTGACTTGCCGTGGGGCCTAGGGACGGCCCGGCCATGCTTGACGCGCGGCCGCCATGTCTTGCCTCGATTTCTTTGCCAACCGGGCTGCGCTTTCTTCTGTCTCTGTCCAGGGCGGCGGGCCCATCGTCGTCTCATCTACATCACGTTAACCACCTCTCCGTCGACCGACCCTGGGAGCCTGCTTGGGAACTATACCGGCGCGTTGGCTTTTCATTTCTGCACTGGGCTTTGCGCCTCGGCCGCGTCCCCGTGGCACCCTCTGGCCCGCTCCCCGGCCAGGGCTGTATCCTCTGAAGCTGTCTTTGCCGTGCCGCCGGACCTAGGGCCGGGCCTGCCGCGCTCCATGGCTGTGTCGCTAGAGCCTCCCCCGATGTCGGCCGCGGCTGGATATCCCGGAACAGCGGCTGCTGGCTTCTGTCGATCCGCTGCTGCCTTGGCCGCCCCGGCCTCCTTCCTGCCCGGGCCGCGGCGCCTCGGCCGGAGCTTGGCGGCGTGAGGAGGAAGCCACCCTCGCCTTCGCCGGCTTCTCTACGTTTCGCCTCCCGCCTCGTCTCCGGTGTCGACGGCGCCGTCTTCCCTTCCATCGCCCCCTGGTCGCTTGTGCCTGGGGCGTCCTTCCGCCGTGGCCCTAGTCGTGCCTGCCTCCCCGCGCCGGTCCTCCCTGGATTCCTCGCCGGCCGGCCGCCCGTCGCCTTCGCTTCGGCAGCACCAGCCCTGACGCCCTCTCATGCGCCACCTGCCGACCCTCCGCGCCGGGCACCGGCGCCGCCGAGATCGGCCTGAACCTCATTGCTATATGGGGCTCTGGGTGCCTCCCGTGCTCGGCCTGCGCTGCTCTCAGCCCCGTGCTGCGCTTCTGTACTGGCTGGCTTCATCGTGATGGATGCTGCTACCTCTACTGCGTACGCTCTCTTGGCCTTACCTACTTACTATGCCACCACCTCCTTCGGCAAACATTCTCCATATACGGGCCGCTGGCGTGCCCTCTCTTCGCCATGCTCCCGCTCGGCCCATGCCTTCCACATAACACATGCTTCTTAATCACATATCTATATGCCCTCGGCCTCCCGACTTAGCATGTCCTTACATATGCTACTTACTTACTATTATGCCCGCGCTAGCTGTCTGCGGTCCGTACCGACTGACGCCTACTGCCCTACCCCGCGGCCGATGCGGCCTCGGCTGTTCCCTAGACGTAGGTCCTACCAATGGCTTCTCGTCCTGACGCTCTATGCGCCACGCTTTCCTCTTCTCTCCTAGGACCCCATAGCCTACGTCTGGGTCCGTCCCTAGGCGCTTATGTGCCCGCCTTTAGTTCAATGTCTCGTACGCATCAGAGACAATGCTATACCTTTCCTTCACGCTTAGCCCTGCCGTATGGCTTATATATTAAGACCCTTAATCTCGTAGTAGACCGCCGATTATATCTTTCCTATCCTTTCCTATTGTTCTCGTTGCTTTCATCTATGTCTTCTCTATTACCTATATGGGACCCCTATATATATGGCCTGCCCTGCTAACCCTTTATGCCTTCTTTTCTCTAGGACTTTAACCTATATCCGATCTTCTAATCTCCTAACCCTACCGCGCTTTAATGCAGTATCGCGCTATATAGGCTTCTTTGCGATCTATATAGCTATGTATGGCTTCCTTGCCCTATTGCTTACTAGTTGACTTACTTCCTGCTAGAGGGCTATAATGTCCCCGACGCCGCCTACCACCGACTCTCCGCCGCACCTTCGCAGGCCTCTTACAGGCAATAAGGGCGCCGGCGGCGACATGACCATGATGTTCTTTGCCCAGCCCGACTGCCCCGTGAGGTTCGCCCACCAGGACGAGCACCGCGTGAGGGCCTCAACGCCGAGGCCATTGCCCGCGTCCTCCTTCCCGCCCCTCGTGGCTGCTGGCGCTCGAGTACGCTCCTCCGGGCAGCGGGGATGATAACGATGTCTCCCCCCTCTTCTTTAGCTTGAATCTCTCAATCTACGGCCAGCCGGTCGTCGACTCGGATTGGTCTGAGCAGTGGTTCTTTATGTCCGGCCGCGTCCATCCGTACGCCCTCGCCTGGGAGGTCGAGCGCCGCGACGGTCTCGAGGCCGACGTCGGCGAGACTCTCCTCTATACGATGCCCGCCCTCGTCGTCCGCGACCAGGGCTACCAGCCGTGAGCCTCCTCCGTCCTCTTTGCCGCCCCGCTGATCTCTTCCTAAGCGTCCTCCCGCGCTCCTTGGCACCCGACGGCCACTTCCCTCGACGCCTCCTGTTGTCTCCTTTCACGGCGTCGTCGCCGGCTCCGGACTTGACCTCCTGCAGGCCGATCTTCTTCCTGGTCTTGGGACCGACCAGCTCCGCTGCTGCGGCCTAATCCAGCTATCGACGTACATCGCCCCTGGCGTCCCGGACAAGGTTCCTTCAAGGGCTACCACCCTTTCAGGTCTTTGTCATCTTTCCCATCTATGCCAACCCTTGGCTCGTCCTGTGTAAGAAGCTGGCCGAGAGGTCCGCCTCTCCCTTTCTGCCTGGTATCCCGTTTACCTGCACTGGCAAGGTCGCCGGCCTTCTCGATCATGGCGTGATGTGTGTCCCGCCCGGCTCGGACCGCGATTACGTCTTCGTCGTCGTCCCGGATAGCTGGACTTTCCATGATAGGTCTTCCGCCGCTGCCGCCTCCGCTTCCCCGCTGGCCCAGCCCCTGAGGCGTCAACCCTCTTCCACCTCCTCTGCGTTTGACCTCGTCCGCGCCGCCTCCTACTCGCTTGCTACGCCGCCTTCGACCGCGCCGCACACGCCTTCCAAGGCTCCGGGCCCGCCTGCCGATGCGCCTGTGACGCCGCCGCCCAAGCGGGCCTGCTCGGCCGTGGCCGACTCCCCGATTAAGAGGTCGCGCACCTTGCACCAGCACCATTCGCTTCCTTCCTCCTCTTCGAGCACTGTTGGCTCCGCCGCCACTTCCTCCTCACCCCCGCAGTCCGCCTCGTCGTCAAGGCCGCCCGGGGACACGCCCGCTCATGCCCTGGCCGCCGCGCCCGGTTCCCTTCTTGACTCTATCGTCGCTAGTACTAGCGACGCGCCCATCCGGCCCCTCCGCCAACGCATGCAAAAATGAGCCTACTATCTGAATAACACTGAATCTATACTTGATATCTACTAAACTCTCCAAAAATAATATACCTCTACAACCTAGTTACTATATAAGCTAGGCCTATACTCGCTATACTATTAATATAAGAAAAGCTACCCCTACTTATTAGTCTATATCTCACGGTACTAAGGTACCTCTACACACCACGTGTCTATAGCCACATACATATATGCCCGGCCCTCGCATACTGTCCATAGCTCCGTATCCGACAACATCGTTCTTCCTCGTTGCCTAGTCCGCCCCGTGATACTATAACTCCACTTCCCCTCTTCCTTCCCTCCTTCTTACCTTTACTATATATTACGAGCTAGGCCTAGACTAACTTTATGCAACTGGACCTACTTCTTGACGTAGGTATAACTCCTTTTCCTTCCTCCTCTTTACCCTCTATATTCTCGTCCTTATTAGCTTATTCGTTCTAACTAGGTAGCTAGTTAAGTTGAACTTGCTGAACTGTTACACCCCCCATTCCTTCTGCCTCTCTGCTGCTGTTTATTCCTTTCTCTTCCCCTCTGGTCGTAATCTTCGTTCCGAAAGGCTTATTGCGCAACCCGTGCGGGGTTGCCTTACCCGTGCCTTGAGGAACGAAAGGACTTCATTAGCGCGCGGGGAAAAAAGGCCCCAGACTGCTTCACCCCCACATCCTCCGCCTCTGATTGGCTGATTTATTTCCTCTTTCGGAATAAAAGATCCCGTGTGATTGGTCGCCGACCCTTCCGTCCCTCCCTCATCATTGGTCGCTGCCGCCTTCTCTTGCCCTCTCATGCCTTGCCCTGTTTCCCCGTTTATACTCCTGTTTACCCCTTGCCAATGCCAATGCCAATGCCAACCTTTTTCCTTTCGTCCGCCGGTTTTCTTATTGTGTCTAAAACTTGCGTCTTTTGTCTTTGCCCTTTCGTTCATGCCTTTCTAGCGGGTTCTTCCTTCAAGTCTAAAAGTCGCCCTCGTTGATCGCTGCTGCCCAGTGCCCTTGTCTTCTTGCCCGCCGGCGCGCTCCTCCGTCTTCTCCCCCTCGTCACCTCACCCTGACAACTCTCCTTGACTCTTCAGCGTCGCCATCCGACCGACGCAAAGCTTCCTCGACAGTCCTCTCGCTTAGCACCTCCAGCCTGGCCTGCGCGGCGGTCATCTCTTCGGGGACTCGGTTGCCCACCAAGTCTCTCTCCCGCACCTTGGACACGAGCGTGATGCCGTCTAGCGTTCGACAGCGCGATAGCTGCACATATAAGCTGTACGGTACGGGTCGCATTGCGAGGGCACGGCCCTTCCATCGACTTTCGTCGTCCGTGTCCCCCGCAGCTCCAGGGCCACGCGCTCTAGCGTTCTGCCCTGCACCTTGTAGTCCGTGCAGGCGAAGGCTGCTGCGCACGGCAATCCCTTCCGGCTGACGTCGTTCTGCTGCCACGGCCGCTTTCGTTGGCAGTGTATCCTGACGCTCATCGGCGTTAACAAGATCGTGCCCGGCGGCATCCCGACGAAGTGGAGGTCCTTTGTCGTCGCCGATTCCAGTAATATCCCCGCCGGCGGCCCGAAGTGGATCGTCATGTCGGACGAGATTCGATGCCCTGGGGACGCCTTGTCGACAATGACCTCCACCGCCGAGTAGCCGGCGCCGTTCACCAGCTTCAGCCCCTGATGGGTGTTGTGGTTCACGACGACCGGCATCCCGGCCACGAACATGAAGACGGCCGGCACGGGGATCGCGCTATCGTCGCCTTGATTGAGTACCATGATCGCTTCTTCCTCGGTCGGCAGGCCCTCCTTCCACTTGTGCTCGGAGATGAAGATGCGCATCGTCGACCGCTGCTGGACCCGGAACGCCAAGCTTGCCTCCATGTTTAGGTTCCACCGATTCCTGTTCAGCGGCGTCACCACGGTGATGCCAGTCTCCCAAGGATCCGCCTGCCCTCGCGGTAGCACCTTGAGTTGAGGAGGTCCAGATCCGTGCGGTCCTGCACACCCTGCCGGATCCGCTTCAGCAGCCCCTGCAATTCCGGATCACCGGCGGCGCGCATTTGCTCGTTCAACATGACGACCGTCGTGAATCTCTTCCACAGCGCGTGCGCTTTGTCGTGCTGGTGCCGCTGCTCGGCCTTGAACGAGTTGTCTACGTCCCACGAGATGGCCGCGCTCGGCAGGACGATCGACCTCTTGGACCGGGCGGAACTGGTGGAAGTCCCCGCAGAAGAGGACGATGGGGATCCCCGAAATCTTTCTGCGATCCGCGAAGCCGACAGAGTCGCTCGTTTATGGCGTGCAGCGTCCGCGCTCCGAGCATGCTCACCTCGTCGATGACAAGCACGTCCTTCTCCTGCCAGTCCATCCGAGACTGGCCGTGGATGAACCGCTCCGCCCGTTTTGTCAGCCGCACCCCGTCAAGGTCCTTGGCTGTGTTCGCGCCGCCCGCCCTTGGTCTTTAGTGAACCCGCAGGCGGTGGATCGTGATGCCGTTGATCTGCGCCGCGGCAGTCCCTGACGTCGCCGTGATCAGCAGACGATTCGAAAGGCTCTTCCCACTGAACAGCTCGACGAGTGCCCCAATGATCCGCGACTTGCCGGTGCCCCTCGCCGCCGACGAACTGGCAGAGCTGGCCGGCATCGCCCCTATTCGTTTGTCGCATCAAATCGAGCTGGCGGCATATTATTAGGAAAGCGATCGACTGCCTCTTGTTCAGCGTTAGCCGTGTTGACAACTCCTTGCCCGCCGCGAAGAAGGAGGTCGATGGGCCAAGCTGGACGCGCATTCCCGCTTCTGCGTCGCTAGCCGTCTCGTCGGAGTCGGCTGTCGTCATTTCGACGTCGTCCTCCCGAAGCCGGTCATCACCTCCGCAACGCAGCTCGGCGATCGCTTTCCCGGACTGCGACTGTGGTTTGTACGCCTTGGATCATTCTCTCCTTTCCTCGACGCACTTATCTGCTGCGACTTGATAGCCTTGACCTGATCCTGCGGCGGTAGTGCGGCCCCGGAAAATACCCGCCCTGGCATGCTTATGCACCTCAACCCTTGTTCGGGAATCGCGATGGCCTCGAGCTCGGCCGTTGAGCAGAGCGCCGATTGCTGGAATCGACAGAGCTGCCGCATCATTGCCATGAGCTCCGGCGACTTGGCCGTCACCTGATTCGTGCCCACTGCGCCTCGGACGACGTCGATCAGGCGCGTTGCGTCTCCGATGTTGTTGGACCGATACGTCGCTGCAAATTCTGCGCCCGCCTCGCCTGTCTCGCCCTCCTCGACGTGGGCGACCGTGGAATCGCCATCGCCGGATGAGGCCGCCCATTGCTTGGCGTCGCGCTTTGCGTCTTCGGCTGATCGTCGAAGCAGCTGCACGTTGTCGACGAGACATGATATTCTCGGGCCAGCGCCTCTCGCGCCCGCTCCCAGATGCTATTGATCTCACCTGTTTCTTCGCACAGAAAGGACTCCCACGGCACAAATAGCGCAAGATGCTGCACGGCTGCCCTGTAAGGGGGGGGTTAGCCACTCTGATGATGCCTGCCGGCAGGGCGGTTGCTATACACACCTCCGGTGGCACGACTCCTCGTCGTCGTTGTGGCCGAAGTCCTTGCTCAGGTAGCCATCGAGGCAGACGGTAGCATGCTTGCCCGGCCGCCTGAGCACCTGGACCCAGCTCCCTGGCGCCCATCCATCCTCGAAGGGCACCTCCCCAGGCCGCACAGCTCTCATCCTTACTGGTGCGTTTTAGTCTAACGAGCGATATGTAGTCGTATAAGCATAGCCCTCGCAGGAGCTCTCCCGGTGCTGGTACGCCTCAACGTGGGAGATCCTCAGGCCTGCTTCTTCGACAACGACCGACTCATCCAGAGTATCATCTATGGCCGCCGCGCCACTTGCTCGTCGGAGATACGGCCACCGTCGAAAGACTTCCCAGTACAGCAGAGATGTGTTCAGGTACGCCCAGGCGCTGCTGTTGGTGAACTCGGCCGGATATCCAAGAAGATGAGCGACGACCTCGACCTGAGATAGCGGACGCTCCGTGAACACACGATTCGCCACCCTCATCAAGAACTGTCGCGTCCTGTTCCCATTGGCGGCGTCATCGCCAACAGCACCTCCACCGTCGTCCTGTCCTCCGTTGGCCGTGCCGTCACCCGTTGAGGCGGCCAGGAGATCGGCCGCGGCCGCCACACGCTTCCACACCGGGTCCTCCACCTTCGTCGCGTAGTTCGTGACATAATACATAAGGGCCATGGTCTTGCGCTGCGTCGCAATGAAGGAAATGTCGTGGTTGTGCCGGAGCCCAACAGCGATAGCCTTGTTCCATCGATTGACCATGCTGTGAGTCCTCCGGATCTGCAACACCCCGTCTGCCGTGATGGCGGTCTTGTCGACCAACCTCCATGGAGACTTAAACCGGCATAGATTCCCTTTCCGCGCTCCTTTGCCCAAGGAATACTTGACACAGGTCGGGCTATGCGTGTGAACCTGTGTAGCGCCGGCACAGAAGTTGGCCTCCTCGTCAAATGCGGCCGAAAACTGCTCGGTGTTGTCCAGCAGGGAGGAAATATCGGACGTCACAGATCGCTCCGCTTGCACGGCGCAGAACCCTTCCTGATCCAGATCCTATCTTGCACGTCAGCCTGGCCCCGTTTGTCCATCGGACGAGCAATTCAGGTTCTCAGTGACACGTCTTAGCTATTCTTACCTCGGAGAAGACACTATCGACGTATCGTATGATTCGCTCGCGATACGCCGCCTGATCCTCCCCGTGGATGTCGGCAAGCATCGAGCTGAGATGCGCGTTTCCATGCAACCAGAGCAAGCCGTGAACATGAAGCGCCCCTCGTTCGTTGGTCTCCACAGCGCCATAGTACTTGCCGATGCGCCCGAATACCGACTCTTCTCCGACCTTCACGTAATGATCGAAGAACAGCTTCATCTCCCGGTGGAAGAATACGGCGGCGCTCATCGGATCGGACATGGCCAGCCTTGTCTGCTTGTACGCACTCCCAAGGCCTTCTAGGAACTCCTCGGCCGCGCCGGGATCGCGTGTCCGATATGCCGCCAGTCGCAGCTTCACCGGGTTCGTAATGTCGTTTGGGTTGATGGTGAACCAGATGGCCGGAACGCCGTAGCCAACGATGAGCGACTGGATTTTCCGCCGCATATTGAGCCGAACCTCCCGACATGGGTTGCCGGTGGCCGTACAGCGAGAGGCTCCTGAGAAGCTCCTTCACGCCCTCATCGGTCGTCTTGCCCGAGCTCTCCAACTCGACCCTCGCCGCCGCTAACCTTTGCGCGGTCATCGAGCGGGCAACGCGCTCGACCTTGCCGAAGTCCTTCCTCGCCACACTCAGCATGCTGACGCGGCGGTTCCTCGACCGCACCCCCATGTTGAAGACGAGAAATGCAAATATGTGGTGCAACGCAAACCGGCCACCATGGCGCCGGAGCACGATGTCGGCCCAAATCCGGAGGTTCAAGCTTCGGGAGGATACGATGTCTCCCGCTGCCGCCCCTGCCTCAGCAGCTCTACCGGTGCCTCGCAAGTTGGTAAGGGCCTTCCCGCCTCGGCTATGGCCTCTTCGGCCAGCCTTGGTCCCCAACGCCAAATGGGAACAGGGTCGGGAACGTTCTGGCGAAGAAGGACGTCTCAAAGGAGTCGGCAAACTCATCCCCGCGAGACTCGAATGTATGGCTCACTGCCATCGTCGCCACGCCCTCGACCCCACCGAGGATCCGACCCACGTTCTCGGGCCCGCGCGGCCGTCGTCGGCACCTGCGCCAACAGCGTCACAGGCAAACCGCAGCTTCTCGACATCCGCCACGTCTGGCGGTCCGTCCAGCCCAAACATGCCGGAAGACGTCACCTCGTTGATTGGTCGAACGTTCTGATCGGGGCTAGCACCAACTCCATCACGACCCGCGCCTTCTTCGTTGGGCCCGTGCCCTTCAGCCTCGCCTCCCGTTTCCTGCCTTTGGTTGAGCAGAGCGAAGAGTTCCTCGATCTCCACCGACCCCTCGTCGTCCATGGCGCGCTCCGTGGGCGGCACAACGTGCGCCGTCCGCGTTTTCTCCCATGCGGACGGCTCGTTCCGCTCCATGCGATCATACACCAAGGCCGGCACCCCGTCTATCGGGTCTCCCAACTCTCCATCTCCGCCACGTCGATCTCGATCTCGGCGTAGTGGGGGTTGCTCCTCTTCAGCCAAACAAGAGCCCTCTCGACGACCCGCCGCCTCACCGACAAGAGACTCGACAGGTCGCTCGGTGCCGGCTTCTCCACGCCCTGCCACGAAACGTGGATCTCGTCCAGTGCTTGCAAAGGGGTGCGGGAGCACCTGGTCGCCAGCTCCTGCACGTTGTTGGGAAACACTGTGATGTGGCCCTTGACGTGCCTCGATACCTCACGGCCTGCCTCTGCCCGCCCGGAATGCTATATCTCGTGACAAACCCATAGCAGGAGTTGAGCGAGACGAGCTTCTCTTCGACCAGCGTGAGTCCCTTGAGCTCGTCAGGGAACATGTGCTCACAGCCAAGGCGAGTGTGAAGATGGACCGCCGGCGACAGACTCCCGCGCGCCAGGCATCGGGCACACTCCACACACACCGACACGGGCTCGCCTTCGGGAAAGCAGCTCCGGCATGAAAATGGTGAGCGGCCGCCCTCTGGCACGCAGCTTGACAGCCATTGATCCCATCTGATCTCCCTCAGCTCTTTCTCGTACGCTTGCGGTAGCACATCATGCAGGTCCGTATCGGCAACGTGCTCGCATCGTGGAACGCCTGATAAAATCCCGCACCGTCGACACCTTCCTGTCGTGCGGTATTGGCGTACACCACGTCTGATCGTTAGACAGCCTCTCCTTCATGGCGAAGTCTTCCTCCAAAAAACGCAGCACACTCGCCAGGTCTTCGGCCCGCAGCTCCCGACTCCTCTGCCTTCCGATTCCACTCCGAATCTGTTTTCTCGGGCGCTCGTCCGGACCAGGAAGACGTTTTCTTCTCCCGCCTCCGGGCCGCCTCCGGGCCGCCTCCGATCCATGATTTCTTCTCTCCGTGGCTGATTCGCTTCTTCGCAAGCCGTCGGATGCGGCAGCTTTGGCGACGACTGCCCGACTACGTGCGCATCCCCTGACACGCCATCCGGCCCTTTGCACTGGACAGGCACCGGGCCGTGCTGGCGAACGTTTTCCACGCCGAACCTTGACCTCAGTCCTTGCCCTTCCAGCACTCTCCTCGTTCTTGCTGCCGATCAAACTGCACGGGCTCCCCAGCCGCCACCCGCGATGAGCCGCCCACCTCCCTTTGCTGCAGCCTCCGCCCGCTCAGCGAAGCGTCCGCTGGCTCTGCCGCGGCGTCGCCCACCCCCACAGGAGACGGCCCCGGATGCTGCGCCGTACCTGCTGCGTTGGAGACACCCCTGCGGCCTGGTACTCCTTTACCCGCCAACCCGTCCCCGACGGCGCTTGGGCAAACCAGACGCAATCGCTGCTGCTAATTGCCCGTTTTCTCTTAAGTTGTCGAATACCGGTTCCCTAGGCTGGATGGATCGAAGCTTCGGTACCTCCTTCGAATGAACACTGGGACATCGCCCGCCGCCGCCGTAACACGTTGCTCCTCATCTTCAGGATCTCCTCCTGAGGCAGAAAGTGCCGATGAGGAGCGGACGATCAGAGTCCGCTACCCCATATCTCCACGTTCCCTAGGCAACAGGGGCCTCGGAAGCTGACCCGGTGACTGATGTTGCGCGGAACTTCCGCTGCTAACCATATTATGGAACTTCCGTGCTCTGTTTGACCGCAAACCGCCTCGCGGCGGTCTTCTCGGCAACGACCTCGCAATTGCTTCTGCGTGCTGTCTCCATGCGGTGTCTTCAACCACAGGTTTCCTAGGCTGAATCGGCCGGAACGTTGATGCCGCATTCGCCCGTGATTCGTATCTTCGTAACCGTCCCAGGCTCTCCCCCCGTGCTCTGCGGCCCCTCTCAGAAGCTGCCACCACATCTACACCGGCTCCTGTCGCACCATCTCCGAGCCCCGAACCCGACCCGCTCACGTTCTCACCATCTTCTCCATCCCCGACTGACAACGAACAGGCTTCAGGGTGAGCAACCGCCTCGCTTAACTTCACTGCAGGACTGTCCGCCATGCTGCTGCCTCCTCGACGTCGACTGCCGTAAATTGGCAACAGGCTATAAAGCTTTGGCTCCGGAGCACCTCCACTTGACAGTCTCGCTTGTTGACGACGCTACTTCTCCCGAATGGGAAGCTCCTAACCATCACTTCCTCATGGCCGTGGCGTTTCTTCCTTATAGCTTCCCTATAAAATGCTTCCCTATGGTACCGAGGCGATGCAATACTACCTCTATATTCCCCCGTTACCATGCCTATCTATGTGCGTCCACCGTCCCGGCCTCGCCTGGTCTCCACGTGCGACCTGCTACCCCAGCTTTGCCAAAAGCGACCCTTCCATCGCCGTGCTCTCTTTGCGCACTCCAGCGAATCCTGGCCACTGCCGACCTCCGGCACATGGAGATGGCCGCGACAACCGCCTGCCGCACACTTCAAACCATACTCTTCAGCCCTTCCAACACCATCCTACCAACCTTGCGCATCAGTTCACCATCAATATCCGCCAATCCGCCTCGTCGAGCAACAGCCACAAGGCTGCCGGCGATAACATGTCCATGACGTCCTCATGCAGCCGGACTACCCTTCTAGATTTGCTCCTCGCCAGCACCAATGTCGCATCAACGGCCTTAATGCTAAAGCGATAGCCAGGACCCCTGCCTGTCCTCTTGTAGTCGCTAGCCACCGGAGTCTCGACTTGCAAACCCTCTTGGAAAGTTCTCGTGACCAACTCGCATCCTCCTCCTCAGGTCGACCCATATATCCGACTTCACCGTGTCCCAATAGTAGACTCGACACGGTCGGCACCCGCCTCGCTCAGCCGCACGCAATGCCCATCCAACTACCGACGACCGTCAAAAGGAGTCCTGCAATACTACCATAACCTCTTTCTTTCCTTCACTCTCATTCGTTATTGCCCCTTTGCTATCTACTCCATGCAACGATGACACCGAAGGGGACTACTGGACTTTCTTTCTCCGCAGTCTTACCCACACTAACCTTACCGTTCGCCGACCTCCAACTTCTCGCAACATAGCCATCACCCCTACTCAACTTCCAACCCCCGGCTCCCTACTTCACTCACGACCACAGAACCAGATGGTCGAGACTGCTCGAGAACCTCGCCAGCTCATTCCCGCATACCCCCGCTTCTGATCTATCACCTAGGTAGCATTCACTGACTCTCAAGTCTCCCGACCCGAGCCACGAGCCCTCTTTCGAGCAGCAAGAAAACCTGCTTTATAGGATGCCTACCTCTACTCTGCCTAACCCTCCTTTACACTTCCACGGTGACCACATCTGCCATGTTCTCACGATGTCGGCCTCCCAGCTCAACGTCGATACCTCGTCCTCCCGCGGCAACCTCTTGACAGCCAGAAAATGCTGGCGCCGACATGTCCATGATGGCCTTTGTCCAGCCCGGCTGCCCGTCTAGGTTCGCCTACCAGAATGAGCATCGTGTCAAAGGGCTCAACGCAGAAACCCTAGCGAGGGTCTTCCTTCCAACGCCCTCATGGCTGTCGACTCCAGAGTATGCAGCAATCCGGTCAGATCCTGACAATCCATCGACCTGCATCTTCTTGAGCCTTAATATTTCCATATACAACCAACAGATAATCCCCTCGGAATGGACCGAGCAGTGGTTCTTTATGGTCGGCCGTGTTCATCCCTTTGCCCTGACGTGGGAAATCGAGCGACGTGATAGCTTCGAGTCGGAGGATGACAACATTACAGAATACACCATCCCGGCTCTCATCGTCCGCGACCACAGCTACCAGCCGTAGGTGTATGCTCCAGACCTCCGTCACCACTACCATCTCTGACGATGGCCACAGAGTCATCCCTCGCACCCTCGGCTCGGCGGATGCCTTCCCAGCGATACAACCCATTGTCTCCTTCACGGGACCTGTCATCGGTTCCGGCCGCGACCTTCTGCATGGAAACTCGGCTGCGGCCCTGACGACACCCAGCTGAGCTGTTGCGGCTTTGTCCAGCTCTCGACCTTTATCTGTCCTGGGATTCCGGCAAAACACCCTTCAAGGGCTTTCATCCCTTTCAACTTTTCGTCATCTTCCCCATTCACGCCAATGCTTGGACCTCCTATGCAAGAAGATGACCGAGAGGCGCGATAGCCAGTTCCAGCCGAACGCTCTCCTCACCTGCACGGGCAAAATCGCCGGCTTACTCGATCACCAGATCATGACACATGCCCCGGCCTTCGAGCAAGACTATATCTTCATCGTCGTCCCCGATACATGGACTTTCCTTGACAGGGCCATGTCCAACCAGGCTTCTGCGACACAGCTACTGCCGACGACACCCAAGGGCTCAGTCGGCAACCCTCGGACTATAGCGATGCGTTGGCCAGGTTTACCTCTACCAAAAACGCAATGCCGCCCCAAGCGGCGCTCTCCCACGCCGCCTGCATCTAGGTCAGTCGATCCTTATGATGACATCAAAGCGGTCATTGCCCGATCCCGACCAAACCCCAACCAAGAGACCGCGACTTTCTCCAGAAATTTCCACCATAGTCGCCGCCTGTGATAGTCGAGGCCCCGCCAAATCCGACACTTCCTCCCTTCTGTCCCACGAAGACCCGGAGACTCAGAGACGGACACCGAGCCAGTCAATCACCCAGCCACATCCGCCTCTGGCCCTATCAGACCTCCGGCGTCAATCTCTTCCCGACCCCACCGCGCCCGACATCCGCCCAAGAATATTCTGTAAAGCAACGAACGAAACAACACAACATGACAAGGAACATGTTTCATCATCCTCAAACTCAAGTGCGAAAGGCCCTAATGGGATATTTCCTTCTCCTCTTGCTCTCCTTTTCACAAAGACAATCCAGTCAAAACTTCTCCAATATACTCCTTATTCTGTTTATATCCACCACTTATAGCACCTGTAAATCCTCAGAGCCTTCCACTCGCCCACACATGCATTACCCACCCACAACTCTCTTCACCCCTGCCGCCTCTCCACGCCCTTTGCGCCTTTGCAAAGCAAAATCTCCCTTGCAGCGGCCTAGGCTGCCTCTCTGACGCTCTGTCTCGATTTCACTCACGATAATGCTCTACGTCTCTCACCGGATCTCCATCTCATATCTCATATCTCACTCTTCTTCCTGTCTTCCTCTCACTTCCCCTGTCTCCTATCTCCTGTCGCCAACTCTCTCCTCTCCCCGACTTTCTCCTGTCGCCATCGCCAACTTTCGTTCCGAAAGGCCTCTTTGCGCGAGCCGCGGCTGGCGAGCCTTCCCCTCGTTCTTAGGGTTCCTCCCCGGGGAGAATTCTTAGGGTTCCTCCCCGGGGAGAAAAAAAATTCGCCATCGATTTCCCCCCCGCAAATGCCGCCCTCTGATTCGCTGGCGTTCTCGCTTTTGATTCGTCGGTTGTTCTTTTCTCGCTTTTGATTCGTCGATGTTCTCGCTTTTCATTCGTTAATAAATAAAAATAATAAATAATGCCCTGCCCCCTTGCTGCCCCTTTTAGTTCCAGCTGCGCAGTTCGCTTCCAACGCCTCCGTAGACCATACGCCGCCGCAGACCACATAGAGGAAGGTGCCCAAGCCGGCCCGGCTTCTAACCCCGCCATAGACCACACGCCTCCACAGACCACCCCCTTCGCCCGTCCTCCTGGCCCTTAACCTACACTCCTTTTACGTCGGAAGTGTGGAAAATGCAGGGCGCCTGCGTTACCTGCGGAGCCAGTCGGCCGCCTCCTGTGTTGTCTGCCTGCTAAGCTCCTCTAGCCGGGCCTGCGCTGCCGTCATCTCCTCAGGCACCCGGTTCCCCACTAGGTCCCGCTCCGCACCTCTGATACGAGCATGATGCCGTCGAGCGTCGGGCACCGCGACAGCTGCACGTATAGGCTATACGGGTCGCACGACGACGGCACCGCCCTCCCCTCGACCGTCGTCATCCTCGCCCCCCGCAGCTCCAGCGCCACGCGCTCTAGCGTCCCGCCCTGCACCTTATAGTCGGTGCAGGCGAAGGCCGCGGCGCACGGCAGGCCCCTCCGGCTGACGTCGTTGCGCTGCCATGGCCGCTTCCGCTGCGCTGTGATCTTGACGCTGATGGGCGTTAGCAGGATCGTCCCGGCAGGCATCCCGACGAAGTGGAAGTCCTTGGTCGTCTCCGAGGCCAGCACGATGCCCGCCGGCGGCCCGAAGTGCATGATGAGCTCCGCCGAGACGCGGTGGCCGGGGAAGGCGCGGTCGGGGATGACGTCCACCGCCGTGTACCCGGCCCCGTTCACAAGCTTCAGCCCCTGGTGCGTGTTCTGGTTCACGACGACCGGCATGCCTGGCACGAAGAGGAAGACGGCCGGCACCGGGGTCGCGCTGTCGTCGCCCTGGCCTAGCATTAGCACCGCCTCCTCTTCCGTCGGCACGCCGTCCCTCCACTTATGCTCGGAGAGGAAGACGCGCGCCGCCGTCCGCCGCCTCTCCCGGAACGCGAGCGCCGCCTCTAGGTTGAGGTTCCAGCGGTTCCGGTTGAGCGGCGTCACCACCGTCAGGCCCGTCTCCCACGGGATCCGCCTGCCCGGCCGGTAGCATCTCGAGTTGAGCAGCTCTAGGTCCGACCGGTCCTGCTCGCCCCGGCGGATCCGCCCGAGCAGCCGCCGCAGCTCCGGGTCGCCGGCGGCCCGCATCTGCTCGTCTAGCATGACGACCGTCGTGAAGCGCCGCCACAGCGCGTGCGCCTTGTCGTGCTGCCGCCGCTGCTCGGCCGCGAACGCCCCGTCCTCGTCCCACGCCACCGCCGCGCTCGGCAGCAGGATCGACCGTTCCTGCACCGGCCGGAACTGGTGGAAGTCGCCGCAGAGGATCACTACCGGGATGCCGCCGAAGTCCCGCGCCGACCCCCGCAGCCGGCAGAGCTGCTCGTTGGCGGCGTGCAGCGTCCGCGCCCCGAGCATGCTGACCTCGTCGATCACCAGCACCTCCTTCTCCTGCCAGTCCATCCGCGACCGGCCGTCGACGAAGCGCTCGCCCTGGCCCGCCAGCCGTACGCCGTCAATGTCCCTCGTCGCCCCTCCCGCCCGGCCGCCCTGGCCGACCGTAAGGCCGCAGGCCGAGTGCAGCGTGATGCCGTTGATCCGCGCTGCCGCCGTCCCCGACGTCGCCGTAACCAGTACCCGGCTCGATAGGTCCCTCCGGGCGAGCAGCTCGACGAGCGCCTCGATGACGCGCGACTTGCCGGTGCCGCCTCGCCGCCGATGAATAGGCAGAGCTGGCCACCACCGTCGCCGCCTGCGTCGTCGCCCTGCCGGATTCGGTCGAGTTGCCGGCACACGATTAGGAGGGCGATGGCCTGCTTCTCGTTGAGCGTGAGCTGGCCCGCCAGCTCTGCCGGCGGCGACGAACGAGCTCGACGGGCCGAGCCGCACGCGCATCCCCGCCGCCGTGCCTGCGTCTGCGTCGCCGTCGGCCGCCGTTACGTCGATGTCGTCCTCGCCGAAGCCCCCCATCACCCCGCGAAGGGCCGCGCCGCGGTCGGCCCCGACGCCCGCCGCCGCCCCGCCGCCCTGGATGCCCTGGATCGCCCGCTCCGCCCCGCGCCGCGCTCCTCTGCTGCGACTTGATGGCCCGCACCTCTTCTTGCCGCGGCAGTGCCGCCCCGACAGCGCCGAGCCCGGTAGGTTCACCCGCCTGCCTGCCCTCTCGTCCGCCACCACCGTCGCCGCGAGCTCGGCCGCCGACCCGAGCGCCGACTGCTGGAACCGGCAGAGCTGCTGCGTCATCGCTAGCAGCTCCGTTGACTGCGCCGTGACTTGTCCCGCGCTGGCGGCGTTCCGGACGACGTCGATGAGCCGGGCCGCGTCGCCCGCCCCGCCGGCGCGGTATGCCTCCTCGCCCCCTTCGGCCGCCCCCCTGCCTTCGTCGTCGGCCTGCGGCGCCGTCATACCGCCCTCCTCGGCCGTGGCGGCCCACTGCTTGGCGTCGCGCTTCGCGTCCTCCGCCGACCGCCGGAGGAGCTGCACGTTGTCTGCGAGCCGCGCGACCCTCGGCGCCAGCGACTCCCGCGCCCGTGCCCAGATGTTGTTAATGTCGCCTGCCTCCTCGCCGAGGAAGGACTCCCACGGCACGAATAGGGCCAGGTGCTGCACCGCCGCCCTAGATGCTGTTAGCCGATGCCCCTAGCTGCTCTGCCTTCCTCTTAGGCGCCCCCCGTCTTATAGTACGCACCTCCGGTGGCACGACTCGTCGTCTTCCTCGCTGAACTCCTTGCTGAGGTATCCGTCGACGCATACAGTCGCCCCGCAACCCGGCCGCCTAAGCGCCTGCACCCAGCCCTTCCCCGACGCCCAGCTCTCCGCGAAGGGTACCTCACCCCAGCCCGCCATACCGTCGGCGCCGCTGCCGTTTTGCTTTAACCTTACAAGCGATGCGTAGTCATAAAGGCAGAGGCCCGCAGGAGCTCGCCCCGGTGCCGGTAGGCCTCGACGAGAGGGATCCTCAGGCCAGCCTCCTCGACGACGACCGTCTCGTCCGGCGCGTCGCCCGTCGCCTCGGCGCCGCTCGCCCGTCGGAGGTGCCGCCACCGGCGGAAGACGGCCCAGTAGAGCTGGTTTGCGTTTATATACGCCCACGCTGAGCCGCTGCTAAACTCCGCCGGGTACCCTAGGAGGTGCGCGATCACCTCGACCTGCGACAGCGGCCGCTCCGTAAAGACTCGATTCGCCGCCTTAAGCAGGAACGTTCTCGTCTTATTTCCCCTACGGGGTCCGCCGCCGTCGCTACCCTTCGGCCCCGCCCTCCCGGCCGGCGTCGCGGTCGGCGCCACTTCTGTTGCCCTCTCCCGTCGGCTCTAGCACAGGAAGGAACTCGGCCGCGGCGGCCACACGCTTCCACACCGGGTCCTCTACCTTCGTCGCATAGTTAGTAATATAGTAGATTAGGGCCATGGTCTTGCGCTGCGTCGCGATGAACGAGATGTCGTGGTTGTGTCGTAGCCCCACTGCCATCGCCCTGTTCCACCGGTTCACCATGCTATGCGTCCGCCGGATCTCGAGCACCCCGTCCGCCGTCAGCGCCGTCCTCTCCACCAACCTCCACGGCGCCTTAAACCGGCAGAGGTCCCCTTCCGCGCCCCGCGCCGAGCGAGTATTTTACGCAGGTCGCGCTATGCGTATGGATCTGCGTCGCGCCCGCGCAGAAGTTGGCCTCCTCGTCGAAGGTGTCCGTGAAGCGCGCGACGTCGTCGAGCCGCGACGATATGTCCGCCGTGGCCGACCGCTCTGCCTGCATGGCACAGTAACCTTCTGCGTCTAGCTCCTGCGGCCTCGGTTCAGCTTAGGCCCTCAGCCTGACCCAGATAGGGGCATCGGGGTTTGTGTTAAGGCGGCCGCCTTACCTCAGAGAAGACGCTATCTACGTAGCGGACGATGCGCTCCCGGTACGCCGCCTGCTCCTCCGCGTCCGGGCCGGCGAGCGCGTCGCCAATGCCCGCGTTGCCCCTTAGCCAGAGGAGCCCGTGGATGTGGAGGGCGCCTCGCTCGTTGGTCTCTACCGCCCCGTAGTATGCGCCGACGTGGCCGAACACCGACTCCTCCCCGACGTTGACGTAGTGCTCGAAGAAGAGCGTCATCTCCCGGTGGAAGAAGACGGCCGAGCTCATCGGGTCCGATATGGCCAGCCGCGTCCGCTTATACGCGGTCCCTAGGTCACTTAGGAAGGCCTCGGCCTCGTCGGGTCGCGGCCGCGGTGCGCCGCTAGCCGTAACTTTACTAGGTTCGTAATGTCGTTCGGGTTCAGCGTGAACCAGATAGCCGGCACCCCGTACCTAACGATGAGGATAGTATCTTCTTCCGCATACTAAGGCGGCTCTCCTCGACATTGGGTGCCGGTAGAAGAACACGGAGAGGCACCGGAGGAGCTCTTTAACGCCTTCGACGCTAGTGTTACCTGTGGCCTCGAGCTCGGCCTTGGCCGCATCGAGCCTCTGCGCCGTTAACGACTTTAGTAGGCCCTCGACCCTTGCGAAGTTCTTCCTCGCTACGCCTAGCATGCTGGCCTGGCGGTTCTTAGACCGCACGCCCATGTTAAAGACAAGGAAGGCGAAGATAGGTGCGTCGCGAACCGGCCGCCGTGACGCCGCAGCACGACGTCGGCCCATGCCTGGAGCTTCATGTTCCGCGTCGACATAAGGCCCTCTGCAACCCGCTCCGCCTGGGCGCCCTGGTTCCCGACGCTAGGCCCGCGCTCTCCCGCGGCGTCCTCGTCGGCGAGCCTCGGCCCGCCTAAGCCAAAGGGAACAGGGTCGGAAAGGCCTTTGCAAAGAAGGAGGCGTCCGCCGAGTCGGCGAAATCCTCGCCGCGTCGCACCTGTATGTACGGCTCGCCGTCGCCGCCGTCGCCCGCCGCCCTCTGGCCGCCGTCCCTACCACGTCCTCGGGCTGGCGCGCGCTCCTCGGGCCCGACCGCGTCGCGGGCGAAGCGAATCTTCTCGGCGTCGGCCACATCTGGCGCCCCATCTAACGGGAACATGCCGGAAGACGTTACCTCATTGATTACGTCCCCGTCCTCTTCGGGCCTAGCGCCGTCCCTGTCGTCGTCCTCGCACGTGAGCCCGACGTCGCGGCTCCCCTCGGCGGGGTCCTGGCCCTGCCTTAGCATCGCGAGGACCTCCTCGATCTCGGCCGCGCCTCCGTCGTCCATGGCCCGCTCCGACGGCGGCACCACCTGCGCCGTCTGCGTCCTCTCCCGCGCCGACGGCTCGTTTCGCTCCAGCCGCTCGCACACCACCGGCGGCACCGTGCGGCGGCGCCCCCAGCTGGCTATCTCCGCCGCGTCGATCTCGACCTCGCCGTAGAGCGGGTTGTTCTCCTTGAGCCAGGCCAGCGCCCTCTCGACCGCCGACCGCCTTACCGACAGCAGGCCTGATAGGTCCCGCGGCCCGGGCCTCTCAGCGCCCTGCCACGAGACGTGGATCTCGTCCATGACCCGGACCAGCGGGTGCGGGAGCACCTGGCAGCCAGGCCCTGCACGTCGTTCGGGAACACCGTGATATGGCCCTTGACGTGCCTCGGTACCTCACGCTCTGCCTCTGGCCGCCGGGGATGCTATACTTCGTCACGAAGCCGTAGCACGAGTTGAGCGAGATGAGCTTCTCCTCGAGCGGCGTGAGGTCCTTTAGCTCGTCGGGGTACGCGTGCTCGCAGCCGAGCCGCCCATGGAGGTGCATGGCCGGCGACGCCCTCACGCCCGGCCCATCGCGCGCACTCTGCGCAGACCGCCACCGGCCTGCCCTCCGGGAAGCAGGCTTGGCACCCGAACGGGGACCGCCCGCCCCGCAACACCGCCCGCGACCACCCTCCCACCCTCCCACGCCATCTCCCTCAGCCCCTTGGCCCGCTTCCGGTAGCATAGCGTGCAGGTCGCGATCGGCAGCGTGCCAGCGTCGTGGAACGCCCGGTAGAACTTCCGCACCGTCCTCACCTGCCTCTCGCGCGGCACCGGCGCACACCACGTCTGCTCGTTGGCCAGCCTCTCGCCCGCCTCGAACTCCTCGTCGAGGTGCCGCAGCGCGCTGGCTAGGTCCTCGGCCTGCAGCTCCTTGGTCTCGGCACCCTTTCACCGACCCGGGCGCGTTTCCGCTCGGCCTGCCCACTACTAAGATGGCGTTTCTCTTCTGCTCTTCCTCGCCTGCCGTCTTATCGCCGATCTACCTGCGTCCGGTTAGCTATCACCGCTACACGCCTTTACCTCGCTCTACGACCGTACCTGCCGAGGCGCTATCTCTGCCGCCAACAAGCAGCCCGGCTGCGGCCGGAGTTGTGGCGGGGATCTCGGCCCTGCTGGCCGGCCGGGACTGGATGGCTCGCGGCGAGTGCTGGCTTCCGATCGAGACTACGGCCGAGCTAGTCCCGCTTGACGGCGGCGAAGGGCCGGCGGCCCTCCGTCGGTTGTGGCCGAATATCCCGCGGAACGTCCGAACTTCTCGTCGGCGGCGGCGAGGCCCGGCGGCCTCCACCGTCGGCAGAGGCCGGATTTCCCTCGGTGCGCGCTGGCTTTTCCTGAGGCCGAGACGGCGCTAGGCCCGCCTTGCGGCAGCCGGCGCCCTGCCGCCGTCGGTGTCGACAGAGCCTGGATATCCCGCGGCGCGTCCGAACTCTCGTCGGCGGCGAAGGGCCGGCGGCCCTCCATGTCGGCTGTGGCCGAATGTCCCGCGGAACGTCCGAACTTCTCGTCGGCGGCGGCGAAGGACCGGCGGCCTCTACTGTCAGCAGAGGCCGGATTTCTCTTGGTGCGCGCTGGCTTTTCCCTGAGGCCGAGACGGCGCTGGGCACGCCTTGCGGCAGCCAGTGCCCTGCCGCCCTCGGTGTCGGCGGCAGCCGTTGCCGCCGCGCTTGGTGTCGGCCGAGGCTGGATATCCCGCGGCATGACTCGGCCTGCGCTGATCCTCCATCTCCCTAGTCCTGGCGGTCTTCCCCGCCCTAGCCTCGGAGGCGCCTCCTTGACGCCTCTTCTTGCTCTCCGAGGGGCGCCGCTAGCAAGTGCCGGCGCTGCTGTGGTCGGCTGGAACTCTGGTCCTGTGTACGGCGCTGCGCAGGCTTCTGGCGCCGGGCTTGCCCCGTCCCCGCTCCGGACTGGTCCCTTCCGTTGGCTGGCTTCATTGCGACACCAGTCTACCAAAGCCCCACGGACGTCTTGTCTTCCTCTTTGCACCTGCCCTCTTTGGCCCTGCCTACTTATGGTGCCACTAGGCCCTGGCGTAAATCCTCGTAAGTGTAATAACAGCGTATAAATCCTTGCCTCGATTATTCGCCCTGCACTTATCTTGCTGACTGGCACCCTCTTGCGCATATAGGATCCTCTACAAAAGTCTATATATCTTACTCGTAGCTCTCTACTATGTCTATATGCGTGCTGCTGCTCTTTGCATTATACCGGCGCCGCCTTTCTATTAAGCCCGCCCGCCATTGCCTGCTGCTATATGCGATAGGCTAGACGGCCTCGGCCGATCCTTATATGTACGTCGCCGCGACGGCTTCTTCTTGCCTATGCTTTGCATGCTACGCTTTTCCTTCTTGTCATCCAGCTCTTATCAGTCAAAGCTTCCGTATGCCCCTAGACACTTGCCCGCTGAAGTTTAAAACCATGTCTTACACGTGTTGCGAATAGGGCTGCCTGCTTCTCCTCGAATATAGCTTCGCGCGTCCTGCTTGTCTTAAAACTCTCAACATCTTACTAGACCGCCTTTTAAAGTTCTCCTTCTCTTATTGCACTCTCCTCTATACGCATCTTATAACCCTCTTTTACAAAGGCCTTATATAACCTACCACTAACGCCATGTTGCGTCTTTGTTTAGAATCCTTTGACTTCTCTTACACACCATCGCCACTGGCCCTTCTCTTTACACTAAACTTCCCACCCGGCCCTTGCCGATACGCCCATGAAGAGGGCGCGCTTGCTGCAGCAGCAGAATTCGCCGCCTTCCTCGTCTTCGGACACCGTCAGCTCCGCCGCCCCCTCCTCCTCTCCCCGCCGGCCGCTTCTTCGTCTCGACCGAGCGGCGTCCCGCCCGTTCCTGCTCCGGCAGCCAAGCCGGGTTCCTCTTGACTCTATTGTCGCGAGCACCTCCGACCCGCCCGCTCGACCTATCCGCTATCGCATGCAGAAATGAGCTGCCTACTATAAACCTATCGCTCTCTTACGCCTCTTGCCTTTACTAAAATAAACCGTTCTCCCTCTCGAGATGCTATTCCTAACGAAACTTATCGCTGCAAAATTACCATTACTCTACACATTACAACGTTTATCTCTTTTTGAAACAACAACTTTAGCTTGCGACCTATTTCTTACGATAGTGCCTGCCTCTATTTGTTCTCCGTGACCTTGTTTATGTCCTGCGCGTTATGCCTTGTCCCTTTACTTTCCTTCCTCCTCTCCCTAGCTCCTAGCTTGCCTTTGGCTTGCATCCCTTCTTGTGCACCTTCCAGTCCTCCTTTGGTGTTGCCTGCTGCAGTACGCCACCGTCAGGCATCGGCTGCACCTCCTCGCCCCGCCATCTCTCCACAAACCCGGCAGACCTTCCTCTGTGCTCTGCGCATCCTGCCCTTGCATTTGCGTCGCGCCCTTGTTTCCGCCCGCCTGCCCCGCCTCTGCCATCTTGTCCTGCATTTCCTGCCTCGTCCTAATTTCGCATCCTTCTTTGCCGCAGAACGACGACACGACCACGAGCACAAACGGCCTCTCTGCGTGTAGGTACGATATCGGGCTCTGTAGAATCTCCTTTGCGAGTCCGCCGCAGCTCTCGCAGCGCACCCCTGCTGCCTTCCGACACGCTGCCTCGTGCTCCCGTAGGATCGGCCTTATCCACTGTAGGAACAGTGCACTGGCTGCGTGGTTCGGCCTCGCCTGGCTACCTGCGTCACGAGCGTCTTCGGATGCTATGCTTGTACTTCAGCTCCGTGGCCCGAATTCGCACCAGAACTCCACGGAAACGTTGCAAGTGGCCATGCTGTAGTTGTTTTCCTAACTGCTCGATCGGTAGCTAGGGTAGACGCTTCTGCTCTTGTTCTCCTATTCGTGCCTTGGCGCCCTCTTATGCTCCCTTCCTCTCGCTTACCCCGCAATCGTCATCACCGCTTTACTTGCCTTCTTGCTTTTTCTGCCTCTTCCCGCGGCGGGATGGTGCCCGAATGGCCGCTTTACCTACCTTTTTTGCATGTTTTAGTTCCTAGCGCTACCGCCTGCTTGCGTTCTTTCTCTCACCCTGTCTTTGTCTTGTTTGTCTCTCCAATCTTCGGCCTTCGTTCCTCAAGGCTCTTTGCGCAACCCATGAAGGGTTGCCTTACCTGTTCCTCAAGGCATTTTTTTCTCCCCGGGGAGGAACCCTAAGAACCTTTCGTCACTCGTTCCTCGTTCCTCAAGGCACTCGGACCTCGCTTTGCAGTGGGAGCGATAGTATAACGCCTGTTGATGATGGTCCGTTCTTTGTGTGTAAGGCGCCCTGCACTTGCCGCTCTGCTGAGAGCTGACGAAGCATTTTCATCGCTTTCTGGGCTGCGGCAGCCCTTTCAGGGTCGTAGCAGAGGGGCGAATCTAACGCCATTCGAGGGTAGGCGCCAAAGACTAGGAGCGTAGGGACAATGCCATTTGGCCCTGCTGTGTCGTTGATGGCTTTGATAGCCATTTGAAGGATCGATTCGGGGGATGTGAAGGTCCCGATTTCTGCGTGGAGGATCTCAAACGCACGGCGGAGAGGGGCATGATATCTTTCAACCTTTCCAACGGACCAATGTGCTTCCACAGGGACTTGCATGCAGGTTATCCCCATAAGCTTTGCCTCGTTACGGAACTCTAGGGAGGCAAAATTGGTCCCTGCGTCGTGCTTGATAGTATCAGGGGGTCCGAGATATGTGTCTATCCAGAGGGCTCGGAGGGCTTCCCACGTATCCTTTGCTGACATCGATAGGAGGAACCTGGCTGCTTGGAACGCTGTTGCTGTATCTACCACGTGAAAGACGGGGCGTTGAGGGGTTCCAAGGTAGAGCACATCAGCGACGATTTCGTAGTTGAATTCCTGGTCATCCTTTAGGGTGAATTTGAAGCGTCTTGGAGCTTGAGAGTGCATTTGACAGTGATGACAGAATCTCGAGATGTTCTCTAGGATATCTATCGTCACATCGTTGTGGCCAGCTTGCCGTAGGAGGTTGTGAAGTCTTGGGACCGCTGGGTGCCCGAATCGACGATGAAGAGTGCGGATCTCGCTCTCCGTGAGGAATGCGATAGCGGCCTCGTTGGTCTTAGGTAGGAGGAACCAAGGATGTCCCCATTTGCGGATAACCGGGAGGGTTGTTCGTCCGACAATAGTGTCTGTAAGGTTGTTGAAATAGATGCCTAGGCGATCCATATCAGCGAGAGAGGAGGAGGGAGTAGGGTCTTGAGGATATGGAATGTGATCCTTCCGAGAGGTGTTTTAAGGGCGATAGAGCCGAGGGATAGAATGGCTTCGCCGTTGCCGAATTTGATAGAAGCTTGGCCTGCTGTAGTCTTATCGAGCGTTATAGCAGGGTCTTCTCGTTGTAGAGCGATGCATTGGTCGTAGCCAGCTGTGGAAACCTTCGCGGCGCCTGTGTCAATTATGATGCCCTGGAATCGGAGTCTTGAGTAGCGCTCCTCTATCATGAATTGGGAAGCAGGTGTAGCGTTGTTTTGAGAGGTGCTATACACGTCTTCCCTGTGGTCAGATGGTTGAAGGCTTGCTGGCAGAGCATTTGGCTTGTGTGCCACTGTTCTGGGTTGTTGTCATTATCTTCATTGTCGTCCTCGTCCCAGGGTCGTTAGCATCATCGTGGGCATCCATCTCGTGACCTTCAAAGTCAAGAACGTAGGCTGTAAGGTCCTGGGAGGTAATCCTATGAAGTGACAGTGGGCGACGTATTGGTCTCGGGATCTTTGACGTTCCTCGGCAGTGTGCTTTGTAGACCAACATCCTTCCTTATTGCAGACGAAGCACTTCTTATTCCACGGGTGGTTGTGGCCGTAACGGCCTTGTGGGCGGTTAAAGCGTTGACTATTGAAGCTTCCCCGTGGAGCGTTGTAGCTACCTCGTTGAGCGTTGCCTCTATACCTTCTATACCCCTTCTGACCAAACTTCCGCGATTGTTGTTGTATCTTCGATCGAGATAGTAGTGGTCATTGGGATCCATATGATCAGATGGTTCCTCGAGGTCTTGATGGTACTGAGGGCCTCCTTGAAGATAACGAGGCGCTATTCCGCGTGCAAGATGGGTCTCAACGGAAGAGCGAAGATCTGCAAAAAGGGGCTCGATTCCTTCGGCGGGCTTGAATAAAGCGTATTCAAGTTCAGGAACACCGCGGCATGCATTAATAAGCGTTGTACGCAGTGGAACGTTTCCTGCATACGCGTTGCCAAGAGCTCGTTGGCATAACTGTAGCTTATCAAGGAGTAGCTGAAGAACCTCGTGTAGGGATTTCGTAGCATTATCGGCACGGAGCTTGTTAAAGGAAATAGTCGTCCATTCAGTATAGCAGTGAGCGTGGTTAACTTCCGTATCGAAATGTTGCTTGATGCTATCGTATGCCTTGCGGAACGTTGAGGTCCAGTTAATGTGGTCAATGTAGTACGTTTGGGCTCGGCCAGTAAGGATTCGAGGGAAAAGAGCGTGGAATTGGTCCGGCTTGACCTGAATGTTATAACAGATACTCATAAAGATGCGTAGCTTATCATCGAGAAGGTCATAGGGTTCCCCCGTATAGTTCTTCTCTTTGTCCCAGATCTTGGTGAATTTCTGTTGTGTGTCGGCATCGACGATGCCGTTCGGGATGTCGGCCGGGGGAAGCGTTGTGTACGCTTCGAGGGATGTGGGAGAAGAGGGTTCTGCTAGAACGATGCTCTGTTGCTGGAACTGATA